TCGGTGTGCTCCGCTTTACTATCCGTGATGTTCTACAGTGGTTTAAGGTCACACTTGACCAAAGAGAAATTAGTGGTCAACCGTGAAGTATGACAACTAGAGAAGATAGTTTTAATGCTGCTCTTTCTGCACTACCGAACTGTCATTTAACAGCTTCTTTGATCGATAGTCATCTCCAAACGGTTTGTAATGTAAGGGTGAGCTCTAACACAGTCATCAAAAGGTTTCATGAGAATAGCCTAATCTCTAGACGCACCGGATCAGGTTCTCTACTACTGGAGAGGCATCAAGTAGAAAGGCTACTACTAATCAGCATCTCACTTGGAGACTTGAACAATGGGGACTTCATGTTAATGCATGATAACGATGGACCTCATATAACTCAAGTTGTCACCCATTACTTAGGGGATGTAGGGATTACCACAATGAATTGGTCCTCCAGTCTCCTCCAGTCATGAATCCCATAGAACACTTATGGAACTTGATAAAGAGACAGATTAGACATTTTTCATCACCTCCAACAGGCACAGAACAGCTTCAAACTGCTCTTGTTGAAGAATGTGATTTTGTTTCACAAAAGAAAATCTGATTGCTTATTTACTTGAAGCCTGTGTTAATGTTTGCCCGAAGCCAGATGTTATTAAGAGCAAAACTAGATAATAAATTATTAGTTAAATTTTAATCTATCGCTAAATGATTTTCTGGTGTTTTGGTGAATTTTCTTTCAAACCATTATAATTAAATAATTTTTATTAAAACTCATGAATTTCTGATCTCGTTTAATTTGGTTTACATTAAAATAAGTATGTAAACGATAAAAATACATATAGGTTGATATAAACGACAAACATGAGTGTCTTTTTTTGTGTGCGTCTTTGAGTGTACAGTATACTCTAAATATTTGACAGATAATCCTGTTAACTGCTACATCACATACATAAGTCTCCAAACCTCTCAAAGCTTTAAAGATTATTAATATTGCAAACAGCAAGAACAAATAATTTAATAAACATATTTATGTACAAGGATATGGATGCTGAAGAAGAGCATACTACAAATACCACAAATTGTGATGATCCCATTGAAAATAACGATTCGCAAGCCTCACCCACTGAGCATTCTGTTAATGATTTTGTGAGTGAAAGACATTATAATACTTAGGTAATATTTCTATAGGCAATGTTTCTATAGGTGATTTTAAGTTTGCAATGGAAAAAAAAGAAAGTGGCAGCAGCTTGTTATATGTCTTCTACCGCTGAGGTACAAAGGATTGGATTTTATTATTATCATTACATTTTAACAATTGAAAAATATTGCAGTTGCTACTACTGGGAAGCACCGATGAACTAGGACCTCATTTTGAAATAACCCAGTTACTTATTGAACAATTAATGCCAACGTAAGTTTTAAATAAGTGTAATCAACATTAAATTGTTGTTTCATGAGAAAAAATTATATGGCTAGTCTAAAAAGAATAAATATGATGTGTTGAAAGTTATTTTGTTCATGAACTACTAATTCATAAATTATAGAGCCCTCCATTATGTTTTGCACAATTATGAATTTTTATATTTTCATGATTTCGGTGGGTGTGTTTGTATTATAAACTTCCTTTTTGAATTTTTGTCTAAAACATGTAACGTGTGTTTGATGTTTTATTTTATTTATTTATTTATTTATTGGTGTGAGAATTACCTTACTGAAGTGGCTAATGCTTAACATTCACAATGGATATGTGATGACAGTTTCTATCTCTGCTTTGCCCATTTTGTTTAGGTGGTAGCTAAGAGGGGAGTGACCGGTGTAATAGTGTGTAAATTTCCTCTAATCTTGTCTGATGAGAGAGAGGAGTTTCTTCGCCTTCCTTTTTCAAAGATTTATAAATCTTTTAGCTTGTCTCTTACCTGTGTTTTTGTCCAATGCTTGAGTTTTTCTTTCTCAAGCCATTTTTCCAGTTCCAACTTAAGCTTACACTCCAGTGCACCTAGTTCTGGTTCTAGGTCCATGGGTGAGAGGGCTGTCTCTTTTATGGCTAGTTGGTTAGCCTGTTCATTTCCTTTTGTACCTTCGTGTCCCGGAACCCAGTTTAAAGTAATCTTGTTTTTTTCTAGGGCCATTTAGGCATTCCCAGACAAGTTTGGAGATGAAAACATAATAGTGCCTTTTGACTTGGAGATGGTTCTGAAGGATTTTGAATATCTTATTATATTACTACTCTATGACGATCTAAAATTATTCAAACCTGTCAAGTCTCTTTCTGACTAGCTCTCTGTTCACTCATTACTCAGCACTATCTGAATGAACAAAAGTCCCTTGACTATTGGGAAGATTGGCAAAACGCTGGGCTGTAATTACCGACAAATTAGAAAAGATAAAACCATTGGTCAAACTATGGGTATGGAGCACATGGGAAAAACAAAAGATAGTTATGACCTGATTACAAATTGACCACACCAGACTAACACATGGGCATCTCCTAATTAACAAAAGGTCTAGGAGATACCTCTTGTGCAGCACCCAAATACCTGTACAACACTTATTAGTAGAATGCGAACAATTGGCGTCGCACAGAACAAGGTGTGGCTTGTCCATGATCTCTTCGACATTCTAAGACACATCAGTGATGGCAATGAAAATTTGATTGGATATCTGAAATGGATAAATGCAATATGGTCACATTTGATGCTTTCCATAAGTGGTTTTTCTCTTTTAGAATGAATGTATTTATTAATATGATGGTTTGAAAGGATGGGTGGGTATGTGGCAGATATAGAATACCCCAAAAACCCACCAAACTAGGTTAGTTGTTTTATTGTCCTGAATGAATGTAATTATTTGCATGATTGGTTTAGTGAATGTGTGTGGGTGGGTTTGTGATGGAATATACATGGAACCCACCAACCTAGGTTAAATATTGATTATATATATTTTTAGAATTATTTTAAAACTTTTTCATATAGTTTGAAAGTTTCTAGGTAGTGTGAATGTACTTATTAGTATGAATGTATTTATAAGCGTGAATGATGGCAGATCCTCAACTGAATATCCAGTACTCTGAAAACCCACCAAACTTAGGTTAGGTTACAATATAAGTATTGGGTTGTCCGGAAAATAATGCAGGATTTTAAGTTTTCATTAAAAAAAATCTATATAAAATATTCTGTTTACGTTTACAGGATTACTCATTTGTATGAATGTCAACACTTATTAATCCTCTTCCAAATGATATTGTTTGTTTACCTCTGTAGCATTCCGCTACTTGGAAATAATTCAGTCATCCTTATAATGTCAAAGCGAGAATTTCGTACGATTTTCTTTTACGAGTTTAAACTCGGCCGAAGCGGAGCCCAAACGGCTAGAAACATTAACCAAGTCTGGGGCGAGGGTTGTGTTAATGAGTGCACTGTGCAAAGGTGGTTTAAAAAATTTCGGGAGGGAGATTTCAGCCTTGAAGATGAAGAAGGTCGTGGAAGGCCTTCCTCTCTTAATGATGATGTTCTGCGATCAGTGGTGGGTGCAGAGCAACTCAAAGTCAGTAAAACGACCGTCGCTGACCACCTCAAGGCGATTGGAAAAGTGAAAAAACTCGAAAATTGGGTTCCACACTCATTAAACGATCGCCAAAAAAATCAGCGCTTTGATGTTTGTGCATCACTTCTTTGTCGAAACAAAAATGACCCATTTCTGGCCAGAATTGTTACATGTGACGAAAAGTGGATTCTCTACGATAACACTAGACGTTCTGGACAGTGGCTCGACAAAGGAGAAGCTCCAATACATTTTCCAAAGCCCCCAACTCATCAAAAAAAGGTAATGGTTACGGTATGGTGGGCTTCATTTGGTTTAATACACTACAGCTTCTTAAATCCTGGCGAAACCATCAATGCTGAATCATACTGTAACCAAATTAATACCATGCATCAGAAATTGGCAGTAATGAAGCCCTCTTTGGTCAATCGGAAAGGGCCCATTTTGTTGCATGACAACGCTCGACCACATGTGTCACGTGTAACGTCACAAAAATTATTGGAGCTTGGCTATGAAACTTTGCCTCACCCACCCTACTCTCCGGACCTCTCGCCTACTGACTACCATTTTTTTAGACACCTGGACCACTACTTAGAACACATAATATTCAAAAATCAAACGGAACTGGAAAATGCATTTATTGACTTTATCAATTCTAAAAATTCTGAATTCTACTCAGACGGAATTAATAAGTTACCAACACGTTGGGAGAAATGTATTGAGAGTATGGGAAATTATTTTGATTAAAGAACACTGCTTTAAAGTAACTAGTTTCTTTTTTTTTGTTTAATACCAAAATCCTGCATTATTTTCCGGACAACCCAATATGTATGTACATGAGTCATGTACGTTTTCACCACGTGTGGAAGGGCCAATTAAAAATGATAATAGAGTTACATCAAATATGAAAGATCACTAAGCCCTCCTACCGAGAGCAAAAATTTGTCAACCTACAAACACAAAGAAAACACGAGGCACTAACAAAACAAAACCAGCCCCTTAACCTAAATAAGTGTTATGTGATGTGCTACTAGAAAGGCAAAACTGTTCTCGACCCTTCTTATTTAATTAATCGATATTTAGAAAGAACAACTTATGAAAACTATTTTTCCAGTCACATATTGATGGCATTTGCAATAGAGCTTATCAGTTGCCTGGATTTATATGAAGGACAGGCAGAAATTCAGATCATTCCATAATGAAACTAACTTTCTATCCAATGGTCAGGTTGGAATATGGCTCTTTAGTTTGGTCACCATATTATAATTCCTACAGCCAAAAGATAGAAAAAGTCTAAAGGAAATGATAAATATTAGCTCTCAATATTTAGACATGCTGTATGAATACTTATGTGACATGTTGAATGTTCTTTCTTTGCATCTAAGGTTTCAGCAAGAACTTTTACCTACAATAACACAAATCCCATTTCTTTTCTTTATGGAAGTACTGTAATAGTTCATCTTCACATATACTTTGCAAAGCAGTGGTCTTTTTAATTCATATGTTTGTCTTTTATTTAAAAAAAAAATATTCCTTTGTGTTTCACGTGGTAACTTAACAACTTGGAGTTTAAAGCTCAAGGATGATTCAAAGTTTAATCCCTGTGATCTTGGAAATTCTTATTTCCAAAGTTAATAATAGATTGTTTAAGGGTTATTGTAACCAACTCTGCTATTACAAGTCAATTTATGAAGAAAATCAGCAATATTGCTGAACAGTGTATGGAGCCTCCATCAATTGAAAAACTTTCACCTCGATACTTCAGTAAATTATAATAAAATCATCTCCTTCATTATATATCTATCATAATAGTGATGATTATTTTAATTTTTCAGATTATTCAGCTTCCATTAATCAAGTACTTTCTATGAAATTGAGCGAGTCTATAGATAGTGATTTAGAAAGACAGCACAACTATTTATTGTCATTAGTGAACATGACAGATGAGAGAATGGTTTGCACAATCGGTGGTCTTCTTAATTATATATCTCTAACAGCACCCAGTTTACGATTAAACAAGCCTTTTGAAATTTCTGATATAAAACCTATAAATTTGTAAGAATTATTTAATTATAGTGGTTAAAAAATAAAATAAAAATATGTTGATTTATTTGATAGCAAAACATAATTTTTTATTTAATTTCAAACTGTTATAATTTTTTTCCAGTGAATCGTTGACCCTTATTGATAATGAAACATACAAAAATCTTCAAATTTTTGACCCACTACAACATCCATCAAGTTTTAAATGGTCATCAACAGAAAATAACGAGGGCGTGAGCATGTACAACCTTATCGAAAAGAATTGTTCCTCAATGGGGCTCAACCGTCTCAGGTAAAAATTTCAAACATAAGATGATTAATTGACAAATTGTTAAACATCACATTTTGTTTATATTAGGTCATTTATGTCAAAGCCAACATGTGATCTTTCTGTAATACAGAAACGACATGAAGTTATTAACTTCTTCATGCAACCAAACAATTTTCATGTTATACAGACACTGAAAACATATGTTTCACAACTTTCATCACCTTCGGTAAATTTTCACTGCATTGAGATACACTTCATATTAAAATTGTATATGTAATTTGATCGTTACCAATCATTTTGTTCTGCCTATTTATTTCTGGGTTGGTCTGTCAGCTTTGCTACAATGTTGGGTCTTTGTGATTATTGTCCTATAGAGTGTATCAATCAAAGATAACCCAGACTCAACACTGAAGATGGCAAAATTCCAAAAGAGTTCAGGTAGACTATGATGAGTCACGGTCAATTTACAGGCTCATCATCATGCAGACCACAGGAAAAAATCTCACAGTTTAAAATTGAATACCTTATTACACACTTCCATCAGAAATAAAATGTATTTTCAATAACATTTCAGGTGCTTTCTACATACTTGGGCAGATTGAATCTCAGAGGAAGTCATTGGAAATTTATTTACAGGGTAACCAGATGAAACAGACTGTACAAATGAACGTAACTTAATTCGCAATATGTTTCAGAATATATTTTACACTGTATCTTATGCTGAGGTGTGCAAGGCTAATACCACAAATGTCGCACTATTCGCAGAGGTAACAAAACAACCAAATTTTTTAGCATTGAATGGACAAATTAGATTTTGAGAACCTTTTATTCATGATGTTTCAACAATTTTGGTCAGTTATAATTTTACATGGACAAATTTTAATTTAACAAAACATTGGATGCTTTCTCACATTCCTTCTACTTTTTTAAATTATTATACTACTTAGTTATTTTACTATTTAATTAATTTACATATGTAAAAATCAAGTATGTGTTTGACATATAGAGAAAGATTACTTGACATGTCCCACTTAATCATAGGGACTCAATATAGAGAGCAGGTAGGAATGCCACCCAACACAAGAATTGTGCTTGAGCTTTGTGGAAGAAACAGGCCTCTTTTATTGTACATATTATTGTATTAGTGTGACTGTAATGTGAGAGGGCCAATGGTTGACTATCGAATACTCCTCTCCTACTCCTCTGATGTTTCTGCAGATTCATGGCAGAGTCGACAGGTTTCTCTCCCACTCTCTCTCTCTTTTCTCTTTCTCTCACTCTCACTCTCTCTCTCTCTCTCTCTCTTTCTCTCTCTTTCTCTCTCTTTCTCTCTCTCTCTCTCACTCTCTCTCACTCTCTCTCTCTCACTCTCTCTCTCACTCTCTCTCTCACTCTCTCTCTCTCACTCACTCTCACTCTCACTCTCTCTCTCACTCTCTCTCTCTTTCTCTCTCTCTCTCTCTCTCTCTCTCTCTCACTCTCACTCTCTCTCACTCTGTGTGTGTGTGTTTTTTGTGGTGATTAAATAAGCAACGGCCTGTATAAAGTCCTATTATTTTCTGATTTTCCTTGATTCCTGCCCTGTTATGAAATAAGTCTCCAACAAATAAGCTCTTTGTAAATAATTTTTGGTTTAGTTCCTTCAAATAGTAAATTAGAAAAAAAATGATAGGAATAGATTATTTTATTAGGCTTTGACTTCCATAAAATGTGATAAATTAGAAATTTAGTTTTTTGTATGGAAAGGTCAACAGCAAAATTTTTAGTTGGGTGCAGACATAAACGATATTGTGTATTCACTTGCCCACAATCTGGAAAGTACAATTGATCTTGTCAACATGGAGAAAAACGTGCACTTTGTAATCAAGCATGGTTTTTTCCCACCCCTTGATGAAGGTAAGCCAGAAATTTTTCATTCAGTTTCCTCTCTTTGTCAATTATCCATTAATAAAACAAAGCTATTGTTTGTTGAGCAGCGAAATTAAAGTTTTCAAAATTGACCCAACAAATGGACCAGATAACGCCTTATGAATTTGACACTGTGCCGGAGTTCATACCGAAAATTAAGCTACTGTACATACCTGAGCTAAAATTTGTTCTTTCTATACCATTTTGGAAAAACGGACTAACTCAAGAGGAGCTCAACTTGCCCAACCTTCATTTCATGGTGGGATCAAACATTTACTACCTTTTTTCCTTCTAATTTGTAAAATTTAAATATAACTAATTGTAATTAATTTTAAATTGCAGTTTGTGGCAAATAATATGGCTTTTTATAAAACAAAAAGGTGTTACGGTAATATCAATAGAATAGTGTTGCTAGTATTATTTTTATTTGAAATAATTGAGTGATATATCTGTCATTTTCAGTTAAATAAATATACCAAATTAAATGTTTTTCTGAATATTTATGTAAATGATTGTAAATTAAGATTTCTTATTTTATAATTTAATTTGTTATTATTTGCTGAATTTGTATTAAACTTTCTTTTTTTAGAGTTGGACAAACTTCTTGGCGATGTTCAAACTGATATCATAAAACAAGAAACAAATATAATTAGGGCACTCGGCAGATATTTAAATAAACACATACATAATGTAGTTGTTCTAATGAACAAAATCATAGATTTAGAATGGTAATATCAGTTTTCTTCATTATTAAAGTAATAATTGTTTTCTTCTGGGGTCACTGGTTATATGTTCCATGTTTTCCATTTCTGTAACATGGTAAATAAATGGGCAATGACCAGTATAAAGGGCAATTATTATTTCTTAATTCTTGCCAGCTGAGAAGATAGATTTTTGTTGCCCTGGTTGAGGTAGAGAGGTACTTCGTTGATCGCTTTTTTAAATAATTCATCCAGTAGTCATTTCTTTCCCTGTCCATTTCTTCAGTTCCGCTTTTAGGGTGCCAAGGCACATGCCGATTTGTGGTTCTGGTTCAAAGGGCGGTGTAAGGGCTGCTCCTGTTTTTCCTAGTTGTTTGAGGCCTTCAATTCCCTCGTGTCAGAATTAGTTAAGTTTGTTTTTCTTAGATTAGGTTTTATTTCATTTTGTCTTTAGAGTCTGCGCTTTCATGTCATCAGGTATGTAAGTATGCAACAAAAGCAATCCCAGTGCCACTTACATTACTGAAATTGGGCAAATATGTATTCCCCCTGTTGCCGACAATCTCCTTGTGTCCTGGTAGCTGCATCAGAGTTACATGATCACAGTGCCCAGGCACTGGAGATTATTATGCATTCCCAGACCAACTTTGAATTGAAGATGGAGGGTTAAGACCTTCAATGATGCTTGGCTGTCTGAGAATACATATATGTACCTTTTAATCCATTTTTAACTATTTCTTGCACAAAGGAAAATTAATAGTGTGGGGCCAAGAGGTTTTGATACGTCAATATTTTGGCCTCTCCTGCCCCCTGCCCCCCCTCCATGTTACATTTAGACCCATCAAGATGGTATTCTGTAATATTAAGTCATGCAAATCTTTGTAATTTTTTAAATTGTGTTCTTCTTTTCCAAGGGTTTTGGCCACCATACAAGGACTCTATATGTGACCAGAGGTCAAACCATTGTATACTCCTAGCAGGCTATTTTGGGACTTATACACCAAGGATTTTTTTTTTTTTTTTGAGTCTTGGGAGGTTGAATAAGGATTTTAAAAATCCTTACCTCCACTGGACTTAATAGCTCTATTGTGGAACCCCTATAAATTATAACCATACCTTGGAAAGTGTACGTTTTCCTATAAGACTAAGCACTTCACTTTCCTTGCCTCTTTGCAGATGTCCTTTGATATGAGAAATGTTCTCCAGAAGTAGCTGAACTGTAAAGGGCTAACACATTACATTGTGCTAATATGTGCTAATGTACATGCAAAGTATATGTGCTAATGTCTCTGGTTCCTCCTGACAGATAAATATGGTTCTATCTCATCTTTGCCCAGCCCTTGCTTAGGTGGTAGTTAAGAGGGCAGCGGCTAGTATAGAGGTCTACAATTTACCTCAAATCCTGCCTGCTGAGAGAGAGGAGTTCCTTCATCTTCCTTTTTGAGAAATTTATAATTCTCATACCTGGTGCTTTTGTCCAATGCTTGAGTTTTTCTTCTTCAAGCCATTTTTCCAGTTCCAACTTAAGCACACACTCTGGTGCATGTGGTTGTGGTTCTGGCACTTTTTTGGCTAGCTGGTTAGCCTGTACATTTCCTTCATGTCCTGCTGAGAGAGAGAGAGAGAGAGGAGTTCCTTAATCTTTTTTTTTTTTGAAAAATTTATAATTCTCATACCTGGTGCTTTTGTCCAATGCTTGAGTTTTTTTTTCTCAAGCCATTTTCCCAGTTCCAACTTAAGCTTACACTCCAGTGCCCCTAGTTCTGGTTCTGGGTCCATGGGTGAGAGGGCTGTCCCTTTTATGTCTCGTTGGTTAGCCTGTTCATTTCCTTTTGCACCTTCATGTCCCGGAACCCACTTTAAAGTTATCTTTTGTTTTCCTAGAACCATTAGGCAGTTTAGGCATACAAGTTTGGAGTTTAAAGCATATGCCTTTATAGCTGCCCGTCTGTCCGAGAATATGTAAATTTGTGCACTTTTCATATTTTTCTTTATTAACCACTGTGCATAGAGATGTATTAGAAGGACCTCAGCTTGTAAATTGTTTATATTAAAGAAATGATGTTTGTAGATTGACCTGCAGATAATCAATGTAGAGTTCAATATCTTCTTTAAGGTCTTTACTAGGTGAAAGAAGGACAAAAGTGTTGGAATCACCAAGCTTATTAACTTAACATTATGTTGCCATCATCAGGGCCTATTTATTAAGAAAATATACATAATTAATATACATTTTAACAATCAACAATCAAAAACATCAGTGCATACTTTCCCAAGAAAGAAGAGAAAAAAAATTTTCTCATCGGAAAAAACTAATGCAATGGTTTAGGTTATGAAGCACATGGCCAGCATTTGGTTATATATGGTGAACAAGCCATCTATGTAAAATAAATTAATGAGTAATTATGACATTAATGATTGACAAAAATAATAACTTAATATATACAATAACATTTTTTATATAAANTAAACCATTGCATTAGTTTTTTCCGATGAGAAAATTTTTTTTCTCTTCTTTCTTGGGAAAGTATGCACTGATGTTTTTGATTGTTGATTGTTAAAATGTATATTAATTATGTATATTTTCTTAATAAATAGGCCCTGATGATGGCAACATAATGTTGCTGAAGCTTGGTGATTCCAACACTTTTGTCCTTCTTTCACCTAGCAAAGACCTTAAAGAAGATATTGAACTCTACATTGTTTATATTAGTCCAAGGGTGCACCATGTTTTGCAACAAAATCTTTGGCCTTCGCTTTTTGTATTACTTTGTCTATATGTCTCTTCGAGTTGTGCTTTTGATCTATTGTAATGCCCAGATATTTTGTCTTTCTGGAAAAAGTTTTTATCTTTTAAAAAGGGTGCTTTTAGATTTTTTGTTTCTCTTTGTAAATGGTAAAAATATTAATAAGTAATGTTATTTTTTCAGTATTTTCGCATTGGCTAAAACAGGCAAGGAAAACAATTTCATTCAACCGTACATCGTTCAAGAAAAAGTTATTAAAGTTGTTAACGGTTGGCATCCACTGTTAAAAGTGTATATGGACAACTTCATTCCAAACGATGTGCAAACTTCAGTGGCAGATGGCTTAGTAAATGTAATATTTGGGCCAAATGCAAGTGGTAAAACTATATTTTTGAAACAGGTATGATTCATTTGTATCAAACTGCTGGTACAATGCAATCATTTATATTAGCCTATTAGGGCTAATAAATACGGGATAGGGGAACTTTCATGGTCTTAAAACTATAAACTATTTGTACTACTAGAAGTCAATAAATTAACCTGCTTGTCACTTGGAATATATTGAAAATAAACATTTGCATTTTATTTTCAATTGAACATTTGTCCCAGCCAATTTAAAGCAATATCACAATTGACATATACATATAAATTTTCAGTATTGACTGAATCAGTTTGTTTTAAGATTGCCTTGATTGCATATTTGACTCACATTGGAAGCTATGTTCCGGCTGAGGAGGCAAAAATTGGTCTGTTGAAACGCATTTATGCAAGAGTGCAAGAATCCGAATCAATAATATCGAAGGTGTCTTCATTAATGTTAGAATTAAGAAGTGTAAGGGTTTTTTTATGTATTGATTGTAGATTAAATTGTACATTTTCATTATGAACTAGATGGCATTTGCGACTACTAAAACACCACCAGCTTCACTCTTAATATTAGATGAACTTGGCAAAGGATCTACTGAGCTGAATTGTACAGCTATACTTACTAGTTGCATTCAACAGTTTTTGTCTCGAAATGAAAACTGCCCACTAGTATTTATATCAACCCATTTAACGGATATTAGCCAATATATTGGTGATCAACAATTACTTTCGTTTCTGGTCATCACTTTTTTCTAAGTTAAAAATGTAACTTTTCAAAATTTTAACTATTGGCCTATTTTTTTATAGATAATGGATTACATAATACAACAAGGAGAGCTGGTATTTCTTCATAAAGTGAAAAAAAGTTACGCACATTCAAACTATGTCTTTGAGGTGATTGAAACCCTCGACCAAACACTTCCGTTTGTGAAGACTGCCAAAATAGTAAGTGTGTTGTGTTTTACAAATTTATTTACATTTAAAGTATTGTCTGGTTATTCAAATGCTTCACATTTTTTATTTATTAGATTCAAAAATGTACAGAGTAATACATGTACAAAATCTTGAAAGCTATGTAATTCATTACATAGCTGACATGTGGCAGAATTTATTAAACGGTTCCCAATGTTTTTACAGTAAACATCTTTATTATCACAGTAAAGTTTATTTAAAATTTTCCATATTTGGTTACATACAAGAGTTTAATCACAATGTCAACCTTCATATATAAGGGAAATACAATGAAATGAAACTAAACTAAACACTTAAATTTTTTTCTGTAGGTACTTGACGCACTAAGGACAGGAGAAAATATGTTACCATATAGTGAAACAAGACTAAAAAGAAGTCAAAGGTATGAATAATCATGTATACAATTATTGGGCAGATAACATGGTTCATTTCTTATATTGCAGGCATATGAAATTTGCAAAAAAATTTTCAGAGCTTGACATGAGCAAAAGCGGTTATATGGATAAACTCCGTGAAAAAATTCAGCGTTATTACGAAGCAAGTTTTCACATTTGAAGTTTACTTGAATTCATTTTAGATATATTCAACGACAGTTGTAACATACTTAAATAAAACATGTTTAATATCAAAATGTATATTTTCAATTTGATTTTTCAATAATATAAACAATAAGTTTCAATTTATGTGTAATTTTTTTTTAGTTATGTTTAAAAATATTTTTATTTACAAGTTAGGCTAACGGTTGTTCCTCATCGCTTTCTTCTCCTGTTTTTAATTTAACAAAACCTTGATGGCCCAAAATATTACCAAGGTTGAATACATCATTGCCGTTCGACTGGTTGGACCATCCTCCTCGTCCACATCTTCTGCAACCTTTGGAAAAATTTGAAAGAAAGAAAAATACCATTGAAAGAATTGTACCTTCATCATGCTAAGAATCATACCCAAATCACAATTTTCAATAGTTAAAAACCAGCTAAAACATTGTAAAAATACCTTCAGTACTACTGTATATAAAGAATCTTTTAAGTATAAACAATGTTTAAGTTTGCAGAAACGTGCTGAAAATACAAATTTTTGTTTTGATGGTATATTTAATTATCCAGCAATCGCCGGTTCAATTTCACCATACAGTGCAATGCTACAGAAGTAAAAATAGTTAATGAGATCTTAAAAATTTATCATTCAGCACTTAACTAAGAAAATGAACAGTAATATATTTGATCTTTAGGACAATAAACACAAGAGTATACAAATGCAAACTAAATTAAATCAGGTTAATTTAATTGTCGTATGCATCAAGTCATAAGCACAAAAACCGTTCTTGTCACCTACTTTACTATTAGGTTTCTATTGTAAATGTTTGTCAACATACTACATAAGGCCAAGGCACTACTAAGCACTGGCCAGAGATTATACAGCAAAACCTGGGAGAATATCAGGTGGTACTGGATATACACATCAAACCATATATGGAGCACATATGGCAAAAACACTGCATGAATAGACACAAAACAAACTTCAAATATAGTGTGTCTTAACATAACAGGAGCACTGCATACTTGTCCCACAACGGCAATGGAAACAGCATTCCTCTATCTCCCATCCGTACACATTCATGTACAAAAGGTGGCTTTCAAAAGTGCCAATAGATCCCTGAGATACATAGAAATAAAACCAGATCTAATGAGAAGTCATCACAAAATTCTAAAGAGAATTAAAAGAAATGAGGTGGCTATAAACATCTTACAAAATGAGGGGAAAACTCAACTTTGGTCATAGATAGCAGAGATCTTTATCAGAAAGACCAAACTTCAATTATCTTCTGAGCTGAGACCCATGCAATTCAACTCTGTACACAGTTTATAAAGAAGACAATAAAAAATGCGTGGATTTACATAATTTCGGACAGTCAGGAAGCTATAAAGGCATTAAATGTGTACGACTTTACCTTAAGGTATAGAAGGAAACGAACTGGCTGACCTTGGCTAGTTAGCCAAAAAAAGGCCCTTTTACCCATAGGACTAGAAGCTAGGTGCACCGAAGTGTGCTAGAGCTTGAAAAAAACTCAAGCACTGGACAAAAGCATCAAGTGTGTATGAGGCGAGCTAAGAAATTCACAAATCCCTTGAAAAAGAAAGCGAAGGAAAACTTTCTCAGTTCGCAAGATTTGGAAAATTATAAGACTATACCAGCATCCATTTCTCTTTTAACTACTACCAAATGAGCAAAGCAGAGACAGAAACAAGCCGGCTTTCTCAAAAGAAACCAGTGAATTCGGCCCATATCCTATGAGACCCCCTCCCCGATTTTTTTTTTACTAGGGTTTGCAACAGTAGAGGTCAGATCATATTTTGAGAAAAAGTCCATTTGTAAGTATGGTCTAAACATCTAAACCATTGAGGCAACAGATGCCCCTCCGTCTTAAGTTATTTTACTAAAATATTAAAATTCTCAAAGCAGATAAGATGGCCAGTATAAACCTAGTTTTTTTTATGGTAGAAAAGAAAGAACTACTATAACAGTGCAGTGTGTATTTTATCACTCAAATGTTATTATTATCAAACTGCTGCTACCATTTTGCATACTTGGTTTAATAAAAAATTATTTATAAGAAATAATTAAGTAAATCAAGCAAAGTGTGGTGTTATTTGATCAATAAAGTATGTGTGTGTGTGTTTTAAGTAAAAAGATTTATACAGTCGCATTTATGCATAACAAAAACAAAAAAAAATACACTTTAACATAAATGAAAATTGCCACTTAATAAAACATTAAATTGTGAATTACTGATGTTTTGGATTTACTTTTGTAAAAAAAGTTTATTTGCCTTCTTGGCCATTTTTAAAATTGTTATGTAACATTTAATATAAAATATCACCTTACTACCACACAACAATCAAACCAATTAATTTTTTTTCTTTCAAAAAAGGATTTATTCACATAAATAACAAGGTAAACAAGACAATAATGGGTAAAAAAATGAAACACAATGTTTAAAAAAAATAATTAAAATATGGAATATATTTCCAAGAAAGATGGAAACAAAACAAACATGGTTAAAAAAATAAAATAAGGGTGTTCTTAAATATCAGCATTTTGAATTAATGAGTCCCAATCTGCACTACCTGATTCTCGTGAACGTGAATATTTAAATGCTGATATAACGATAGCTGCGGAAAATAAAATACAAGCGCCGGTCACCATAAGTGCACCAGTGAGTCCTTTTTCACTGGCCGGAATGGTATAAACAGCCTCTTGCTTCACCGGTAAAGGCTGTGATGTGGTCATTTTACTAGACTCCGACTTAGTTTGTGATGTACAGTTATCTATAATTAGACATAATGTTTAAATACAATAAAATAAACATAAATCAAAGTAGCTCACTTACTTAAAACAAATTTCCAAGCTTTGAATGGTGAAATTTCAACGACATATACATTTTTTCCATTATTAGAAATGGCAATATCATGGGGATTCGTCAATGGGCCGAAGCTTCCAAGCAATTCCCCTTTCATTGACAACTTAAAACCCTGCACAGGTACGTTTTGACCAAAATCTACACCATTAACTACATAAATTGCTCCTCCTAAAAACATACATTTCTCATATTATAAGATTCCTATGATTAAATAGATTTTCTTAAGAGAAGAAAAAATATAAATTATTATATTAATAGAAGCATTATTACCATACAAGAGACTATGTAAATTTTCTTTATTGGATTCTACTGAATGTTCTTAGTGAAAACATCCAGTATAACCAACAAAAAACTATTACAGTTTAAACAAATCACAGGTAAAAATTAATACAAATTAATTAATCTTTATGTAAGGTATTGGTTGAAATAAAAAAAGTTAGTGTCCTGCTCGTGACACTAACTTTTTCATTTCAACTAATACTTTACATAAAGATTAATTAATTGAAAGAAATTATTTGGTCAATCGGACCAGGAAATATAATAAATTTAATTAATACAAATATTACAGTCATAAATACCATCAACGCTGGAATATGCTACACTGAAAATCCTGTGTCCAATTGCTTTAGATGATACTATGAATGAAAAATTCCCAGTATTGGCATTAAAACATTGAACCCGTCCATTTTCTCGGTCAGCCACAAAGACCAAGTTCTTATCCTCCGCCAGTGCCAAGGCATGTGGTATAAAGAACTCTCCTGGATCGGGTGTTCGAAAATCTAGAAAAAAGTTTCACTACAATCGTTGATTTCCTCACATCTGTACCATATGTAAGACAATTAGTATTTAAGAAATTCAGTCTCTTTGATTTTTAGCTATGGCAATCGTCCACCTTTTACTTGCACATTTTCTTCGATTCATGGACAAGCATAAAATCATGGATGTATAACCCAACCCATGCTCATATAAGAAAATCATTGATGATACAACAATATTAATAAATAAAAATTAAGACGAAATATGTTTCCTTCAATTTGAAAATATCCCAAAATGATACGATTTACAAAAGACAAATACCTTTATTTACAGTAGTCCTTCCCCATTCCAGTATTTTAACACCTTTTGAATTAAATTTCATTATTCTTGAATTGCAATAGCCATCAGCAACAAAAAAATCCCCATTAGCTGTAACAGCTACAGATGTCGGTTTGCAAAAGTGTGAAGAGTCTCTACCCGGTGTTAATCTCACACCAAGAACCAATACAGCACTTTTTGACTGAGGTGATAATTTCATTATCTGATGGAGAGCAACGTCAGTTACCCAAACATTGAATTCAGCATCAACCGTGATACCATGAGGCAAAAAGAATCTGTAAAAACAAAATTATAATAAAAATTCTAAAGGCTATGTTAAAAAAAAACTCACATTCCACTACCCCATTCATTCAACAAGGTGCCATTTTTGTCAAATACAAGGATCGTGTTTTCTTTTATCGGGCCTTCTTGTGGTTGGAGGAAATTGTTTTCAATGTCGAACGAATTGGCATTCCAAATTCTTCCGGCTCTATGAAATATGTATATGTTATCCAGGGCGTCAACTGCCACTCCACTAATTTGTCCAAATTTGTAATCATTTTTTGTCAGTGGATATGTCATCCAGGCTGAAAAATAAAAACACTTATTGAAATTTGCAAATCGAATACTGTTAATTTAAGCTTTGCTGATCGCTTAGCATAGTGACCCTCTACTATGGATAATTAATAAATTTTTCATAGCTGGTTTCAAATTAAGGCTTAATTATTTTAATTAATTATTCTTTTTATATAAGGTCTTGGTATAGCGGGATAGCACGAAGACAGACACTAACTTTTTCATCTCAACGAAGACCTTACATAAAAAGAATAATTAATTGAAATAATTAATATGGCCAATTAGACCACTAAACACAAATGGATTAAGGCATATTTATGAGCATGTCGAGAAGATTAAAGTGTGTAATAAGAGCAAGAAGAAAGTAACACACCTTTTTAAAGATTTTTAAGTTTGTTTTATAATTTTTTTATGCTCATACACAAAAATAATGTTTTTCTTTTATCATTTTTTATTTTTATTTTCGATAGGTATTTTTATATTCACATGGACCAAATCATTTAATAAATATCTGGATTATAAAAAATCTAGGCGTTAATCTTATTGAAAAGGCAAGCACATAAAAAATATCAATTTCAAAGTGTGCCACATTTTTTGTCGAGCAGTGTATTGGAGATAAAAGGCTTACTTTCAGGTTTGTTGAATGCCTCTCCATTTTGACTATTTCCATCGACCTGAAAGAAGAAAAAAGTGTTAAAAAGTTGACTGTACCATGACAAAAATTCAGTAGTAATTGTAATTACAACTATATACATTTTAAGAATATCTAGGAAGGACTATATGAGAGAACGCATGGGATTTAACTAAACCAGCGTCATGAATTGGAATAAATAAACAAGAAACTCTTTTTGCACGCTGTTATTCAATAATTATAGTTCTAATTCATGACAATATTCACATTAGCAGCAAACCTCAGCATATTCTGATATATTTCAAATGAAGGTTTATTATTATTAGTATTATAAATGTTTTCAAAATGGAGTTTTGGTTTGAACAAACCCTGGGCAACTTAGTTAAGTCAGAATCTTTGGGGGGGGGCTGCCAAGGAAGTTAGAAAAAACTTTTTGTGAACAAATGGATTGTTTTATCAAACTATATTTGGTGTAAGTTTAGCAATAAAAAAAAACTATCCAACCACATTATCATGTTATGATAACAGCACAATTTACAAGGTTGGCGGAGCAAGCTAGAAGGAAATGGTAGGGAGAGAAAAGATAGCACGATATCAAAAATAAAAATCTGAGTTCGCAATCATCATAAGTTAGAATCATCAACCTTTATGGAGAATAAATTTGTCATATTTACATGAAAACATTCGACACATTTTCTTCTTTTGTCGACTCAAAGTTTCAGTGCTTAACTTTTGTGGTTTCTTGTTTATATTTTATATGTTGGCAATTCTTTTTGATGATTAAGGTTTGGGGAGAGTAGGACATTTATACGAACACAAAAAAAAAACAAAAAAAAAACAAAGGCTGGACTATATTATAGTATGATGGTTTTGATCACTTTTGTAATCGATGGAATCCACAGGTGTTCCAGTCTCCAGTTTTATTAAAGGCAATTATTCATAAAAGAGGGACTGGATGACGATTTTCGATTAGAAACGAGTGAAATCGCCAAATGTGAAAGTCAGAGGGTTTAAACAAAAGAGAATTAAATAAGAAAATGAGGCGACGTGAAAGGGCTAAAGTCATAAGAAAAATGTAGTCAACGGTTGATCCTCCCTCCTATTAAAAAAGGATTTAAGGGTGTTTAGCAAGAAATCAAATCAGGAAAAAACGAAATAGTACAGAGAAACATATGAACCATATTGCATTACAAAACGAGACATTATAAAATTGGTTTAATTACATGAACGTTCGCCGAGACGAGGGCCGGTAACCATAAAACAGTAGTGATAAAATTAAAATAACACATAGCAAACAGACATAACTAACTAGAACTTGTATATAGTCGTTATCCGAGTCCCGCTAATAAACAGTAAGACCTGAGTCGGAAGGGGAAAATCAATGAAAAGCCGAGACGGCTGGAAAGACAGTCGTTTTAAGTGTCAGGCACGAATTGGCAGGAGCCCGTGGAAGTGGCCGGACTGGCCGGCGATGTGGAAAGTGGAAACTACGGGAGAAATCGCTTGGACCCTCGGACAGCAGTTCTTGACTTTCCGACCCAGTTCGACAGCGGCACGGAACCAATTCAACTGGCCCTCTGTTGATCCTGATATTACGGATGGGTATCGTGCACTCGATGTTTATGAAACATCGTTGTTTTTTTAAAAACATCGATGATTCTATCATCGAAAGCCAACTATCCGATGTTTTGTATAACATCGATGTTTTATTTTTTGTTCGTGTCAAAAACCCATTTCTTAAAAAAAGTATACAAAAGTAAGGAGAGAAAAAAAATATAATAAAATGCTTATAACTAGCTCAACATTAATAAAGAATAAAACACTGTTTTATACTTCAATGAAAAAGACAATAAAATATTTATAAATAAACATCATAAAGATTTAATTAAACACCCTGCCTATATAATAATAACGACTATGAATGAGAATATGTATATATATAAAAATAATATAATAAAGCATTATAACTACATACATAGTAAATTTTTACTTTTTTTAACTAAATAAAATTATTTTGCTTTAAGTACTTGAAACTTTAATGAGGAAACAGGAGTATTAAATAAAACAACATTATTGCATATGTTGTTGCATTCTATCATCATGCAATGCATCAGAGAGTGTAGTGAAAAATTTGTTCCTTTACATTCAATAAAAAATTGATTTCTCAGGTGGCATGGAGGTACATAAAATTGGAGTTTACCAAGGATTTCTGGGGAATCTGTACAAATATTAATTAATTTGAAAATAAAAATAATCTCAAAATGTTTTCTTCTGCAGCTAAGATCTGAAATAATTATAATCAGAATAAGAAGTATGACTTAATGGGAGCATGAGACAATTTATCATTGTGACAGTTTACATATTAATTACAATACTTTTTAATAATTGCGCAATATTTGTATTAAGTTTGCAGAGAAGATAGCACATCTCAACACATGGAAAGTTCATTCTGGGTATTAATTTATTTGATTACATTAAACTGTGGTCTTATTTACTTATTTAAAATAAAAATAAACTCTGCCCATCACTACTTACATTCAATTTTAATTCTTCCTGTAGTTTACATATTATAAAAACCTTGCATCATAGATTTAAATCTATGAATGATTTATTTAGAGTTGCTGGGGCGCAAGCGCTGGAATTTCCTTTTACGGTATATTTTGTTAGCCCACCCCTATGCAGTCACCTTGAGCTAAAACAGTACTACTCGGATGCTTTCCTTGATGTGGATCATTTTGATAGGGTTTGGCATCTGGGTTTGCTGTGAAATCTATCAACTCCATCGACTCCTCTGTATAAAAAGCAATCCTCTTTCATACCTACATAATGCTGTCTTAAAAACTACTCATTTTCCCTTGCAGTGGAAGTTGTCCATTGTAAAGACCCAAAACCACCTAAACACTTTTCTCAATCATATCACCCAATACTACAAAAATTCTCGAGACACTCCTGAAAACAATCCTTCTCAAAGAAAAACAATTATTCCATCTTACTAGTTTAATTTCCATAAACATCACAATCCAGCAATGCCTCTGTGCTGAAGCGTATTGCTTGAGTCCTTTCCTTAATGTGGCTCAAACCCAAAGGTTGATAGGGTGTAGTGCCTGGGTTTGCTATGGAAGCTCAAGAGCATCCTTCCCTTCACCTACTTCCTTATCCTCCGATCTTATCTGACCCTTGAAGTCAGCTAGAGAACATCCATCTCTGACTACTGTCCTGCTAAGGCTGGAATCCCAGAGAGTAGTATCTTTGGTCCAATCCTGCACTACCTTCTCATGCCGACACTTTCACAGATGTTACTGCTTTCCTGCCTTCTAATAAAGATCCTATTCTCTCAAATTGCTCTCTACAGGCTCACCATCAAGAACCTTGGCTGAAAATGTGGTCAATAAAAATAAATGTTGATAAAAGCTATCACAGAACTTTTATTCTCCATTGTGGAATAATGCCATCACTATATCCACATCATATATCCCTTTTTATAGTTAACCACATCTGCTACCTTGGGCTATATATCAACAAAAGATTGTACTAATCCCAATAATCCTCTCAGGAGATTAAAGCAGCAGTGGCCTCATGACCTGTGGGCAGTGAGTCTTAGCCTAGAAGGGTCATCATTGGGTGATTCTTTGCATTCTAGTAGTAATTTTTTTCCTAAATTATCAGATTTTGTTCTGATTTATTTTTACATATGTTCACATAAACAATTTTACTTGTGGAATATTAAAATAAATACAGTCATAAAAAAAATCAATTTTGCTCACAAACTAATACTTGAAACTATTTTTTTTTATTCACCCTATTATTTCAAAGGATGACAAAATATAGAGCATACAAAAATAATATTTAATTACAGAAAAGAATCACATTAAAGAAATCACAAAATTGTATTGCCACACAATAAGTTAAATACAAGTAACTGTTTGCACTGTCACAACAGGATTCATTGACGAAACTAACGAATAAGGAAATGATTTAATTCCATGACAGGATGCTGCATATTCTCCATCTTTATTTACAGCGATGATAGCACCTGAAAAATTTTTGTAATAACTTGCAATTCTTCTTATGAGTTTGTCAACAGCTGCTTTTGGTTTGATGCCATTTCTCATCATTTCAACAATAGTAGAACTAGAGAAACACACTTTAATTAAAAAATAAATAAATACATAAATAAATAAATTATACAGTTAAACAAACCTTGGCAGAAATCTCATCATGATATCACCATCACCTGTTGCAACTGCAGCACCAACTTTACTATCTGCATAAGCACCAGCACCTGGTATAGGGGCATCACCAACTCGCCTGAATTAAAAACAATACAAATTTAACATTATTTACTAAATAAAGCTTTCTAATCTTTTTTCTTTCTTCTTCTTATGCAGAAGTGATGAAAAAATTAAAAAGATTAATGAATGGTGCAAAATGTTTATAGTTAACAATAATCTAAAATAAATTCTCAATTTACCAAATTACCAACATATATTTACCCAGGGATTTTATGATTAGCTCCATTACTAGATGTTCCAGCAACAATGGAACCATTTTTATCAATGATTACCATACTGATTGTGTCATGATTCCAAACATTGATTCGGTTTTCTGTAGGAAACCGATCATTTATCTTTTCATTGATTTTTATAACAGGTTTGTATGGTCCACAATCCTTTTTAGGATCAGGCGTAACATCCTGTAAACAAAATATATTTTATTTGCACAATATGTAGACTCACATCACCTAAACTCATTTATTTTTCATCAAAGGAATTATTTTATAACTTTTATAAACCAGCATACATACTACTACTACTTGTCTGAAATTGTTATTTGCATGGTTTATAGCCTCAGGGCTGACAAAATACTTACAGTCCAAAAATTTGGCTGGCAGCTCTTCGACTTCCATTCCTCATAAATCTTGGAAGAATAACTTGTAGAAAGGGATTCTTCTACAAATCCCATCTTTTTAGCAAATGCTGTAGCCAATTCACCAACGAGAATAGAATGCTCAGTCTGTTCAAGAACTTTCCTAGCAACTGAACTTGCATGTTTTATTCTCCTCAGACCACCGACAGCCCCCATGTTCATTGTATCTCTGAAAAATGGAAATAGTGTTATACTAACCAGTTTGGTTTGTGCTGCCAAGTGTCTTGCATTTGATTTTGATTTTTTTCTTGCTTCTAATTTTGTGAGTTGTCATAGCTGCCAGAACTGATTGCAATAGTGGATGAAATTCACCAAGCAAAAGACATGAAGCTCCCTCTCGAAAGTCAAGTATGGATGTACCCAGTAAATAAAATATAAAGATTTACTGCCGCAAAATACAAAGTACATAGATAGTAGATTCAAAATTCAGGAATTCATCTACACTATAAAAAGCATTCTGAAATAAACATCCTTAAAACTACGCTTTAATGAAGGCATGTTATCTAAATTTTTAACATCAGGTGAAAGGGGCTTATAAATTATCACACATTTGTAAAACACATTTCTTCTATTAATTTGCATGTTTTTTATTGTGTAGTGGAAATCATTTGCCCTTGTAGTTTCATACCCATGAACATGAGAACGTGTTATAACAGCAAAAGTGGCTAAGGAGAAAATATGTAAGCATGGCAGTGTCAGGATTCTTCATTTTTGTTCCAAAGCTCTCCATGAATCAAAACAGCCAGTCAAGGACATAAACTATGAATAATTCTTTTTTGAATTAGAAAACCTTATTTAAGAGCGAGCTACAGCCCCAAAAATAAGTCTGTATTGAGGATTGGTTGGAAACAACTTGTATAAACTATTCTGATTTTTGCACTTGTTGATTGCCTAAGCATTCTTATAGCAAACAAAGACATCCGAGTTTCAGTTGCAGTAGGAAAATTCCTCCCATGTTAACTGTTGTCAAGGACAACACCCAACACTGGGACTGGATCCAATGGAGACTCTCACCATCTATCAACATGCCAGCTGACGACAAATCAAGGGAATCGCTAAAACTGATATCTACTGTTTTCTTTATATTAACAGTAAGACCATTTTCCAAATCCCAATTCATGACTATGCATTGTTGCTTAATTTTTAGCCATAACTCATTGGAAGTGATTAAGGTGTCCACAAACTGATTAAGATGTACACCCTCAGCACTCTGTACGAAGTCATTAATATATATTAAAAATAAGAGAGGGCCAAGTATGGAAACCTATGGTGCTTGGGATGTTGGAAGATGTCTCCCCACCGGATTTTGTTTCTGTTGGCAACCAGATAAGAGGCAAAAGGATCATTAGCAACAACTCGTATCCTTTCTTGCAATGTAAATGGTAATGGTCGACCAAGCTGAACGCTTGGGAAGGGTTCAATAATATGCCTGCTACTTTAAGTTTATTTAATTTTGATTCAACCAATTATTCTACTCAGTGCATCTTCTGTTGAAAATAATTTTCTAAACCTGAATTCAAATATAAACCAATAATTTTTGTGGAAAAATTCAGACAATCTATTGCAGAGTACCTTTTCAATAACCTTGTCAATATGATCTAACTTGTTTATAAATGTGTATGTTGTACATGCCAGGTTTTCTTCGATAGACATTCATCCAATCGGGTGGCCATATGTATACTGGCGGTGTCTGAAGTACTTGTTTCTGTTTCTTCAGCTCCGAGTGGGACGAATGTGCATTGAATAGTTGTGGGCTGAGCTTAAAACATGTAGTTTTATGTATGAAAACCTGTCCACTTCACAACTCAAGTACATGCAATGCCAAAATTCATTTTATTAGTAAATGTTCTGCTTTGTAAAAAAATCAGATTTGATTGCAGCTCAGAAATAAATCAAAATTCAGAAAATAAGACTGTTTATAATTTATTTTAAATTCCCCATGAGCAAGGTATTTGATGTTTGAATATTTTCGATAAACTTAAGCTGCAATTTGATCCTAACTTTGTAACAACAAACACAATGTTTCTCAAGAAAACATTCTTAAGGATGAATTTTGATTGGTCTAATTAATTATCTAGGGGGTCTAATTAATTTATGGAATATACACAAGGAGGGACAATTTACCAGTTAAAAGAATTACTGAATTTATTCTGAAAAACTCAACATGTTTTCTTTGGTCTCCACCCAAAAGTAATCAAATTTATGTGTTACAATTTCTTTGGAAAAACTTACCCATCAAAAATCATAGCGTCGAGTGTCGATTCTCCATTTTCATCAGGGCTGCCTCCATAACCGACAGTATGATCACATTGCAAATCCTCGCATTTGGTACAACCTGCTTCTATAGCGTCAATAGCTGATTTCATTTCATGGGTCAAAGTTTGCCATGCTTAAAAATAATAGTTTCTTACATAAAATACTCCAAAAACACAATGTGCATTTTTAATGTCATTAGATAGATTACTTATTTTTACAGGTTGATTATTGGTTATCAATGGTTAAACCTAGCATTATCTGCATGTTATATGCTTTTTGAGGCAAAACATTCTATTGTATTAAAAACAAACCATTTTAATAATTTAAAACGTTTTTGATATTTAAAGGAATCAATTTACTTGTTTCTTCATAATTATATACTTTTGTTGCAAAAGCTTTCAAATTTCATGTGAACCAACCAATCCAATTTTCATAGTTGGCAATACAAATTACAGGAATTCACTAATTCAATTTACCTTTCAACAAAGCAACCAAGGTTTTCATGAACTTTTTTTTGTAATTTATTTATTTAAGCCTTATCATGCAGAACAATAATCCCACATCTGCACCTTTATCATTACTTTGCCTATTTTCATTGGATTTATCTGTCAGAGGTATTTTATCATCTTAAGTAGCCAGTAAAAACTTATATCACTGTTGATCATGATTATAAACAGAAATTTTGATGGTTTAAAAACAAACAAATCCATTGTATACTTTCAATTTAGAACTTTCATCACTTTTAATTTTTTCTCTGTTTTGAGAGCTCAATAGAAATTTAGGGATATGTCTTGAATAATTTCAAATGGAGGATATTGTGCAGAAACTATTTTAAGATGTCTGGCATTGTTACTTACCCATGTATATTTTCTTCTTGTGAGGTCATATACAAGGATTCGGCTACTTATAATGGTGATTTTCATTTCATTCAATAACAATCAGCTTCTACCCTAACCAAGCCCTCAAGGTGACACTCTCACCCAATGTGGTAGGTGTTAAGTGTTTTATTCAATTGCCAAATAATATCAAAAGTGAAGCTGATAAGCATATTTTTTCTAAAAAAACTTAAAAAAGTGGTTGAAATCAAAAACTTTTTACGTGGTAGATGAATTTTTACTGTCGTAAATCACCTTGACTTGTATGTTGCTTTGTAATATTTGTATTTCTATCTTAATTTTATGATTAATCACTATATTACACTACTGTAATCAATGGAAAATAAAAAATGAATTAATAAATCAGTTCTGCCGAGAAGATACTAAGGCCTGAAGGCAGTTTAAACCTTTCACCTTTCTGTCTCTTGGGGCCATACCAAGCACAACCAATATCATACCCAATATGGGTTTTTACAAAGCAAACAAATATCACCGTAAAATATCAAATTTACCGTCATTGTGGGTTACTCTGTATATTCTCTATGGAAAATAATGTTTCTACAGAAAAAATAGTGTATTTACCTACATATGTCGCTTTAGTAAATGCCCAGGTATTTATAACAAGAGGGATCGTTGAATTTGTGATTGCATTTTGCTGCAAGCTTCTGTGACAAAGTAACGTCAAGATTAAAATCAAAGGTAATCTTTTCTGACCCATGGTGGACTTAATTTCGACTAGAGACCTGAAAAGTAAAAGGTAGTAAACAAATTGTGGATTATGTACTCTAGAAATCAAATAAGAACACTTAATATTAGTTGAAATTGGCAAAAAATGATCAAGCACTAGTGTTTTTCCTTTGATTGATTTTCTTTGATTGATTTCTTTTATCAATTTTAATTCTTTTTTTTAAATGTACACTCACTACAAAAAATCTCTGAACACCTACTGGTTTGCCCAAAATATGAGCTCTAAATTTCTTATTAGAAGTCACTGGATATAAAAACATTATTTTTGTAAATCTTAATGTATCATTTAAAGGCTTTTGAACATGAAAAATAAATGATTTAATTTAAAGATTATTGGTTCCCATAATAACTATGAATACACCAATCTAAAGGTCAAAAAAGTAATATAAAAAAAAAAATCACTATTTTGCAGTGTCAATCTAGAGGTCAAAAAAGGGGAAAAAAATCACTATTTTACAGTGTCTATCTGATTCTTTGTTTATTTTGTGCAATGTTATCTTAATTGCACCTTTGCTTAGTTAGGATAGTAGCCTTTAATTTGGAAATACGGCAGTCCACTCGAGAAGATATCATCCAGATAATTACGTCATCAAAGAAAAGAGTATTAAGTTCCTTTAAGAAGGCACCCTATCAGAACTTTCAATTATTTTCAACTTTCAATATTTAATTATTCAATTCAATAAAAGAAGATGTTATTAAATTTGCCATTGTCTACTCTGAATTTTCCGACAAGGTTGCAAATTTAGTTTTTTACAAATTTTAAATTTAGCAATTTTGAATTTTTTTTAACCAAAAGTTAAATTGAAAGTGCCTTAATCTTCCTTCGAGTGCAATATGTTGACCGCTGAGTTCGGGTGCAATGTGCTTGATGGGCACACAATAAAAAAACGTAATAAACACCTAATTAAGTTCATTTACACAACTGATGAACATCATTACTAAAGATGTCAAAAGAAGAAAAAATAGAAAAAAATATGTATTTGATATAAAACTATTCGAACAAATTTTATTGTAATTTTTGACCGTTAATAAAGTACAATTAGAAAATCTTTTTAAAAAAAGTATAGTTAGAAAATGTTTACAGTATTAAAATCTATTCAGTCATCTTCGGAGAGTTTGTACCTTCTCCAGTAAAGCATCGAAGGCATACCATATTTGCATGGGAGTAAGCAGATAGGGATAGGGCTAAAAGAGGCAGCTACAAGGCCTTCTGCACCTCGACCGTAATCAACCTCTATAGCCTTTCCAGCGGCCTCTTAGTGTAGGATCTTGCTTGTGGTTTTTCCTGTCCTAGTTGCAAGAACCTGCACCTAAATAGACAGACAAATAGAAGTCTCACATTTGTGATTTGTCAGCCTTTACATTATTTAGTCTTACACCGAAGGTCATACATTTTAATGCAATATTTAGAAAATACATTCCTTCAAAAATGTGATGAGTTCGGGCGCAATGAGCTTCTTTGAACAAAACTTGAATAACTTCCAGAAAGTTGAAGACAAACTAGGTCGGAAGGTTGCATAGATCACGTTAAAAGATGGGAGAGCCAGATTCAAACGCCGCCAAGAATAAGGGTGAAGTAACAAAATGCTCGAGCTGTGTCTGTCAGATCAAATGCACCCGATGGAAGGTTAACGCTCATTTCAATACTTTTTTTTTTATTTAACCAAAAATGAATAGTTCAAGAGCTACGAGTAGATTTGAAAAAACGTAGATATGACCATCAAATACCCTTCATTAAAAACCTAATCCCTAACAAATTTTCTACATTCTGGGAAAAACTATCCTCACAACCTAACCCATTAGCCCGATCTATGTCCAACATTACCCATCTCTACAACCAGTTTGTAGCCAAGAGGGTCCTACGATGTATGTACATAACTTTTCCCACCTTCCATCCCACCACGCCTAAGTAGTCCCCATAGTGGCAGAACAAACGGCTACTTAATGGTAATAAGGATACTAGAAAGCGGGGTTTGTGCTCCCCAGGCACTGCAGCCTTCTGACTTATTGTACCTTCCTAGTTCCTTAGTTCAGTGCAGTAGTCTCAATCCTTCTACTTAGAAGTATCAGGTCATGACTGTCGTTGCTACAATTTCATTCCCTAAGCTACTTGGCATGCTAAAAATACAAATTTGGGGGAGGGTTTAATTTCTCCTTAAGGCCTTTATTTGGTCTCGCCTATAAAGGGAGGCCAAAGGGAGGTAAGGGAGATTGGATATTTTTAAACATATTTTTCTAATTCAAAGGATCTCTTTTTGCTGGTTTTCCCATTTAACTAATATCTGGAAGGGCTTTTAAAATATTTAAAATTTATAGATTTGACTAGTTAAGCCAAAAGGAGCCCAGCCCAAGCTAAACTTTTGAATGATTGCAATTTACCTAAACCTAATAAAATACCCATCACAATATTATCACAGAAAAATTTTTAAGCGCTTGGTAGTGTTAAGTCATTTGGACTAGGTCTTTGAGAGTGGGAGGCCAGCAACTCGAGTGCTCTTTTTTTGAGTGTTTCGCTCTCTCTTTCTCTCTCCAACTTCTTGCAGATCTTTTGCTCAATGTCCTCTTGGACACTGCACTCCATACTCAGGGGGCTGTATGTTCTTTTGAATTTATGCAGGTAACTGGCAAAATTGCCATTGCATAGTTTGGCAGGTCCAGCAATCGGGGAGAGGATCCATTTTGCATGGGTTTGGTCTCGAACCGATGGAAAGTATTGAAAGGTTAGGCTTTAACGCTTTCTTGCTATCTTTCCTCTACCAATTTGACCAGAAATCGTTTGCTCCCCCCCCCCCTTAGAACATTTGGCTAACTATTCCATTTCATGACTCCTCTGTCTTGGATGCTGATCGTTTTTCCTCTTTTTTTTCTCACAGCAGTGCTTTATATATGTAGCTATTCAGAAAGCTTGGAGAGCAACAATGGTTGTTGGCTCCCCTCAGAATAAATCTAAACAATAAATAACATTGTATCTCATTACATAATATATATAATTTGTACAGATGGTAATTCAATTTTTAAAAAATAATAATTTAAATGGTGTGCTTCTATTTCACTGAAGGTGTTTAGATACTTTTTTACTGAGTGTAATTGAGAGTCAATAAGAAAAGGTGAATCTGTTACCTAAGACCTATAATTTTTCCAATATTAAATAAACTTACAAGGCAAGGAAAATGATCTTGCATTTTTTACAGAGTATTCGACAACACTTGAAAAGATAAATCACGACGTCTGGAATTTTCAACATTCATGTTATCAATTGTAGTGAAATGTATAAAAAATAATAATAAAATGACAGATTTGAAAAGGTTCGCCGACCAGTTTCAACGTACCCAAAAAAGATATGAATACTTCCTCACGCCAACTCACTTGACACATCAATCGGAGAACAGAATTGTGATGATACGAGATGAGCATTGAGCACTAGCAAAGTAGCAACTAGCAAGTAGCAGTCGTCAGTCAGCAGTCAGAAGTGGGGATTATCACAAGTGTCAACTATCATATTAAAACTTGAGCCGTTTTGATATCGATTGACATGAATTTACTTTTCCCATCGAAGCAAATCCCTTTCTTCCTGGCAGAATATATCGATTAAGCTTGTTATTTGAAAAATAAAACACCAGGGGTGTGCTGTTTGTCCAACTATATTTTCCCTAGTCGATGGAGTAAAACTCCGTTCTGTTGATTAAGTGTGACCAGGATTTTTTTCATTATATTCATAGGAAATAGTTTCGTCTATTGGTTCTGTAGTGTCTTTTCAAGAAACCTGCGACTTTCTTCCTGCTTCTCGTTACATGTTGGTGGTCTGGCCAGTAGTATTGTTGGTGTCTCGTCTTCTTCCTTGCAAAATTTGCACGTGCCGTGTGGGATTGTACCAATCTTCTTCAGATGCCCATTTAGTCTGCAGTGGCCTGTTAAGATCCCTGTAAAAATTCAAAGTTTCTTCCTGCTTCCTTTAATGCATTTTCTTGTTTCTTACCTGCCAAACTTGTTAAAAATTTTTGTGGATTGTTTGTGTTCAATGAATGAATTCCATTGTTTCCTCATTTTCATTTTATCTTTTATCTAAAATAGTGTGAGACCCTATGACACAGAATGGCTCAGGACCTGTCAACGATATAGCAGTCCTCTTCCTTACAAGGGTGTCTGCTCTCTCTCTCTCTCTCTCTCTCTCTCACACTCTCATTTCCCTGCACTGCTACATGTCCTGCATGTAGATGTAGATATAATAGCCGGGGTGTAATGTACTGTGCCTTTTAAGAGCTATTGTATCCCCTGTTCAATGCCTAGAGAGTCCTATTTTATCAAGGAATTTGATTAGTAGGCCCGGTTTCAATGGTCGAATATCTTCTGTGGTCACATTGTACATCCCAAAGCACTTCCTCCTGCGGGCATTTGTAGCACCGCAGTTTTTAAGTAGGTGTGTTGGTGTCTCCTCTGCCTCTTTGCATAATTTACATGTGCCGTCTTGGATTATTCCAATCTTCTTTAAGTGTCCATTTAGCTTGCAGTATCCTGTTAAGAATCCTATTAGGATTCACAGTTTATTCCTGTTTCCTTTGACACATTCTGTAATTTCTTTTTCTGAAATTTGTTAGGAGATTCTTGGATTGCCTGGGTCCAATGAGTGAATTCCATTGTTCCTTCATTTTATTTTTGTCCTTCTGTCTGAGATACTCTTGATAATGTCCTGCATGTCCTAGGACCCACCAGAGAGTGACTTTATTTTGCTACCTAATTTATTTAATTTAGTTTTGAAATTCGACACCATCTTCAAGCTAAAGATGTTTGAGCTTAATGCTTTCATGGCAATCTGGCTATCTGGAATTAGTCCTGGCATGGACTTCAGCCTGAAAGATTCTCATGGTTTCTGAATATTTGGTTCCAGGACCGAACTCCCTTGCCTCATAACTTCTTGCATTTTAGATCCATCAGTACTAGCAGATGGTGCTGTTCTCAATGAAGGGTCTTTCCCTCTTTTCTCTTCTTTTTTGGTACTTAGGTCTGTCTGAAAATTTGTTTGAATTCAAATATCCTGTTCATGTCACCTTGGGCAACAGATGTTCCTGCATTTTTTTTTGTATTGGGTTGTCCGGAAAATAATGCAGGATTTTGGTATTAAACAAAAAAAAAGAAACTAGTTACTTTAAAGCAATGTTCTTTAATCAAAATAATTTCCCATACTCTCAATACATTTCTCCCAACGTGTTGGTAACTTATTAATTCCGTCTGAGTAGAATTCAGAATTTTTAGAATTGATAAAGTCAATAAATGCATTTTCCAGTTCCGTTTGATTTTTGAATATTATGTGTTGTAAGTAGTGGTCCAGGTGTCTAAAAAAATGGTAGTCAGTAGGCGAGAGGTCCGGAGAGTAGGGTGGGTGAGGCAAAGTTTCATAGCCAAGCTCCAATAATTTTTGTGACGTTACACGTGACACATGTGGTCGAGCGTTGTCATGCAACAAAATGGGCCCTTTCCGATTGACCAAAGAGGGCTTCATTACTGCCAATTTCTGATGCATGGTATTAATTTGGTTACAGTATGATTCAGCATTGATGGTTTCGCCAGGATTTAAGAAGCTGTAGTGTATTAAACCAAATGAAGCCCACCATACCGTAACCATTACCTTTTTTTGATGAGTTGGGGGCTTTGGAGCTTCTCCTTTGTCGAGCCACTGTCCAGAACGTCTAGTGTTATCGTAGAGAATCCACTTTTCGTCACTTGTAACAATTCTGGCCAGAAATGGGTCATTTTTGTTTCGACAAAGAAGTGATGCACAAACATCAAAGCGCTGATTTTTTTGCGATCGTTTAATGAGTGTGGAACCCAATTTTCGAGTTTTTTCACTTTTCCAATCGCCTTGAGGTGGTCAGCGACGGTCGTTTTACTGACTTTGAGTTGCTCTGCAAGTTCTCGAACAGTTGTTTTGGGGTTTTCTTCCACCACTGATCGCAGAACATCATCATTAAGAGAGGAAGGCCTTCCACGACCTTCTTCATCTTCAAGGCTGAAATCTCCCTCCCGAAATTTTTTAAACCACCTTTGCACAGTGCACTCATTAACACAACCCTCGCCCCAGACTTGGTTAATGTTTCTAGCCGTTTGGGCTCCGCTTCGGCCGAGTTTAAACTCGTAAAAGAAAATCGTACGAAATTCTCGCTTTGACATTATAAGGATGACTGAATTATTTCCAAGTAGCGGAATGCTACAGAGGTAAACAAACAATATCATTTGGAAGAGGATTAATAAGTGTTGACATTCATACAAATGAGTAATCCTGTAAACGTAAACAGAATATTTTATATAGATTTTTTTTAATGAAAACTTAAAATCCTGCATTATTTTCCGGACAACCCAATATTTTTTTCAATTGTTTTAAAGGCAAGAACCGCCAAGGGTCATGGTTGCCATGAGACTCTGTTAAATTCCCAAACCTTCGCAGGCAGGACAGGCATACCGGAGCTGGACGCAGGCAAAACAGGCAGGGCGACAACTAGGGAGGTGGCAGCCAATGTTCTGACAGCATCTTCTTGCCCCTCTAATTCCTTCATTAAACTGTTATTATCTCTCCATTTAAGTTTTCGAAATAGCTATCAGTTGGTAGGTTCAGTTGAACTCATTCTTGAAAAAATTAACTCAGAATTTAAAAACAACTTCAATTTAGATCAAAAATGTGTAGGTAACAAAGAATTTTTGTGATGTCTGTTTTTTCTTAAAAAACTGCATCTTCTTGAAATAGAAAACATTTTTTTTCCAGCATTCTACTCCACGTATAGTTTACTATTTCCCAATCTCTCACTCTACTCACTATCTCTCTTGCATCTAATTATTTACCATTATTTACCATTATTTACTTATTACTAGCTTTATAACCCAGCATTGCCCAGGGAGATAATAAAAAGTGTTATTTATCTTTTCTGTAAATCCTGACGCCCATCATTTGTTATATGCCCATTTTATAGACTGTACAACCTGCTCGGCACTAATAAAAAAAAGTGTGAAATTTTCTTCGAAATCAGTTCAGTAGTTTTCATTTTTATGATTAAAATACATAAGAACATTCACTTTTATTATATAGATTATGTTTTGCATCTTTGGTATACATTTCAGTTGTTTTCTACAATCCAGAATTATAGGCAAAATGAACATATTACATTTTTATATTATTTCATTTTTGATTTGTTTTTATTTATATAATTGTATTGTTTATTATTGGCTAAATTAAAAAGGTAAAAATTTGTAACAATATTTAGAAAAAACTAAAGTAGAGGAGAAATCGCAGAATACATATTTCATTTTTGTTGAGATCAACATCAACTGACTTGTGTATCTACCTGTCTTTTTGAATTCATAATAATTTATAATAAAAGTTTGGAATTATCCAAAGTGCATACGTATTTTAAGAAAAAGTAATTTGAAATGGATTTGTTCCTAGAGCTTTAAATTATTTGTTATTTATAATTCTAAAATGTTAGAAACAGATGCTAAGGCAAGAACAAGAGGTGTAGGTAGTCCTTGCAAGTTGAAAGAGTGACAACTTTCCAATCTGGGCCTACATAAATTTTACTTGCAAGCAAGTTTCTGTCAAATATCGTCTTTAGACTATCTAAGAGGAGAACAATAATCTGTATAAAAAAAATATAATTTTGTTGAGTTAACAGGTAGTTGTTATAATGAAGTATGTCCTAACACGAACAACAATATTATTGTGTAACTACGGTAACTGATCCACACATGTATTGATTGATCATCAGATAATTATTGCAGTTGCCAGCTTTCTTAAGGAGACTTTTTTAAAAATATTTTTAGTAAAATATTGAAATAAAATGTCGCGACATTATGAAGTTACAAGTGCGTACTTTCGAGAAATAAACGATGAATCAAACGCGTTTCCTGATATAGAATTTCGGTGTGTCGAGACCAGTTTCACTTCCAGCTCTACAAGCTCTTACATAGAAGAAAGTTCATCGAATCTTACGATGGTCACGCCTCGTTCATTGTCCGAATCAAGTTTGGTGTTGGAAAATTTGGAATTGTCTGATGAAAATGACAAATGTACCAGCCATTTCAAGCCAAGCTATAAATTGTTCCAAGATCTCTTCAACGATTTAAACATCAATGGAAAACAAAGGCCTCAAACGAATAAATCTGCCAAGAGGGCAAACATGAGTTTTACTAATGAACAGGCAAGGAGAATAAAGCGTGAAAATGAAATCCTTTTAAAGAAAATCATGTCAAGCTCTAAATCAACTCAGTGTAAAGCACAGAATCGGACAAAGCATTTAATATGCAGCGCAGAAGTGAACAGAAAACGACACCAAGAAAGAATCACTCGTGAAAATTTGGTAAAAATATTTTATAACTGTTTTTGTAATTGTTAGGTGTTTATTTACAACTAATAATATACACCTAGTAGCAGATTTAAATTTTTATGTGACATTCATAAATAACCATTAATTACCTGTGAAGAATACACGCATAATCAAGATCTTGGTATGGTATAGTGAATGAAAAAACAAATTTAGTTGTTATCTGCCAAGCCTTTGATAAGGTCACAATCAGGGTAAAACAATCTTAAAGAAGTCTTAAATTGACACAATTAAGTTTTTTAATAACTTGTTCCAAATTTCTTTGAACATTGTTATTCATTAACATTGTCCTCAGACCCACCACTACCAAGGACTGTGAATATATTATGTAAATAACATGGAAACAGGGTTTAAGAAATAAATAGTTAAATTTATAATTAAAATACTTGAGATTTGTACATAGTTGATAGGGCGATGGATGAATTTTGAGTCCGCCATGACCCAATTTGAGTGAATGGTATGAATAAGAATGAGTGACAGTATGGGTGTACTTAGATTAACTGATACTTTATCCTGTCAGTATTATTATAAATAGAAATGTTGATTAATGGATAAATAACAAATGAAAAACCACTTTTTTGGACTTTTCTGGTTACCTGGTAATTCCACCAAGTCTCCTCCTGAATCATTCAAACAAAAGTAAAAACATAAAAGGTTCCCTGCTTCACATCCTTGTTCTTTCAAATCATCCAGTTAGATTTTAATTGCATCAGATTGAGGCTGATTTTACAGTATGTATACAGATAACTAATAGTATGCAAAAATTAGGAAGTTTTTATATTTTCTGATTTTATTAATGTTCATTAAACAGTTTAGTGAGTGTAAATTAGTTCTTTTCACTAAATATACAACTGAGTAGTTTGATTATTTGATACTGATGTACATTTGTTTTCTGTTATAGATTCTACTTAGAAAGATTCAAGAAGCCAAACCTTTCCAGTCAATGAAAAAGACACCAAAGACATCCTTTTGACATTAACAAAGAACATATATATATATGTATACTGTGAGATTTCTTTTTGAGATTTGAGGAGTGAAGAACCTGAAGCTTAGTCGTTTCTTGTCAGACCAAAACAGCAAGAATAGCAGAACAAAATGATTAGAAATGACCAACTTACAGACTCATGTGTATACTAAAAGAAGTGTAACATTTAATCAATTTTGTATAATAAATTTATATTTTATTACTATTGAATAATTGTTTTATTTAGTTTGATTGGTGAAATGAAGTGGGGCAATGAAGTCATTCAAGTATTTTATATATCCAGGCTTACCACTAAATAAGAAACAATCTAAATTAATAATTTAAATAATATAAATAGTTGTACATACCCACATTTTCAATTTTAAATGGTATAGGGTGTATGAGCAATAGGATTTGAACTTCAGTCACTCAATCATGATATACCATAACTGTTAAAATGTGTTCGATGAGATAAAGTTTGATCCTACTTTTGAAGTAGACAAGTTGAGCATATATTTGAGGAGTGATGATTGAACTGTATAGTGAGACTGTTTTGGGATCAGGGATGCTGACCAAAAGCCAAAAAGTGTAATTAAGTTCATATCATTAATTTGTTTCTCTTATGATTTTGGCATTGAAATATTATATCCCCATATTTTTGTATTGCTAATGGATAACCTAGTTTGATTGCTCATATTTTGGGCTTGTACAGAAAATGTCTGATACACTTCCTTCATTCGTTTTGGAGTATAACATATCATTGTATCTGGTTTCTTCTCCTTTGTAGTCTTTTGAGACTTTACAGGACGTTGTAAAGCAGGTTTCTGTGATCAAGTAGTCACTCCCCATTTCTAAGAATGGATGTTGTATGCCTGAAGTGTTTAGTTCCCATCAAATTTCATTGTTTCTGGAGTTGAGTTTTTCCTTACTTCTTATTGTATAAATATTTTCAATGGAAGTAGGGTTAGCAGTGTTTCTAGTGCAACTGTCACGGTTGTTTCATTAACACTGTGATACATAAGTTTGCCAGTCTGTTTTTGCTGAGTTTTGGCCCACCAGATTAGTGAGCAGGGGGGGTCTTATTATTGTCATATATAGCCTATGAGTTTATGAAAATTATGCACATTGTTCCCTGTGGTTACTCAAAACTTGTGTGATTATACACCATGCCCATTGGAATTTTATTCAATTCAATGGAAGAAGATGTCTATTAACAAGATGATGAAATGTTTGACCATTTAAATGTATTTTATTAATTTAAATAATCTGTAATTGCCAGGGGAGATTTGGACGAGTGTACTCAACTATGAGTGTATGTGTGTGTGTTTGTGAGAGAGGGAGAGTGAGAGAGTAGAATTCCTTGAGAATACAAAAAATGGTATTCAATACTATATAGTTTCATAAAACATATCTATTTATAAGACTGCACAATTTGGAAACAAAATTCAATTTGAAAATGGATCCTTAGTTTGGTAAAAAAATGTAAAGTCAATACACATATTTTAAACTTCTTGGAACAGTAGCTACAAGTTACCAGGCAGTCAAGATTTTCAGATGACAAGAATCACACTTTCAAGGTGGTTTCTGGGTTTTAAAAATTGTTTTTAAGTATGTGTTTGTATTGTTCAAAAATAATAATTATTAATCATAAGTTGAATGAACTGGAACACTCCCAACCTTATAATATGGAAAACAGTAACTCTATCCCTACAACTACACTAAAATTATGTATAATCTAAACTTACGGTTGGGAGCTCGAGAAAGTGATTTTTATCTCAATGCCCTCCCCTTCATTCACGCCAAATAAATACATTCACATACACAGCAAAACTCATCCATTCACTATCCTAAGTTAATCTAATTGGTTTGACAGATCTGTAGGTACTCAATATTCAATACAGACCGTGTTCATACAGACTTAACCACTCACACAAATAAATATATTCACCAGGTTTTTGTTATTACGCCAGTCCCACTCTAACACACTATAAATATATAAAGCTATATATAAATATAATAACCTAGACTGCTTTGGCATGTTACTTGATATTTCATCACAAACACACCCAAACTATCACACTCATGCTAATAAATACATTCATTCAAATTAAAGATATTATTTCAACCTCATGAAAGGGCTCCTATATGCGACCATACACATTTCTCTACTTAAGGTTTCAAATCAATTTGTTAGTACAACCACTATTGCGCCCTAGAAGTTGTTTAAAATCTAAATTTAAAAAGCTGTGTTGCAAAAATGGTATCTTTATGGTCTTTCTTTAACAAGGAGATGTCTTTGTGTCAGCTTGCTGTGGCCTGTCCTCAGGCAAGTCAATGTGATGCTTTCTTTTTTCCCATTTCCTCCATGGTTTTATTTCATGTAGTTGACCCAATTGTTAATATGTATAACTCTCGAGCCCCACCAAACTTAGGTTAAATAATATTTTAAATAGCATGAATATGTATTTTAATTTAGTTAAGACATTTTAATGATGTGTGGAAGGGTTAAAAATAAAAGATGGGGCAATAAAAAAAAATATATATATTAAAAAAATGTGAGATAGACAAAACGTGAGAAGCCAGCAATAACCTTAATTGCTAGCCAGCTGAAAAAATAAAAATAAATAAAAAACAAAATACATAATAATAATAATAATAATAATAATATAATAATAATAACTATAATGTTTCTTTAAGATGTATCGGATTTCACAATAGTACATATAAAAAATAAAAGTCCAGGTAATTCCGAAAGAATAGTAATCCAGGTTACGAAGGAATAGGAATAGGTACATTGTTTTTAAATTATTTAATATGTGGGATTTGTATTAAAAAACCATAATTATCACAATTTTATTAATGTGAATTGCAGTATTAATTAACAAGATGTGCTGCATGTTTCTCCAGTCGGTTAATCCAACCTGGGATTCAAGACACACCTCTAGCAACCCTATATTTTTAAATTTCATGAACTAGCAACTTCAGTCTTGCCAAATAAGTTTCAAAACATTTTAAAGCGCAAAACCTAGAATTTGATTTATATTAATCAGTATAATATTATGATATTAAATAGATAAAATGAATTTCATTCTTTTTTTTTATTTATGTGAAAAAATTGGTAAACTGGGTTTACATTAAGCGATCAATTTTATTTATGTATATTATTGGCTTGAGTTTTAGAAATTTTTGAAAATAATTTTAATATATATATTTTTTTTTATTTAAAAGTATTAATACATAGAATAGCCAAACAGTAGAATAAACATTTCACCTTGTTAATGTTAATGATTCAAAATAAAATAAATAATAAATTACAACATAATGTTATATTATATTTTAAGATAACATTCAATTTTATTTAAATTTTAAGTTGAAAATAAGTTAGTCTTGTTTGAAGCAGATTATTTTTTTTAATATTTAATTTATTGTGTTGTGCGATAGATTCAAAAATCTATCAAACACTATTCTCCTATATACACAAAAAATTAATATGAATGATAGAAGTCTTTATTGCATTTTTGTAATATAGTGTTGATATGCATTTCTCACAAAATTTGAATATGACATATAAACTGACATGGTGCTTAAAGAAAACAATTATTCACCTAATTATACATATTATAGGTATTGGCATGATGAATGCAATATTTATACACATAATTACACAAAAAATATCTTTAAATTTTTAAGGCATTTCAACTGACAAACCCAAAAACTAAAATTATTACCTTAAACAATACATCAAACATTGTGTTGTACTTTATTTGGGATTAATACATTTATCTCATACGAAAGTACATATTAATTAACAAGGAGCACTTCTACATAATCTGTTGCTTCCTTTGTCTATAGCCCTAAAATAACTAAGCCACACACAATTTAACAACAGCACATTGTGCCCTTTAATTACATGAAGTACTATTAAATAACAACCAGGTGACAGGTTTATTATTAATCGTGAGTATCAATTATTAGTCATGAAGAAGGTCACTTACCAGAAAACATTGTATTTCAAACAAACGTATGTTTTCAATGTTAATAACGTTTTATAGATAATGTCTACTTATTTGTAAGCCACTTCTAATGGCCAAAATACTACTATCAACTAATGACCATTTAGTAGACCACCCTCAATCAAAGGGACAATAAACTTATATTTCGCTTCCTTTTACATTTCAAACATTTAACAAAATAAATGAAATAAGAAGTAAAGAGGCTAGTGTCATTAAAAAAAAAAGTTCGTTGAATGAAAAGTGAACAATTTTGGAGGAAATTTAAATCCTAAACCATTAAAGATTTATTTTTCATGCAAATTTCAAAGTAGCTAGAGTTTAGCAATTAAAAAAATGTATATCTCATTTTGAGCTTGGAGGGTCTACTTTTATCAGTCTAGGCACATACGTTTTAAATATCATTCTAAAATGTCTAATACGTTATCTAAATTAAATAACTCCTTTTTCTCTCCTACAAACTAATGACTTTTGGTAAAATTTAATTGTTGAATCTATATTTTATTTGGAAGAATAGAAAATATGTATTATTCAGATTTTTAAGCAGATTGTGAAGATTCATTTTTAATTAATACCTATAAGCATGTATGTTATAAAGTACTGCTATGATTTTTATACCATAAATAAACAGTGATTATGTAAAACAAGAATTCATCTTGTTTGGTTTAATGATTGGAAAAATAATTTTATAATTGTCAAGCACAATGTTATAATACTTTTTTTTATAATAAAACCATCCTTAACTATTAATATACTTTTTTTTCATATGTTTATTTTCATTGCTTTAGTCCAACTAAAAGCTATTTATTTAAAAATGACATAATTAAAAAAATCTGTTAAAAGTAGTCTAGATGTGTATTATGTAATTACATGTACTAATGATTAATAAGTGAGTTGTGTGTAATAACAGTTATTAAAAATTGTTATACCATAATAATGATTATACTGATTGTAACTACTTTGAAACATACATACTTATTATCTCATTATATAAATGTAGATTATATTGTAGCAAAGGCAAAATCGTATTACATATTATTCTATCTACAGTCAGGAATTAATATATTGACTCCAAGCTTAGATGAACCCGATTTATTCCATCCTTAATTTTATTGTAAACTACATGCTATTATTAATTTCTGCAACAACATTGTACTGATTATTAGAAATATTGTTTTAAATTAATAAACTGTATATTAATGTTCGGAAAAACTGTTTAATCCCTCTACTGTAAAATTCTTGTTGTAAATTTAACTTTGCTGCAATGAACCATTCTTAATAATAGTTTATCAGGAGGCAAACATTTCATTAAGCACTTTGTCATAAAACTATGCCATAAATAAACACAATTTATCTCCTTTTATTTGTATATATGTAATTCATTAACTTGGGCTCGAAAAAGACTACACAGTCAAATGTACATACAGTGCCAATTTTAAATTTTAATCATTTAGATGCATTTTAGGCCGTGCTGCAACATGTACAAAATTAACTAACCTTGTTGTAATGATATGATTGGTGAATGAAATGCACATTGAAAATAACTTTTTTAACGACTAGGTCGAACCTCCTTGCTTTGTGTAGTTAATAATTATTAAACAATAAAACAATATAAGATAGTTATGATGCTTTAACTATTTATTAGTTTATTAAAACAAGTTAGCTGTTAATCACTTAAATTATTTAATAGTGAAAATTAATATATATTATTTGATGCCCATCTGTATGAAAATTGGTGTTAGAATATAAATTCATAAGCCCAAGAATATGTAACTCTATCCAATAGACTGGTCAAAACCTAATAACAACAATGATAAAGTTATGATAATGATTAACATACTTATTATTAGCATACTGCGTATTGATTACATTTTGTACTTTGCTATATTACCATGCATAGGCAACTAATTCATGACAACATCTGTACAAAATAAATCTTTTTACTTATGGCAACTTTAACAAATATTTATATGGTCTCTTTATACACATTTAAACACAGCTGGATCTCTCTGAAATTTTTATAAATATATAAATAAGTTTACACGTGTGTTTGTGAGTGTGGCGTTTATGTTGTGAGGCTTTGTACATATACTTAGTTGTAACTAGATACACCAAGACTTCTCTTGTACCAGTGGAGCATAACTTTTAATATTACACTGTCAAATAAAAACAACATTTTGCAGTCTTGTCTTCTAGGAAAAAGGACCACTATCCTCTATCCCAAATCACAGAAGAAATCCACCTCTGCTGACCAAACACCTCTTCATAAACGCTTAAAAACATCTGAGGAGTGTATTCAACATTTGGAAATAGTTCATGGAAGAATTACATGACATTTTATGAACTAAATATTGAGTTTTTACAATGGTTGTTTTCAACAAAGCTGCGTGTCTATTGCTAGTTACCCAGTTGGGATGTACAGGTGTAAACAATTCAGATTATTTCAGTGATTAAAATGTTAACAATTTTTTTAAATGGATTATTTCCTTTTGGTAATCTCAGTAAATGTGATTGTTATCTATTTTGTTGTGTATCACCTTCCAAGTCAATGATTTTGACTAATATTCTAAGATTCAAAATTCTAATATGGCTAGAAGAAACACCAAATTATAGAATTAATTTTTTGAAATTTAGCTCTGTTAAAATCTTAATCACTATACATGTTTTGAATAAAAATTTTTTTTTTACTTCCTATGTAAATTAGCAAGTTTTCATTTAAATTGTATTCATTATAGAAAAACAACTGTGTATCTATCCGTGCATCTAACCTGTCTCAGCTAGAATAAGCTGAATAAAACAAATAAATAAATAGGATGGGTGTCAAAATGTTGAACATCATAAAACCAGAAAATCACCAAGATCAGTCTTGAGATTTTTGTTTAATTTGTAGCCAATGCACATTTACGTCTTGGTTAAGTTCAACATTTTCCCACCTAACCTGAGATGAAAAACAAAGAAAAAAATTGTAAAATCTATAAACTATATTTGCACAATAAAATTTGTATTAGCTTTTGATGCTTTAATAGTGAAAAGTATGAAATGTTTTTTGTTTATGCAGTACAAGCAAAATTACTAATCGACAATGTAGTGATAAAGGAGCTTGAAAAAAAATATACAAAACAAAAAAAACACTCAAGTTAAATTGTCAGGATGATCAATTTCAATTAAATTTTAAATTTATTTATAGTACTTTTATTGTTGTCCTTAAAATTAAAAAAAATATTAGTTAGTTAAATTCAGCTGTATATGTGGCCAAGATGGCTGTTGTACTTTTCTTGCATACCCCCTCAATCCCAGTAATTGCTTCTAGGTGTTTCAAGGTCTTATTCAAAGCTGTCTCAATGGAAACAAATAAGGCATTTCAAGTGAAAAAGATTAAGTGTTATCTAAAAATATAAAAGGAGCAGATATAATACACTTAAAAAAATTAAACATAATAGTATAAGCGATCCACATGTTTAACATCTTGAAATCAAGTCTAGTAACATGACTTAATAACAAGTTTGCAGGATCAGTTTTGCTCCCTTTGTTATTAAATTTCTCTAATTAATATTCTATAAATGTTGTCACAAATTTAAATATATTCCATTACACCCGTGATTTTTCAAAGCACATTGTACTATATTATTATTAGTAATAGTTATTTTTATTATGATTTTATATCTAGGCCACATGGGTTTGTAGATAAAATATTATACTGATATAACACAGGCTAAACCTGAAAATAGGCAACCAAACAATAAACTGAGAATCATTCAAATTCACATGATGTATTCTACGCAAGCTGTAATTGAAATGATAATAAAAAATGAATACCAAACATCTAATTTCTATCTCAGTCTACTGATTGATTTGCCTAATTCTCTTAACAATTAATATTTATTATTAACTTTGGAGTATCATAATTACCTCACTATATAACAATATTTAACAAGGGCACAAGTGCTACTTTGTACCCTAAATGTATAATCAGGCACTGTCTTTTAATAAAAGTGACCAATAATAACACATTATCGAGTGAAATATTGCTACGATAAAAAAACCCAAACTTCTTTTGTAACTGCAGTAATGAATAATATACATCCAGGTCATTATGCAAAATGTAAATACTAACTTTATGATCTAAATAATAGTGATTAAACAAGTCAACAACATAGTACATATGCATGTTCATAGCATTATAAAATACATATTTTATTCATACATACAGTTTATTCAGTTAAATTCATTCAAATTGAATGACTTATGAACCTTGTGGAACTCATGGAGGATGTCGATAATAATGCCTTATACAATATAATAACATTGTCTACAAACTATCATAACAAACAGGGTACAAAGTAACAATGTATAGTTTCTAGAACCAGCTGCTCCCTCCTCCAAATTTACTTGTAAGACCACCTATGCCTTTTCCAAAGACATTTCCCACTTTTCCAACAACATTTGCTGTAACATTACTTATTTTTGCCACATAGTTACCGTCCTCTCCTATGGCACCTTCCCTAACCGTTACTTTCGGTTTGGAACGATCATCATCATCTCCTCCTTCCTCTGAATATCCTCTGTTAACAAAATTATAATTAGACATGACAGAGTTGTATATCAAATACACATCTTATTATGTTATAGTTCATCATTTTAAAACCATTAGCTTATTGTATAGAAATTTATGCTCAACTCTCTTTTTCAATGTTATTGTCATAATTTTGTTCTTTACAATATTAAACTATACTCTGTCACACTTACCATACAGTAAAGCTCCTGGTTTTGACCTAATTACTCCGAAATTCTCCAACTCCCTCAAAAAGCTAATGTTTACACCTCTGCAATTATAAAACCCCACACTACACTACCCTTACTCTGGAAATATTCCAACATCATTATCTTCCTGAGAAGAAATGAACCTGGCAAACGAGTTCAAAAAGTCTCATCATTTCAACCAATTAGTTTACTTCCCATCACGTCGAAAGTATTTGAAAAAATTCTCTCAAGAAAACAAAGAATATTGTATGGGAGCCTTTCTTGATGTGGCACAAGCATTTGACTGCATGTGGCACAAGGGTCCCAATACAATACAATCCCAGTCCTTCCAAATATCCTCTACTTTATCAGAGTGATTCTTTTTGCTACAATAAGAGCACTGCTCTCCGACCATGGGTGTACCACAGGGCAGTGTGCTTGAACCAATCCTTTATATCATTTACACTGCAGATGTTCCCACTACACCTACCACCTTTCTTGCATCTTTTGCCAATATAAATTCACACTTCTACACACCCGAGCCCTGACCTTCCTCCTTTAGCCTATTACCTGTTTTGAACAATATCCCACTTCTATAAGGAAAAAGGGGTCAGGAGATCAGAAAAGCATAAAAACTAGAGCAGATATTAAATCAAAATCCCAGAAGTGATATAGATACTGCAAAAGAATTGATTAGCTAGCCTATATTTCTACCTCATTACAAAAGCAAAAAAAGACAGGCCACACATGGCCAAACTACATGTCACCACAACATACCTCAAAATAAAATAATTTGTACTTTTCAAACATTTTTTTTTAAACTGATACTTCTGAAAACAGTTTCTCTTTGTATAATGATGTTAAATTAGTTATTAATAAAGCAAACTAGTTTGTTAGAAGTGGAGAAAAAACTGATTGTTATAATAAAAAATTTACATACTCCTCCTCTCGCCGTGAGCTCATAGTCAATGCACACGTTGCTTCTTCTGTTTGCATTCGTTGTGAGACAGTTTGGTATGTTTTAGAATTCAATTTATCCTCCATGACTCCTTGAAGTTCAAAGTCTGAATACAATTTCTAAAACGTGTAAAATATATATATATTGAATAATTTAACAATTGCTTAATAATATACTTGAAATAAAAATAATCAAATATGGACATTACCTTTACAATATGAGCTAAACATGTACACTGGCATACATGCAATGAATGATCAATTCTTTCAGACAGCCAGTTACAGAGCATCTGTATTTGTGCTGTATACCATTGCTGAAACGAATATTACTGTAATACTACCAGATTATTGTAAGCAATATATATNTTTCACCTAAATTATAGGCAGAGTTATGACATATTTCCACAATTAATGCTTACCTCAAAAAAATTGAGTATCCACAATTCATCATTAACTTTACTTCTGATTTGATCCATGCAATTCCTGGTGAAGTTGACATAAGCCTGACCCATGTCCTTCCCAGATCCTGATACATTCTAAAATTTTATAAAATGAAAAATTATTTTTACTAGCAAAGTGAATATTGCAGGTTATGGATTGTTTGGGTGTGTCTTCAGTGAGCCAACAATTCAACAACTTAATATAACATGCATGCTCTGAGTTTCAAATTTCAGATTTATCTGGGCAATATATTGTGAGTTGATTCCACTAAATGGAAATATTTGTTTTCTGTTATTTATATATATCATGTATATTTATGTTTTAACAGCATGTTTTACCGATATTAGCCCATATTCAGATTAACACAAGTTCGGATTACTGAGACTGCATATAACTTATGTATGACATTATCTATGAAAATGAATTTAATAATAATAATAATAACCTTTGGATGGCAATAGAATAGATTACTTTATGAGTGAATGTTTGGAGTCAGAGCTTTATAGCACTCAGAAGGGATGCAGCTAACCTAAGGTTTAAATGTTAGGGGTGAAATGACCTTAGCCGTTTTACAAGTATCCGTCTGCGAGTTGACTATATGAGAAAAAAAATTTGCATTAAAAAAACTTAATGATAACTTCTATAGAGTACAAAGAACATAACATATCTTAATAATTAAATCCTGAAACTAAAAATCTTTTATATTTATTAGCTGCCATTAAATATATGGACAAACAATGGCAGGTTCTTTTTGAGACAGGTAGGCTTTTTGAAAGCAAATCTGCCGAAATTTGGCCAAAACTGGTCAAATGGCCAGGAAATGGAATAGGTCTTCAATCCCCCCTGTATGAGCAGATTTTTTGAAGACCCGTTTACCATGGTTTATAATTCAAATTTAATGCATTTCCCTACATTTAAAAATTATTGAACGGCTGTGTTGCAATATTTTCAATATTGAAATAATCACCTTTCTGAAATTGCAGTTTAATACCATACCTCGTACCTCTGCCTTAAGTTGATCTTTGCTGTATTAACAGAACACAAGGTATTTTTTATTTCGCCATCAGACATGTTCAATGGGTTGAAGGAATTGACTGATAAATCAAATTTATTTAGTTAATTTTTTAGTTCCTTCAGTCAAACACCCTTCCTGATAGCCTCGTTTAGGAGGATTTTGTTGAATCTTTCCTCGGGCCTATTTGAATTCTCTTTAAATATTATATTAATTATTAATTTAATAGTTTAAGAATGCATTTTAATGTATACACATATAGGGTGCTATGACCCGTCTCCTGTAGTAGGAAATAGTGGGGAGTTTGGTTAGGCACATAAAAAAGTTTTCTTAAAAAATATCTATGTGTTGCCTCTTTGGATTCATAATCTTCTCCCCCCATACCTGATAGCCGTAGCAAAGAATGCTCCTTGAGATGCAACTAAACAAGGAATATTATGGAGTGGCACCTCCTGTTTACTAATAGGTGTTTCTATGTGGCATTTATTCCTGCTTTGACTTTTGAACATTTTTCTTTGAAATAGATCCCTAGTGATAGGTGTGGAGTCAGCCATATTTGTATTTATTGACTATCTTGACTGGAGTACCATTTAAATACCATCTTTCTTTTTTGCTTAATTTCCCTCCATTCTGCAAACCATGCTTTTTTGTTTTGCTTTATTTATAACCAGCAACCCCATTTTTCCAGTAGTTAATTAAGCAGTTTATCATGGCTTGCAATGTTTGGGGTTAGTCTGCGACTATCACGAGGTCATCAGGATATAAGAGGCACTTAATCTTATTCCTATTCACAAGTACTCCTCCAACCAGGTCATCAGAAATATCATTAAGAAATAGGCTAAACAGAAGCGGGCTCACCACACATCCCTGTTTTACTCCACACCTAACTGGAAATTTGTTAGAACAAAAGTTTTTATCCCAGATAAAACAGGTTGTGTTTTTCTAAATATTTTTCTTCAGCGGGATAAAGTTTTGAAACACCTAGTGAGCTGAGCTTGTATCAAGGGAGTAGAGTTTGCTACGTTTTTTCTCATTTGTAGTTTTGCTAAAGTGAACAAATGACCCTTTCTGAATCTAACCTGAGCTTCTATCAGTATATTGTATGAATTCACCCATTCCGATAGTCTTTTCTCTAAGATTCCTGCATAGATTTTTTCAATCATATTTATAAATGATATAGGCCTGTAATTGCTGGGAATATTTGGGTCGTCAAAAAAAAAATTTTTGTTTTGCATCTATGGCATTCTGAAATCTTTCTCACAGATTTTGTGTGTTATCCATGTATTTATTCTTGCATAAGAGTTTATACTCTTATTGCTGGTGAGATAAAGTTGTTACACATATTCACAGTTAGTGTGCCTAAATATTTTCAACATGACAAAGGTTATTGTTTTTTGTTGTTTTTTTTTGGGGGGGGGGGGAATTTCCTTCATTTCGCATCAAACCATTTTTGTAAGTAGTTTGTTAGGTTCTGATTTCATTTTTCTTCCATTATACGTGGAATCAAGAATGAGGGATTTAATATCTTTAATGTTCAAAATCCTAAATTTTTTAAGGTTGAGTTGTGTCTTGTGGTTAAGTTTTTGTTTAACGTTTGATTCATCGTAACGAGTCTATTGAAATTTTAGTAGGAAGACAACAAGAATTTGAGGTTGCTGATAAAATGAATTTACAAACTAGATGTTTAATCTTGTTGGATCTTTATTAACTGAGAGGCCGAAAGCTAAGGTAAATGGCTATTCACCCTAACAATTAGATGTTTTTTTGTTTTTTTAGTGAAGTTTTAAAGATTAAGTTTAAAATTTAAGTGGTACTACTTACAGTAAAGCTTAATATTGACCCGATCAAACTTCCTTCATCATATCGTGACATTTTGGATAAAGTTGCTTCTAGTACAGCAATGAGTTTTGCAATCATCCCTTGACTCATGCTGGCTGAAGTTTTCTCGATTAAATCATCAATTTTAGTGTGGTATTGATGCTGTAATTAAATAATATAAAGCATATGATAATAATTTAAGACAAATATTATTACAATAATAAAGTTATATTTAAATGCTGAAATGATACGTGAAAATACTATATATTATAGAAAATATATTATTTTTTATATAGTTGGGTGAAAGTAAGACTTGTTTTAGGTTAAAATGATGTATATAAATGTTATAAATTATGAAATTATGTTTTTGACAATATAAACAATCATAAGCAAATTGTATCATCATATATAGGCAACCAGAAAACTTTGTGTGGGTTTAAAGGGTTTAATAATTATCACAATTAAAATTAGTTTAATAATATTTTATTTTGGGAAATAGTGCTAGTCAGTATCTATAACCTTTTCCCAAAGAGTTACTAGCTCAGTTATACCATTCTTATAAAACTTTGGGATCTGGGACTTAAAAAACTTCTTTGCTAAGAAAAAGTGAAAGTTAGATGGGGACAGGCTTGGAGAATACAGAGGGTGTGGTAGGACTTCCCAATTCTTACTGTACAAGGTGTCATATTGGTTTGGTGAAAAATTATATTCTGTTCATGAGAGCGGATTGTTTCTGGGCCAGGGCAAGGGATACTCTTGCAGTTGGCTGAAGTAGGATTTTATGGTGATGGTCTGGCCATGTGGCATGAGTTTGTAATGCACATTGCCTGCCATACTCCACCAAACACAAAGCATCACCTTTTGTTGGTGAATATTTGGTTTTTTGAATCAAGGGTGTTTCAGTGACAGCCAATGATATGACCTCCTAGGTTACTGTACAGGATTTTTCATCGTTTGTTCCAATCCTGTCAAAAAACTTTCTACTGTTCTCGATTTAGACGAAACTTGTTACAATCGATTTATGAGAAACCCATTTGCTCAGCTTACACCTCTTCCTAAGTCGATGTAAGCTAGAACGAATTACTTATGTCGAACACTCTGGCACGCTCCTGACTGTTTGACTTGAATCAAGTTTGATAACTTCTCTTGATTCGTCATCATTCAAGATAGAAGATCTACCGGATATGGTTCATCTATAATCCCCTCATTCTCAGAAGCAAACTTGTTGAACCATTTTTGGGAAGTGTACTCACTTATTGTTTCATCGCTGAATGCAGTGCAAATTTTACAAGCTGCCTTAGTACGAACCTTAAATTCGTACAATAAGCATGCACAAATTATGTGTTTTGAAGCCATGAGAAAAAAATTATAATTTACAGTGAACTATACCACACATTTTTTCTTTATAATGCATTATCGTCTTGGTATTATGTGGTGAAATCACCTAAACCTCCTCTGTAAATAGAAATGTTGATTAATGGTATTAAAACAATAATAAATGAAAAACCGCACAAACTTTTCTGGTTATCTGGTAATTAAAAAAACCATCTTAAGCAGTAATCCAAGTTTAAGGTATTCAACTCGAAAATACTTACCAAATCAACTCCGTCAACAGCACAAAGTTTAAATGATTGGTTTTTGGCATCAAGTATAACATTGACCATAGCACACATCTCAGATGGTATTATATAATCTGTCGATATAAATGTTACACCTTTCTTTAACCAAGATTGAAATGCTCCTTCAGTTCTGAAATAGTACATCATTAATGGAAGACTTCAAAATTATATAGCAATAATAATAGCTTAAGTTATAACATGTTGCATAAATACATTTTACCTGTTAGCCCAGCGGGTTTAAAACAGTTAATTTCAAATACAGTAAAAGGAGAACGGAAAAACCGCTGGGCTCGTAAAAATAAAAATAACCCTGCCAAACTGTGGCAGGTTAAAAAAGAAGTTGGAGAAAAGGCCATACTGACAAGACTATGTCATGCAACATCAACTCATGAGCACCTTCTGGTCATAAAGCGACTGCATAGGTGCCTGTTGTACAATAATAAAATAACAATTGAGCACATTTTCAACTGTGACGATGTTATTACGCAATAATTGATATACTGTTGGATCAGTCTTTGTGTTGTCTTTGTTGTGTTTATGTTAATTTATTACAATCAATATAATTTATTTGCAGGAAAGGAGGGAGTTGTTTAATACCGCCCTGAGGAATATCAACTACTGTGGGGTTAATGAGTAATGTCTCTCCAGACATCAAAAGTAAGTTATTGGCGAGAATGGAGTGGGTCCAACCCTGCCCCAAGGAATATCGAATACTATGGAAGAGAGAATGTGGCCAGATTTCTATGTTTGTGGTGGTGTTTATGTGTATTTTTTGGGTCTATTCTTTAGTTGACAACCTGAGGTAGAAATGAGAAGCTAGCTTTTAGGATATCGGCTTAGTTTGTTTTAGTTTTTTTTTTTTTTTTATAAAAACAGAGAGTCAGTAACAGATTGAGATGTTCAAATGGCTGCAGTTGAAAAATACATGTGAAAGACCAAAAAAAGAAGCAAAAACATGCAGATGACTGATTATAACCTCTTTTGTTTTTCAGCCCCTAAACTTCTTTCATTATGTACATTTTAAAATTTTAACTGATTAACAGTTAGTTAATTAAGCAGTATTTACTATATATAGATATTGACTAATCAATAAAACTAACATAGCTAAACAACAAAATACATTATACCTTTGTATACAAGACTCGATCATATCACAAGCCATAAGTTTCAACCGTTGTTCTAAATGTTGCCGGAATTCCAAATCAGGCCAATGAAGATCTTGAATAAATGATTGCAAAGCATCCAATTTCCAAAATAAATCCTCTGATGTAGCGCAGCCATTCCTAAAGGTTTATTACAATTAAAATAGAATTATTTTATTTAATATAACTATCATGTGGCAGAATGTTTAGATTGGAGGTCAGTAAATAGTAACTTTAAGTAGGTTATTTAATATTTTATAAGTGTTTAAATAATTAAAATAAACAAAATTAAGAACCAAAATTTTTTTGATATTAATATCATCACAACACTTATAATAACGCTCATTAAATAATAAAAAGTACAAATGGGCAAGTATAGAATTAATATGATCTAATTCTTATTAATTTTTATTTATTATTTAATGTAATTATAATACAAACCCTTTTAATTCCCATCTCTCTTTTTCAAATCCTTTGTGTATGGACTGAGCAATTGATGATTCCATTAAATCAACATATCTAACAACCAGAGGGGCAAACGTATCCCTCAGGTGCTGATGAAATCTTCCGTTCTTCAAGTTATCTATAAGAATAAAAATAATAATATAACACCCATAGATAAATAATCTATGTAATAAACAAACACTAGATAAGAGCATTTAATATTTGTGCTACAACCTAAGAGAAACAATTTATCATCTGTGCCTTACTGCTTAGGCTGATTTTTGTTACAGAATTGATTAAAATATTGTAAGTTTATGCAAAAAATAATTACCATCGCTTCGTAAATAGTCATTCATTATTTGAAACAGAGGGAATGAGTCCCAAGTATCTGGAGGCTGCTCTGCTAAAACAAGATCCATGTCTGCTGCAAATAGTCCCCAAAATATTTCAGCGTGTTCGACTAGAAGATCGCTAAACCACGCAAAAGCCTAAGAAGAAAGATATGCCATAATAGTGTCATGTTTATTGCATCTTCCAACAAAAGTTAAAGAACAATAAACAGAGATGGTAGAAAGCTTTGAAAATTTCTTATATATCAATTCTCTAAGCAATAAATGAAATGATTTGTCCAAAAAAGATCCCCCTTAACCATTCTCATTTTTTCCCAATTATTGTTCAAACCTGTATATCTGAAATGTAATAGAAATGAGATATGTATACACAACACTATAATACCAGTTATATTTTTAATATTTTTTAAGCATAAGTGCAAAAAGATATAAAATTGCAATTTGCAATTTTTTGAAGTATTGCTTTATATTTGAGCTAACATTTCTAGCTGCTAATTATATTAATGTGATAAAAAATAGAAGCAAATTTAAAAAAATATATAGTGTATATATTTAAATTATTAAAATATGTTATTAGAAAAACTGTGCTTATTAGTACTCATTGCATTTCATAGCTGTGTGACAATTCAAAATGACTGAACTGTTCTACTCTTTACCTTCTTTACTGTTTTTAATGTCATGTATAATATTGATATGAATAATGTATGCTCTCATTGTTCATCTAAACAAGTAAAAATACATCAGTTGATCTAATGCCGCAATATACCAGTTAAACAGAAAATTTTGTGCGGTTTTTCATTTGTTATTGTTTTTTAATACTGTTAAATCAACATTCCCATTTACATAGGAGAATTAGGTGGTTATGTCATGTAATACAAAGAGAATAATGATCAACAGCTAGAAAATGAGCTTAATTTATTTTTTAAGCTTCAGTTCATAAGGACAGAATTTTCACTGGGCTAGTAACTTGTTGGGATGTTACAGATGCCGATGGAGACTGTTTCCCTGAATAAAATACTTCTCAACTAATTTTAATTGTGATAATCATTCAACCCCTTAAACCTGCATGAACTTTTCTGGTTACCTGGTATATAACTAGTTCCAGCTCTTCAATTTATAATTTATTCCTAAGGCTTCTAAAAAAATTAAAAAATAAAAATAAAAATAAAAACAAAAGCCAAAATATGCCATAATAGAAAGATATGCCATAATAGTGTCATGTTTATTGCATCTTCCAACAAAAGTTAAAGAACAATAAACAGAGATGGTAGAAAGCTTTGAAAATTTCTTATATATCAATTCTCTAAGCAATAAATGAAATGATTTGTCCAAAAAGACATTGATTGTGCCATTTATAATTTAAATGAACTGAAATAGAAGTGTCTAGTGGTTTATAATAAATATACCTACCATTCCTGCCTTAACAAATCTTGCCAAAGTTTTTTCTTTTTCCATAAAAGATTCTATGTATTTAATATTTCAATATACTTAATAAAAATTAAAATAATTATTTAAATTGATTATTAAATTATATATTCCACACTATACTTAGCAAATTTGCAAACGACATTTTTATATAATTGTTATTATAAGAAAACTCATCCTTTTTTTGTTTTGTTCTGTTTAACAATCATTAGGACCAAATAGAAAGTAAATGTTTTTCTTATATGCAGTTGATTTAAAAATTATTAAAGAATTATTATTACACATATTATTGGGTTGTCCGGAAAATAATGCAGGATTTTGGTATTAAACAAAAAAAAAGAAACTAGTTACTTTAAAGCAATGTTCTTTAATCAAAATAATTTCCCATACTCTCAATACATTTCTCCCAACGTGTTGGTAACTTATTAATTCCGTCTGAGTAGAATTCAGAATTTTTAGAATTGATAAAGTCAATAAATGCATTTTCCAGTTCCGTTTGATTTTTGAATATTATGTGTTGTAAGTAGTGGTCCAGGTGTCTAAAAAAATGGTAGTCAGTAGGCGAGAGGTCCGGAGAGTAGGGTGGGTGAGGCAAAGTTTCATAGCCAAGCTCCAATAATTTTTGTGACGTTACACGTGACACATGTGGTCGAGCGTTGTCATGCAACAAAATGGGCCCTTTCCGATTGACCAAAGAGGGCTTCATTACTGCCAATTTCTGATGCATGGTATTAATTTGGTTACAGTATGATTCAGCATTGATGGTTTCGCCAGGATTTAAGAAGCTGTAGTGTATTAAACCAAATGAAGCCCACCATACCGTAACCATTACCTTTTTTTGATGAGTTGGGGGCTTTGGAAAATGTATTGGAGCTTCTCCTTTGTCGAGCCACTGTCCAGAACGTCTAGTGTTATCGTAGAGAATCCACTTTTCGTCACATGTAACAATTCTGGCCAGAAATGGGTCATTTTTGTTTCGACAAAGAAGTGATGCACAAACATCAAAGCGCTGATTTTTTTGGCGATCGTTTAATGAGTGTGGAACCCAATTTTCGAGTTTTTTCACTTTTCCAATCGCCTTGAGGTGGTCAGCGACGGTCGTTTTACTGACTTTGAGTTGCTCTGCAAGTTCTCGAACAGTTGTTTTGGGGTTTTCTTCCACCACTGATCGCAGAACATCATCATTAAGAGAGGAAGGCCTTCCACGACCTTCTTCATCTTCAAGGCTGAAATCTCCCTCCCGAAATTTTTTAAACCACCTTTGCACAGTGCACTCATTAACACAACCCTCGCCCCAGACTTGGTTAATGTTTCTAGCCGTTTGGGCTCCGCTTCGTCCGAGTTTAAACTCGTAAAAGAAAATCGTACGAAATTCTCGCTTTGACATTATAAGGATGACTGAATTATTTCCAAGTAGCGGAATGCTACAGAGGTAAACAAACAATATCATTTGGAAGAGGATTAATAAGTGTTGACATTCATACAAATGAGTAATCCTGTAAACGTAAACAGAATATTTTATATAGATTTTTTTTAATGAAAACTTAAAATCCTGCATTATTTTCCGGACAACCCAATAGTTACTTTGTTAGCAGATTCATACACAATTCTTAATTATTATACTGCAACATTAATTCTGTTTTTAGTCTGTCTATTTTAGTCTGTGTATCATTATTTTATTATTTTTTGTGGTTTACAGATCTCCATATTTCCACCTTGTCATACTTTGATTACAATAACACATATTGACCATTCAGTCCAATTGTATCTTGAAACTGTCAATGAGAATTGGTGAACTAGTGATGATCTATTGAATGAAAGTTACTCCAATAGATTCACACTGATTTACTGTTAACAATAATTTAAAATATAAATAAATAAATAAAACAGAAACACAATTTAAATACATGGTCACTCAACGAATGTGGATCAGTGTTTTTCTCAGAAATAAAGAACATATTTAAAAAAAGCGAAGATTTATTTAAAACCCAATGTTAGTGTCATTTCTGACTAATGCTGTTACATTCTAATATTTCCTTACGACTGTATCTGCTTATATACCACTAATCAAAAGTTTTGGACCAACCAGATCTTAGTATTATGTACTGTGTTATCTCAAAAAGCTACTCTTTTGTAAATTCATAACAACTATATTCATTGTGAAAGTCCAGTAGTTTTTTGATATTGCACATTCATTGTTGTACATCTTGAACAACCCGTTTTTAACCTGTCTGCCCGATGTATCAATAGATGTGTTTAACACAGTTTAAAATAATAAACACATATTCGATGAAAATTTTAAATTTAAAATCACAATAAGTTTAGATTCAAGTGGAAAATTGGCTTGGTCATGTTAAACTTTTGAATGGTATTGCGTATTTGTAGGTACATGCATGTTTAAATGAGAGTACTGTGTTTTGTTATATTCATATCATTGTCTAATATCTAATCTGCAAGCAAGACATCAAAATATTTAACAATGAATTCATGCAATTAAAGCGCATTCAAACCATCAAACAGCTTAAATTTCAATCTAAACATGTTCCTTTCCTTGACACATTTTGCTTTGTTACACAACTATTTGCATATTAAAATAGTTTAATAGATTCATGGAAGAGTGTACAGACACATTTTAAAATCAATTACATAAAATTTTTAACAAAGGTAGCCAATTGTATCGGGTTATTTAATGATAAATGAGAATTGAGGAATTCCAATTATGCAAGCTGCCCAAAGTACAGTTAGATTGTAAAAAAAGTCTAAATATGCCACAATCTTATTTCACTTAATAATGAAGATATATGTATACTACTTAAAGTTTTTATTTTTGTTATATTAAGATCTTTAGGAGATAAAATCACGCTTAAAAATATCATTTCAGAAATGAGCATAATGTTCTATAATAAACATCTGCCTCTTGTTTGTTACACCTAAGAAGTCTACATACACTTTGTTTTAATCCTCTGAATTTAAACAAAATTGGTTTAATATAATGTTATATTTCCAAAGTTTATGAATGTCCAAAAACAAGTGCACCTACAGTAGTTGTTAATTTATTACAGGATTATAACATTGATGAAACACCTCAAATTGTAATTCATTAACAAATAATAATATCAAATCACTATCTGCCTGCAAAAAGTTGCATATTAGCAAAGATACAAGCTAAGCTGGCATTTGCAAAGTTACCTTGATCAGCCTTCTAGCTTTTGTGACAAAGTTATTTTCACTGATAATATAAATTAAATGTATCTATTGCTGATGCCAATTTTAGAGTGTGGAGAAGGGAAAAAAAATGAGGCCATGAAATTAAATAAATTATGTCCCATATTTAATCACAGAGAAACAGGATTCATGGTTTGTAGCTGCAACTGGAGTAGGCAACTTAAAGATAAGTGAAGGAATGATCGATCAATAAGTTTATATTGATATTCTACAAGAAATCTGTGACCCGGAGCTATCAAGATAGGCTTAGGATCGAATTTTATTTTTCAGCAAGATGATGCTAAACATCATGGTAGAAGTGTTGATGGTTGCTGTGCAATGCTCCGTGGCAATTAAAAACACCACTGCAATCACCCGCTTTAAACCAAATAGAGCACATCTGGCAGGATATTAAGAGGAGGCTAAAACAGCGTGAAGTAAAACAAAAAAGCCAACTTTCTGAGGTCATTATGAAGGAGTAGTGAAAAACGGATCCTAGGTTTATCAAAAAAAAAAAAAAATGTCAGCAGTGGGAACAATCACTTTTTTAAAATGATTATTTAAAAGAAGAGATAAAAAATAAAGGATGTCCTCTAGATCATTAGATTTGTTTTGTCAATAAATTAAGTTTTTGTTATTGGTTATTTCCGCATATCCAGATTTTTTTGCAACCTTTTGTTACTTATTTAACATTATTTTCTCTTGTATGTATAATGTGGTTAAACAAACTTAATACATCAAATTAAATAAAAAGGCATATATTTAAATAAATCAATCAATTATTTGAAAATGTAATTTTTCCATTTATTTTAAACTCTTTTTTTATCATTAACACTGAATGTATGCAGATTTTTTTACTAACTGTATATTAGATATTTTCAGGAATTACAAATAAAGTTTTAATTCCTCAAAAAATTCTGAATCTGTTAATTTTGTAATGACAAAAAAATCATGTACTTTTCTTTGTACAAAATGTGCCACCTGGATTCTTAAGAACATAACTGTATATTATGTCATTTTTTCGATTTACAATTTTCATTAAAAGGTACTACCCTTTTGTTTCATGTAGATAAATTTAGCCATATATCAATAAATAAATATGAAAAACAACTACATATTTGCAATTATGAATATAAAAAGAGAAAGTTATGCTCTAATAGTTTAAACTCATAAAGCCTAATTATATATAATTCAAATTAAATAAATTACAACATACAGATTAATTAGTCTGTGAAGGGGACTACATTTTCCCTGTGACAGTAAACATATTTTTGTAAGCATAAATAGTAGGTGTAATAAGTAATAATAACGAAAAAAGTGGTATCGAAATAAAAAAATTATATGTATTATTAAGTTGCTACTTATTACACTCCTAGTTTTAAATGAGCATATTCATTGAATTTTTAAGACAACTGTCTTGGTTAATATAAACAATTATATGTGCGTTGAATTAAAATGTAATTCACTGCACTAATTAAGGTTAATGATATCTTATATCCACGCAATAAGTTTTAAAATAATACGTGCTATTTTTAACAAAACTGAGGAATGAAGATGAATAAATTTATATTATTATTGTAAACTGTATCAACATCTATTTCTGATGTTAACCCTCTAGATTTATTATCGTCAACTATCTGCTTGTTTGCATAAATACTTAAATATTTTTTCATTATTATATGAAATAATAAGGTGTTGAATGCCACCCATGTATGAAAATTGTGCTTGTACTTGGCAGTGAGTATCTAAGACTGCAGTTCTGATTCTTATAAGAAAAATTGTATGTATTATTTGTGTCCCCTAGTGTATGTTGACAGTGAATGTATTTATTGGCATGAATGTTTAGTGTGAAAGGCTGATGGTAGAATATTGAGTACTCCATTGACCCTCAAAAAGGTAGTTATAATTATTTTTAGTTATTATTATAAAGTATTATTACTATTACAAGAAAAATGGCAAAAAGAGGGAAAATTCGAAAGCTTGTAGGTTGAGATGGGGAGTTGGTGTCCGACAGTATCCAAATCATGATATCTCAAGTGGTAAAGTAACGGCGTATCAAGCCAAAGGTCGTGGGTTCGAATCCCGCTCATGACACTAGCTTTTTCATTTCAACCAAAACCTTACATAAAAAAGTTTAAGTAATTGAAAGAAGTAATTTGGTCAATAGATCACTAAATATAATGGATTTAGTTATTATAAAGGGTGATGGAGGAATATCAAGCACTCCCTCAGTGAATGGTATGTAAATAAGAAATAATGTATTTAAGAGTGAGTGAGAGTGTGAATGGGTTTATATTTAGGAACCGATTGCATTGGGGGCTGAAATGACCTAGTTGTTGATAGCCCCTGGAGCACAACCTTGGTGGCTGGACGGATAAGACCTAAGTCTGACCCCAGAGTACAGACTGCCAACACCTGGGGTGGGTGATTCTCGAGATAATTTATTGTAAATTACACAAAAGCTGGAATTGTCAGCAAACTGCGAGAAGTGATGGGCTCAACTCGATATATATATGTACGTGCAGGTGCAGATTTGGACTTATATAAATCAGTAATCAGAATACCAAGTGTTTAGGTTTTTTTTCCTATTTATAGTTAGCCTTTTAACTGTAATGTGTAATTTAGGATTTTATTACAACGAAGTCTCACAACTACTTTTAAAGGTACATGCCGATATCTCAGACAATATCATTTAGACTAAATTTACTTAGTTGATGTGTATATATTTTATTGAGTTGTGATATTTCCTCCTGTGGTCTACGGAGTGATAAGCATGTAGTTCAAAATTGCAATATAACATTTTCCACATGAGAATTACTGACTATTAAAATGTTGGCAAATACAAGAAATATTAAGATTAGTAAACATAAAGTATCTGAACTATTTGTTTTGTAAAAAAATTCAAGAAAATTTTTTAAGCTTGTAAAAATTAAATTTTACTTTGCATAATTTAATGATGAATGAATTGTTGCATAAACTTAAATTTTGTCACCTAATAATTTGTTGCATCCCTAATTAGATTGATTATTAGTAAAAAAAAATATTTGGGAGATTTTTTTCAGGTTCTATCCTGAAGTCCTATCATATTTATTCTATATGATTTAATCAATTAAATTTCCATTCAGTACAACATGTAAATAATCAATACAATCTGAATTGAAAGGTTATGGAACTATATTTCATTCATAAAGGCATTTAATTTTTTTCCCAAATCACCGTGAAAACTGAAATTCCTAAATTACTACTTTGTGGTTTGATTATTAAGGATAAATAGTGGATTTAACGGGCATTTTTGATTAAGGCTCCCGAAATTCAGAATTAATGAATATAAATTTTAATAAAGTGTATCAGAAATATTTTGTCAACAGATTCTAAAATCTTCTTGTACCAATATAGCATGGAGACACCCTACAAAGTGTTGGTATCAGCAGTTCAATAGTAATTTTAATAGAGCAATTCATAAAAAGACAAATATTCAGTTCATCATGGTAATCAAGTGAGCTAACTTAATCACTATATAAAAATATACAATATATAAAATAAGAAATAAACTAAATAGAATAAAAACAAAAAAACAAAAACATTCTTCTTGTTTCACATGTATAACCCATTCATTTTCTTTGAAGATAGTCATCAAAAAGTCTGAAACACTAGCATTGATTTAAACTACGTGCAACGTAATTGCATGCCTACTGAAATTAATGTAATAGTATACTCGAACACATTATTGTGTAACATGTCTAAATATTCTATCTCACAGTTTGCTAAAGTAAACAATTCATCAATTCATTTTTGCTAGATGGTTAACAATATCAAGATATATTGCAGAAAAAATTGCAAAAACTTCCAAAAACACTAACGAACTAATTATTTTTGGAAATTAATAAATCGGTAAAATAAAAAAAATAAAATAGGGGGCAAAACTCTTATTCTATACAGCATTTTTTTCTTATTATCTTTTGTCATGGCCAAGATACACAGCTACAATTGTGATTAGAAAAAAGAAAAAACTGAATTTTGTAATTTTTAAGAAAATCTTCCAGTTTAAATTGCTACAGAATTTTCATAAACCCATTTACAAATTCTTGCAATACCTTCACAATAAACCTATTCAATTTTTTACTATTATATTGTCAATCAAAAGAACTACTTTTATATCCATACCAAATAAAAACAAAATGTTAAGCATGTGTTACTGATTTTTAGATTGAAAAGAGTAGGACCTTATAATTAAAAAGCTATATGCACGATTCAATATTCAACAGGCATAATATAAAAAAACATTCACAAGACATACAACAATGCTATGAAAAAAAGGTAATATCATGCATAAACACTGTTTATTACTTACTTTATCCTGTTATAAATGTGAATTAAAAAATATAAACTCCTTAATTGACAATAATTATCATATTATACAAGTTAAATACTATATAAATGTTAAAATGGATTTTTATAAATACATTTAGAGTTACTTGATATGTTTTTTCTTTAATTTTAATTTGCAAAATGAATTTGTGTGAAATGAAGCACTCTAAGTTGGTGTAGACTGACTTTACATTTTTGTACTTTACTACTTTAAATTGTTAAATAAAATAAATCATTATAGTAATTAAAACAGATGCTTTGTGTTTATGGTAGTTTATTTAAATTCTTTGGAGTGTATGAAAATATTATCCAATTTATTATAAGGTTAGCCATAACCCTGGCAATATGCATAGTTGTTGATGTTACTATTATTTTGCGTATATTACTTTGATGTTTATATTAACACGCAATGCAAACTCAATGAAATATAGGATATTATAATTTTATGATCCAGAGGAAAAAGTTCTCGCTAGAGAAAAACTTTATTACAAACTAGTTTCATAACATATAAAATATTATTAATTGCTCCTGTATGTCTGAAAAGTAAAAAATTACTGGAAGCTGTTAGATTAGGTAGTTTTAGAAAGATTGAAAACTATTAAATTTATTTAGTACTACTATAATGAATTGATATTGCTTTGCAAATAAATGCAAGGATCTAGGCGAAACCATTACAATTAAATTGATTTATTTTCATAATTCTAGAGGTAATTGGAACCACGCATTGCAGTATAAATTGTAGTGTGAATTTAAAAGTTATGTTAATTAATAAAAAGTGTACAAATGTTGTCAGCAAAATTAAATATTATAATAAATAAATAATCTTAAATATATGTAGAAAGTTAATTAATATAATAGAAGCAACACATACAACTCACCGATCTGTAAGCCTGAGAGTACAGCCAACACGTTGAAAGAGAAGTTACAGAAAGAGAGGGAGAGAAGAAAGAAAAGAGACAATACAACAATTAGTAACAACACCAATATTGCAGAAATAGGGAACACGCATATCACATATTTATAAATTACAGTACAATTACAACAAAAATAAATGTGAAAAAGACAAGTATATCACCAAATGTAATGTACGAGCACACTGTGACAAAATATTTAACTAGTCTATTGTAATTTTAAGTGTTTCATTATTCTTCTGCCAGATATGTCTAAAAAAATTAATTAATTTCATAATGAATGTGTTCAAATTAAGTTAATTATTAAAACATTATAGATAAAATGCATTTTATGACCTATGCAACTTTTTCCATTTAGTGCTCCGAACATTTACATGTACATTCATACATCAACAAACATCGTGATACACATAATTTGAAATGCTTAACTGAGAAAAATGCTTACTATTCTGCAGATCAACCTATCAACACATAGTTCAAATCTATATTGACATTTGGGATTAAACGAATCACACTAAAATTTGAAGTGAAGAACCTACAGGGTTAAACAACAAAAAGTGATTCAGGATACATGCATATGCAAATAACAGAAATAGTACTTTTATCCTCATACGGTACCACCACTCAAATGTAGTTTTTTATTTTTTTTTAAATTATGATTTTCTATTGTTTATAAGTTTGACAACACTGACTCATGCAATCACCAAATTATGTTAATGAGTTGTGATTATGATGGGGAATACTTGTTCAATAATTTTTTCCTAGTCATAAATTGCTAAATTTTTACTGAATAGTGTATAACAACAACTAGTCAACCCATTAAACATGAGTAATCTTTGGGTAATACGTATTAATGTAGAATAATACTTTGTGAATATGGTATATATTTATATATGAAATAAACTCTAATTCAATTGCAATACATTTTTTTACTAAACTGGACAAGCAATGTTGTTTCTTTTTAACAATCTTGTTTCAATTATTTTTGAACACACCATCTTTCAGCTAATTTCATTACTTCATCTTTAAAAGGACTGAAAAATTTGTATATTTTCTATCAGAGATCAAATTTCATGTAGCATTGACAAGAACAATGGTATTATTATGAAAAATATTTATTCAATCTCATTTGTTGAGTTGGCTTTTAATAACCAATTATAGAAAACTTATTATAGTTAATGATTGTTTTAAAAAAAGAACAAATGAAACAATTTTAATATTATTAATTAAATTAATAAAGTTGACTGTTGTTGCATAGCACACTCCATAACTCAAGAACTATTTAACAATAACTATTAGTTGTACATTATTTTATGAATAATAGGATAGTTTTTTCTTAACACTTGCACCACCGTCGTGGGTCTTTCAACACCCAGACAATGTACGTATTCTTCTATTAGGTCTTTCTTGAATGCAAAGTAATGTTCTTTGAAAATTTTGCACAAAAATGTAATTGTTATTGCTCATTTTGTAGATAAAAAGTTGCCTGTGTCTACTGAGACCAGCCAACCGCAGTTCATGTCTTTTTTTTCTTTTTTTTATTGTACAGTTGTTAATATGTAGGAAAACTGCTTAGCCCTACTACTCACCCCCTAATATCCTTACTCTTTGTCTATTGTCCTGATTTTTCTGTTTTCCCCAAAGCTCTCATTGTTCAGTTAGTATTCAGTTTCTGTGTGAAAGTGAGCAAAATGGATGCTAACACTGTTTTTAGTTGTGCGGATGATATTTTGAAAGAGTTTCGGAGACAGAATGAAGATCAAAAGGTTTTTCTTTACAGTCGATGTTTTCTTTGCTCTGGTAATGAGAACAAATACTTTACCCGATGCGATAAATATCAGCAATTCAAGTGCAGTAAACATTCAGTGATGACCAAAAAAATGTAAAATAAAATAATGTTAATAAAATTTTATCATACTACACATGAATTTTTTATAAAATGTAAAATTATATAATGCAAATAAAATGTTAGCATACATATGAAAAATTTTATTTATTATTTACGTGTGCACATACTAAATAAATAAACATTACACAAAAAACCTTATTAATGCTGTTTTTCAATTTAAAAAAAATATGTATATATATATAGATCTAAAAAGACCTGCCAAAGCAGTCCACTTCTTTTTTTTCTGGTCCTTTTTTTTTACCGACGGCAGTGCGAGTGTTAATGATAATATAAAAATCCTTATTATATTGCACGAATATAAATATCAACCTACAATAGAAGAAGGTCAATGTTTGGATTTGATAAGAAAATTTATACTATATTAAAATCAATGGCCATGATATTAAAAATCACTGATCCATTTATGAATTTCATTACTATTTTAACTAAACCCTAACTGAAAATATATTTTAAACTTATTTTCAAATGGTGTAAGTAATAAAACAAGCTGGAGAACATCTTGTAGCACACTATGCAACTAATATAATACATATTATTTACGTATTATTTACAAAAATACATGGCAAAATTCATAGTTAATATTTTGCCAAAATATTGTTTTGGGTTTATTTAATACAAACCAACCACAGTTAAGCCTATGAACAGAATTTGCTGGAAGCCAAAGCGAGGAACAAAAAAAGCCTTAATGCAATAAATGCCGACAACTTTTTGGATTGAATACGGGAGGTTTAGGTTGAAAAGCTCAATCAATATTTAACTATCTTTACACAAGAGTATAAAAAGTTGTTCATGTATAAATTTTAGATGTAATCAAGTTTAAAAGCTGTGAATCTCTTGTGTTGGTAAATAGTTTCCTCTGATTAATGACAAGTGCATGATAATCATTTTTCTTGTGGTTTTTTACTATCATATTAATTTTGTATTTATTTACAGAATATCATCATGGAGGGACTTGTAACAAGTTTCATATAAGTGCAGTTATTTAAAAATTGTTTTTCGATAAATGCCTACTCATTGTAAAATGATAAAATATGTGTATTGCATTAGTTATAAAATGTGTGTATGCTTGTAAACATTGATATACTTATATTCTGGCTTTGTTTTGTTAAAAAGTTAACTGTTTAAAAATTATCATAAAACTGCTGTATAAATTAAATTTTATTGTTACTTCATGTCTACTACTATTTCTATATAATACCTCTGCATAATGTTCCTCATTCTGTTGGAGAAGATCGACACATAACTCAGCAAGATGAATGAGATCGTCTAATTTCTTACTGGGTGGGATAATAGTTTCTCCTGTGATTTCATCTGTTAAACAAAATTCTTGACAGTTAATATAATTTTATAATGCAGAAAAAAAATACATTGGTTTATTAATTGCCATTTGGTTTAAATCATAATGAACAATTTCCAACTCATAAAATTAACTTACGAATGCATAAATTATTAAAAATAAATTTGGTCAATAAGATAAAAGTACACCAAAAAAATTCTTTAAATACATATTCTTGAAAGCGGCTTTCAGCAAATCTTGACCATGACACTGAAGTTGTATTATTAGTTGTCATGTGCTCTGCTTACTCATCTCAACTAAATTGTCAAATTGGAAGTGAAGAGCTTGTTTCTGGCAAATATAATTTCAAAACCAATCTATTCTTCTTCTTCTTCTTCTTTCTTACTACACTTTTTTTTAAAGCCAAACTTATGTTCTGGACTTCAATATTACATGTTTGAAAGCGTAAAAAATTAATAAATCTAATATTTTGAAGGGGGTTTTCATGACATCATTCATTTAAGTTTTAAATAATGAAACTTTAGATGTTTTGATGTTTAAAATATACTCACTTTTAACATTTATTTAAATAAATCATTTGCTTTCAAATTCAAGGCAATATAGCAATAGAAATAATTAATTACTCTTTTTATTTATTATTCATTTCATATGAAAACGTGATAAAGTTTTTAGTATTACTCACGGCCATCTTTCCACCTGACTTTGATCTATGTATTTTCATTCCCTTTTGCACAAACTAATACCCTCCATTCACAATAATTAATGAGTAAATATGATTGCAGATGGCCATGGCTCTATCACAGATGAATATTGAAGAAAAATAAACTGAAATCTTTCTACCTTAACTTTAAAATCTAAGTTAGTTGTTTGATGAAAAATTGACTTTACTATATTTTTTATTAAGCATAAAAACCTTTCTATTTGGTATGTATTTTGAAATTACAAAATAAAAGGTTATTTAAATAATTCATCATCTATGATGTGTTATGAACTAGGTCTTTCTAATTAATGCTGACTAATTTAGCATAAATGAAAACTATCTACATTTTTTCATGATAATTAATATTTTTGTACTATGTGTATTTGTTCAGAGGCTAAAAGTACAGGATTATCTTGGCATTGTCTGGGTACAAAGACACATAGGTCTAGAGGGTAATGAAAAAGCAAACGGTTTCCTGTATCAAGAGGGCTGTCAAGGAAGTTTATGCTGTGGAAGGTGAAAATGTTGTGCATTGTAACACTGCAGTATGACTTGTAGAAGAAGGGTTATCCTCACCCAATTAAGATGCTATGCGAAATTGATACATAGGCACTTACTCTTGGATCAAAGCACATGTATGGATCCATCGTATAAAGAAAGGTTGCTCGATGTGTCTCACTTAATTGAAAGCATATAGAGTGTATAGGAATGCCACCTATTATGAGAATCGTGTTTAAATATGCCGAGTATCTGAGTATCATTGTTGGAGGAAGCAGGGTTGTTTTATTACATATATATTACCAATCTTTGTGTGTCCCCCAAATGAGAGTTGGAAGTGTATGTATTTATTAGCATAAATGTATAGTGTGAGAGGGTTGATGGAGGAAACCTTTTTAGGTTAGGTTTATAATAGGTGTATTCAACCCTCAATTAGGTTAATTATATAATAGGTGTATAGGGTGATGGATGAATATCAAGTACTTCACCACCCTAACTGAGAGAATGGTATGTAAATAGGCTCTTTGGCTCCATATAGACAACTTGTAGGAATTCCACTTGATATGAGAATTGAGTTTGACCATGGCAGCGAGTATCTGGATCCCCTGTTCTGATTCTTGGACGAAACAGGGGTGTTTTATTGTATATAGTACTGATATTTTTGGGTCCCCTAGAGTGTGTTGAGAGTGAATGTATTTATTAGTATGAATGTGAAGTCTAAGAGGGTTAATAGCAGAATGTTGAGTACCCCATTGACCCTCAATTACATTATTTATATAATAGGTATAAAGGGTGATGGAAGAATATTGAGTACTCCAACAACTGAGTGAATGGCGTGTAAATAGGAAAGAATGTATTAGGTCGTTACAAAAGTCTTTGTGCATAAATTAAGTTTTATTTAAATTTCAGTATAAAATGTAGACATGAAAATTATTCCTCAAAATATAAGCCATCGTTATCAAGGACTTTAACCCATCTTTCTGTCAGAAGTTGAATTTGGGGTTGATACCAGTCATAGGTTTTTGAGGCGGAGAACTCCTCACATACTAATTTGACATATTCATAGTTTTCAAACTACCGGCCTTTCAAAAATGCACCATTGGCCAGAAAAGACCATAGTCAGACGGTGCGACATCAGGGATGTAAGGAGGGTGAGCTAACATCCTTCATTTCTGATAAGTTTCTTTGGCTAAACATGAACAACGCTGCCTTGCTGAAATATCGCTTTAACCCAATTGAGCAAAGCAGAGTACTTCTCTTTTTAAACCCATATACTCTTCCGAGTTGTTCACAGCAAAGCTCTGCATTAATAGCCCTGCCATCTAGAACCAAATCAAAGGGCAAAACACCCTCATAATTCTACCAAACACAAAGCATAATCTTTTTCCACATCGATCTTGGCGAACCTCTGATTGAACCATTTTTCATCTATCGTTACAATTCTCTTCTAAAATCTATCATCTTTTGGATTTTGAAGCAAACTTTTATAGATATCAACTCATGGATGAGCTTGGGTGTCTGACAAGTCACGGGAATCTGATCTGGGTGGTACATTTCGGACATTAAGCTTTTTTAAATGGCGGCTTACCGTTGCATTTAAAACCCTCGTTTTGGACAATTATCCTCGAGTGGTCGCATACGGATCCTTATTGACTGATATGAGTAATTCAGTATCATCCACACTGGAGAGTGACTAGATTTAGGCTCATCTTGAAGGCTGTTCCCAGAATTGAACCGCCTGAACCAAAATGCTGCAGTGTTACGATGCACGACATTTTCACCTTCCACTGCACAAATTTCCTCAGCTGCTGCCTTAGTTACACTTAAGTCTTTTTCTCCAGTAGTGGCCTCAGTAGACCAAGAATGACAATTTTTTCTTCCAACATTTTCGGCGAAATTTATAAAATGGAATGAAATGTAGAGTCAGTTGGTATACATAATTAAATAGAGGATTAGTCAAAGTAAATAACGATGTATGCATTTTTTATATCAGAGTCAAATAAGGATTGAAATAGAAACTTTAATATCACCAATTAATTACTGCACAAAGACCTGTGTAACGACCTAGTATTTTAGAATGAGCGAGAGTGTGGATAGGTTTTTTAGGAATTATTTGCATTGGGGGTTGAAATGGCCAAACTTGTGATAGCCTCTTGAGCCCAACCTCACTGGCTGGATGGATAAGACCAAGGTCTGACTGCCAACACCCAGGGTGAGTGATTCTCAAGGCCCACCAGTAATTCATTGTAAAGTACAATAGCCGGTGGACTTCGAGAAATGATAGGCACAACTCTGTATGAATGTACATGCATGCACAAATTTGTGTTTATATAAATCAGTAATCACCTATGATGAATGACATTATAGACTATTTCAAATTAAAGCTAATTTAGCATAAATAAAAACAACCTACATTTGTTCATGATAATTAACAATATGTTGCGATGTGTTAAGCGGCTAAAAGTGCAGGAATGTGAAGCATTAAGAGCAATAAATAGGGGAAACTATAATAGTAAATAATACTATATATGCTATGCTATAAAACTAATGTACTAAATTCATTCCAAGACTTTAAATAATATATTTTTGATCATGAATTAGCAAATTAATAGTAATAAAACAAAATAAGCTGTTTGTTATATTACAGTAATTTCATGAGAATATTCAACACTGACAATTTTGTTTGTTACGGTTTAAATAAAAATATCGACTACAATACTAAACAAATGACTGCAATAATCATTTATGTATAAAAAAACAGTATCCTTAAAACAATGAATACTAGTGTTTTTTAAATATCGGTGCCAATGCTACAATACGTATTTATGAATTGAATAATTATGAAAATGTAAATTAAGAATTACATCATGCAGAAATAATCTCACTAATGTGCATTTTTACCTGTTACAGCTCCCTCCCCTCCTAGATAAATATTAATGATTAGTATTACATTTTGAGGTTTTATTTTCTACTATTTTGGCACTACAGAAAACTAAAGTAAATGTGTTTGTTTGAGTTTACTTCTCAATAAATTACTTAAACCCACAATTCATTTTAAATATGTATACCTTTGCAGTAATGTGTGCAGTAACTTATTTTCTTCAAGTACAATAAGTGAGATTCCTTATATATGTATATTACATTTTCCCTGGTGTTTGAAACCAATAAATTTATCTAATTTTAAAAAATCCAATTCTCAAAAGATTAATATTTTAGTATGAAATTTTTTCCTAAGAACTAGTGTTTTGTGTTAATGAGTATGTATACACATAGTTTTATAGATATGCTACCCAGAGCCTCATATTTTTTGATGATTCAACAACTAGTGTACTTGAGCTGGGACAGCTACCTCACATATGTATATACTTCGGCGACAACACTTTATATTACAATTTGTTCCAGCCCATTTTAAACTTATTTAAAGAAAAAACTTTTGGTTCAACAAATATTAAAACAGTTCTTTAATGATTGATTTTACACTTACAATACAATTATAATAGGGTTTCTTGTTCTTTCTAAGAATAAAGTAGAATTTTTGTTGCATACTGTTTCTGTTTTATTCTTAATTAATATTGCCATTTGACAAATTTTCTAATTTTGCTTATTTTATTTTTTCACTTTGTATACTCCACAAACCTTTTCAAATTAATTAAGCAAATGTGGCATCTATGTGAATATTGTGAATATTACTGATACAAACAGATACAAATCTTTTATATTTTAATCCTTGAATATAATGGTCTTAACATTTTTTTAATTTAGGAATTTAATGTAATTTCAATAAATCAAACAATCTAAATGATTCATTAACTGAACTTTCTGAATTATCATATTCCAACATGTATCAATGTATAAAAACTATGTTAGTATCTAAGCATTAGTTTCATTAATTTTATAGATAAACTTAAAAATAACATCATTTAGTTTAATTAATTTTTTTCCTTTCTCACTCACTCACTCACTCTCTCTTTCTCTATTCAGATATCTCAGTTCATTTGTAGAGTTCTAATGCAAAATAGTTGCATCAACTGTCATCAAAAATTTATTAACCACTTTGTTTGTTTATTAAATTATGTTTGGTGGGAATATTTTTATTATGTAGATGTTTTGAAAAATACAATGTATTAATTAGTTTGTTTTTTGTTTTTTTTAACTACATACAAGTTTAAAAGTTAAAACATAAAATTAAGCTCTGTATATTTATAATGAACAACTGAAGTGAAGTACAACAATTAATTCCTATTAAATACAAAATGTAGTTGTTTTACAATAACAACCAACATCAACATGCAAAAATTAAAATATTATGCAAATATTAAAATGCAATCGAGCATAAGTGACACACCACATACATAATACAGAAATAGTAGTAGTAATCACATATAAACACACACACATACACACACATATATATACACACAAATCCACTATTTATTGACCTATTTTTATTAACAGATAATTAATATATCTCACCTTCAACTTTTGCTTCACCGGACAACCTTCTATAGTTAACGAGTGCAGCAGTTTCCAGGCATTTCTTGATCATAGCTCTGACATCTTCTTGTTGAACCGGAGTTGCAATATCTTTCATCAACACCTACAGTTACACATTAAGCACTCTTATTATTAAAACATCTATTTTTAACATTTATTTTACATATTTATAAATATAACTATTTTATTTTGTATATGAAATAATTTAATGGATTATTATGTTCACTAATTTATTATTTCATACATTTTAAAGCATGAGTTTATATATTGATTTTGTCTGTGTTACTTCATTTTTATGTAAGGACATAGTAAAACGCTTTGGTAATTTCTGAGGACTTTTGATTGGAAGGATTGGGTGAGCTGGATATTGGCTTTCATGGCAGAACCTCAAGTTCTACTGTATGTTAAATGTGGTTGCAGTAATGTCTTGTGTAGAGTTAGTTGTGTTTTGACAGTCAAAAAAGTCTTCATAGTTGTACAAGTCTTCTGTTAAGTTATTGTCTCTTAATTTTTTTTGTCAGGATTCCATGTCAGATGTAGTCCTAAGTTTTGACTTGAATGGAAGTTGGTACCTCCTTGTTATTGATGTGCAGAGAGGGCGAGACTGTTTTTTTCAATGTGAATACTGAGTACATTTTTCTTCATTCAGTCTTGTCCTCCACTTTGTGCAACTGTCTTCAATAAGTTCAAGGTGTTCTTTGATGTAGGAGGTAGCTTGAATAGGATTCAGGTTAAAAGATAAAAACTGTTATATCATCTGTATAGGTAGTAATGATGGTATTGAGATATATAAAAAGTAGGCAGTATAAATAGTACAAAGGATAGGAATCTGGCCTATATCTGTATGACATCTGAGTACACATTGCTGCGCCTCAACCTAAAGCAGACTAGGAATCAAGGCTATTTTAGTAATGAGTGGGTAGGAATCGTTTAAGTTTATAAAGGTTGCCTGTGCACCAGACCCTATTGATGAAAGCCTGGGCCAAATCCAGGAACGCACACAAGCAATACTCTTTGTTCTCTGAAGTGTCGGAAATGGTGTCAACAACTCTGAAACTTTGCTGGATTGTGGAATGATAAGGATGGAGCTGAACTGGTGAGAAGGAATGATTTTTATGTATATCTAGAATGGTAATTAAACATTATGGAAAGAAGACTGATGGGTCTTTGGGGGGGGGGGGCTTGAGAGCTTTTGGAAACATCATAGAATTAAGTTATAATTATACCTGTTCTAGGAGTGATAGAGTAGCTTTAAGAGCACCTTCTGGCCTTCCGAATGGGAAACAATATCTATTGAACATATGTAATTTGTATAGTTACAATCAAGTTTATATTAATTTTACCAATTATAGAAATTGAACCATTACCTAAAATTTGTAATTTGATTTTCCAAAAGTATTCTGAGTCTCTCCTTGATGTCTTGAAACTTTTCCTTTTCCTCGTGCGTAACAGTTCCTACACCATCAGGCCTATAATGTGAATTTATTAAAAACAATAATTTAAATATATATGTTTTTGTACATTATTATTTGGATTGAGAGTATGCTTGTAAATGGAAATGATTTCTATACGGAGTACCAAATTATGCATTTTTTTTCCAAGCCTTAATTTCTAAGGGCTCATGCTTTAAATAGGATTGGCAGACATATCGAGGATTACACATAAGTTATCATATTATTTTGTCTAGATATCCATGCGATCCTTTTGAAATAATAATATATTTTGTAATATATTCACATTTGTACATTGTTTCTAACACATGCAACTGGATTATTGATACAAAAGATTAATGTAATCACAGATAAAAGTAAAATAGAAAACAATTGTTTCAATAATATTTGTATGTTATAATTATTATATACATACACATGAATTGGCTTGAACAAAAATAATACTGTACTATATACATATTGAGTAAAAAGTCTCAGTAATTTTGTAGACAAATAAGAAATAATAAAAAGACATGTTAGAACTAAATTTTCTACCTGATTATTTAATCGATTATACCAGGCAACCAGAAAAGTTGTTGCGGTTTTTCATTTGTTATTGTTTTAATACAGTAGACCAACATTTTTATTTCCATAGGATTAGATGTTTATGTGTCCTTGTAAAATTTGCACTGTGTCAGTAATGAAACAATAAATGAGCACACAGCCCAAAAGTGGCTCAAAAAATTTGCTTCTGGGAATAAGGGGATTCAAGATGAAGTGATAGAGGGAAGCTATTGAACATGATTCCAGTCAAACGTAACACTAGCCTTGCCAGAGTGTGAATGAAACCTGTACAGTATCACTAGGAGGCCATATCATTGGCTGTCACTAAATGAACCCGCCCCATTGATGCTAAAACCGAATATTCACCAATAAAAGACGATGCTTTGTATTTGGTAGAGTGCAACAGGCAACAAACATTATGAACTCCTGCCAAGTGCCAGACCTTCACCTAGAAATCTACTACATCCAACTGCAAGGGGCTCTCGCCCTTTCCCAGAAACAATATGAACACAATAGTAATTTTTCACAAGGACAACGCTACTCTTCATACAGCCAGAACGACGAAGGAAGTGATAATGAAGCTTGGTCGGGAAGTCCTACAACATCCTCTGTACATCTGTCTTTCACCTTTTCTCAGAAACAGACAATCATATGTGCAATCGGGAGTTCAATATTTGCCAACAGTTGGAAAATGAGCTGAATTTACATTTTATGTCCCAGGGCCCAAATTTTACAAGAAGGGCATAACTGGCCTAGTAACTTGTTGAGACCATTTCTTTGAATAAATATTTCTATTTAATTATGACAATTATTAAACCCTTTAAATCCACACGAACTTTTCTGGTTACCTGGTATCTGAACAATAAAAATGTATTTGCATTTAACTAAAAAAAAACCGTTAAACTATTCAGTACTTTTTAAATTTTAACTTCAAAAAATACCAATGTTAGTAGCACATGGATGTTTTTGTGTGTCCTGTGTTGTTTCTCAAATAGTTAAGCTAAAATTGAGTTAACCGACTTTCAACTTATAACTTCCTTTATATACATTATATAAGGATGAAACATCATATTTCTAGTTGCAATTATACTTTTATGTGATTACATCATATATTAATATACTCCCTTGATAAGATACCAATAATTCAATTGAATATGATAGTGAATTATAGTAAATAAGTGTAATAAGAATTTTAAAAAGTTATCAAAAGCTTAATTTTAGGACTCTTAAAGTAATTTATTTTAATGGTTTTACAGAAAAATATGTCAGATCATATGTATTTTATGTTTATGTTTAAACAAGTGTATATCTTTGTTTAATGAAAGTTACAAGGAATTATTGGACCAAAATCAGGAATAAATGTAGAAATAATCTAAGTGATAAAGTTTTACAAATCATTAGACCATTATTAGATTTAGATATACTATATCTATGTATAATCAGACAATTATGTGTGTTTTTGTTTTTGTCCATATTATATTTGCACACCTCTTTGTAAGTTTGATTTTGACAATTATCAAAACAATTTTTGAAGTACAGTTAATTATAATTGTGTTTATTTATTTACATTAAAAAATTGTTCAGCAATGTCAAACACAGCACTTTTTTCAAAATACAAACGAATTAATTTAGTGACTAATGACAAAATGCAAATTAAAAATATTAAATCAATTTTTAAAAAATTAATATTTACAATTTAAAAAGTGGAAATATTGTATGTATTGTATGATATGGACTTCATCTGAACTTTAATTTGTTTTGTCAGTTATACAAACTAATCCAAATAATATTATTTTAATATTTTCAAATTTTGACGCTGGTGTTTTTCTGCCAACCCTGTCCATTTTTACCATTTACAGCAAACATATTACACATATTTTTTCTCGTTTTAATTTTTACAAAAAAGTAGTTAGTTAAATAATTAAAACATGAAAATCTACCAAAACAAGGAGAATAAAATTTTAGATCATAAAAAAATGGTTAAAAATCAATGTATGTAATACAACATAATAACATGTATGAAATGTAATATATACAGCATGTGTGTTTAATATAATATGCAGCTGATGATCACAATTATTCTTTACAAAGTATTATATTATTATTGATGTAAAACGATGATTATTTGAAGGAAAATAGTTTAAATGAAATTAATTTTAAAGCTACTTTTCAATATGTTATTACTGATTATTAATAGTAATTACAACAGAATAAACAAGTGCGATTTTAAAATTATAATTTTTTAATATAAATTTATACTCAAAATTTCTTAAAGAGGATCATAAATGTTAAATTATTGCATGAATTGACAACATTTATCTACGTTTTTTACAATACAAATTATGTCTATCTATGTTTGCTGTTTTCTTTTCAGCAGTTGTTCATGCTACAAACATTTTTATTTTTTCAATTTCAACATATTTGACAAGATTAAATAAATTGAAATACCAATAACATAATTATTACATGTAGCCTTGGAATATAAGAAAGTAATTATAGCTGGAATTAATTATTAATGATTTAAGTCAATAAATTTATAAGTAAAAGCAATAATTAACAGTGAAATATAGAAAAATAGTGCTTATAAAATAAGATTTTGTGCATTTAAAAAATAAATTCGTTTGAAAATATTATTAAAAAAGTGTGTGCAGAAATGTAGAATGCTGTGCTCTTTGAAAGTGAAATGAAAAGTTTTATACTACAATAAGAACAAAACAAAAAAAGAAGAAAAAAGTGCAACGTGTTAAATAAGTTGCATAAGTGTTATTAAAATTAAATAAATAACAGATTGTGTGAAAACAATTGTTTGCTTTTTATTGTTGTAAAAATAGTGTTAACTGTCAAACAAGTGAATAAAAATAGATATTGTATAATTATGAACACAGACAGAATTTTGCTATCAACTTTTCCCTAATGTCACAGTGAAAAATAAGGTATTGACCAACAGTTTGTTGTTGGCTTCATAGGGCAATTAATTTAGTAGTGTTAATGGATTTTTCATAAATTCAATGTAAGAGTCTTAGTGGTAAATAGTTCTTATTTACCTCAGCATAAATAGTTTATAAGAAATAAAATGAGGGTTGCTATCAAAATTTAGATTACAATGAAAAATCACTTGTTTAAAGAAATTTCCTTCCAACTTTAAACTTAAATTATGAAGTTTCATGTATAGAAAGAATAGCTTAACGAGTTTATTTACACAATAAAGACAACGGTTCCATAATATTTTAATGCCAATATAACAGAATTATCTCATCTCCAAGAACTTGACTTCACATAATGAAGTTTCATATAAATGATTAGCTCTCAACTTAAAAGCATTTTGTTACAAGAAAAATACAAATGAATTAAAAAAATAAATAAATAAAATTAGGCTTTTTGTTTATCTTACATAATTTTTTAAAAACCAAAAAACATTATTATCATAAGTAAATTTGGAGATTTTGTTTATCTTTCTTGCTATAATTAATATTGATTTAAATAAATCATATCATAAAAATAGGATAGTTTGCTGATTGTATAACAAAGGACCATTTTTTGTGATAATTAGGGATACTAAATTATCATTTTTAAGAAATAACAATGCCCTAGAAATAGAATATTATTCCCAAATTCATGTAACAACTTTTTTGATGTGTAAAATGATGATTGAATCAGTGATACATTAAATTGTAAATATGATTAGTGAGGCCTTCTACTAAAGAAAATTTTGTTTTATTTATATAATTTTAATTACATTTAACAACAAATTAGGCCATGTTATTTTTTTTTTTTTTTTTTTTTTTTTTTTTTACTCTATATTTATAAGCTAAGGCCAGTGCTGCACTCGGAGGACATATGCTATGAGAAATTAGCCAATGCTCGGCACTCAATGTGAGAGATTAAGGGGCAAGGTGGTCTCGAGGCCATCCATGAGAGTAGAGAGGGCTTGAGCAGTAGGGTTAGGTTGGATCGAGAGTCTTAAAATTTGGGACTCGAAAACAGATCAGTTCATTAACAAAAGGAATGTGGAGGTCATTGCGGATAGTTAGGTAAGTGACATAGTAAGGAGCTTTGACGATTTGCCTGAGGACATTTGATTGGAAGTTTTGGATGCACTGGATGTTGGATGGCTTGGTAGAACCCCATAGTTCCACTCAGTATGTTCAAAGTGGTCGCAGTAAAGTCTTGTATAAGGTTAATTTAATGTTGGCGGTCAAGACAGATATCAATCCTAAAAGTCTTCATAGTTGTCCAAGTCTTCTGTCAAGTTGTTGTCACTTTAAGTCTTGTATGAGGACTCTATATCGGTCTACTATAGGTATAGTCTAAGTATTTGACATGAACAAAGGTTGGTAACTCTTTTTTTCCAATATGAACACTGAGTACATTTTTCTTCATTCAGTCTTGCCACTTTTTGCGCCAGTCTTTGATAAGCTCAAGGTGTTCTTGGTTGTTGAACATAACTTGGATAGTATTTGAGTTAGAGGACAAAATTGCAGTATCATCCTCATAGATGGTGATTATTAAAGTGTACTGGTAGGCGTATAGGTATATATCATGTATAAATGATGGTACCAAGTATGTTCCCTTGTGGGACTCCGGCTTTTATCTGTCTAACTTTATTGCCACACCTCACTTTAAAGCAGCTATCAGTTAGATAGGATAAGGTAACAAGGAGTGGGTAGGAAGCATTGAAGTTAATAAAACTAATAATAAAATATGTATATACAGTATGCTACTACTGGAAGGTTATTGATCCATCTTACAACAACACTGCAATATGTTTACGCAAGTTTTAAAAAAATTAACTTAAGCAATGCACTGAATGTTACTTGATATCACTTTCTGTGCACAAATAAAATATTTCAAAATGTCATGAATATCTGAATTGATCACCATACACAATGTGAATAAAGTATCAAACTGCATTCTTGTAGAACAAAGATACACTGGTGAGAAGTTTTAATATAATTTTTTTTTTAAATCCGAAATATATTATGAAATGATGTTAAATTAAATTATTATTTCAGCAAATTAAGCCATTACATGCATTTCTGAAAGATAATCTCTAGGGCATTTAATTCTATTAACAAGAGTAATATATTCATACTATTAAAGTATAAAAAACACTGCTATTCAATATCGATATCAGTCTAGTTAGAAACGTGTTATCTATATAGAAAGAAATTAACACAACTTTTATTTTTAACACTGGGGATAATGGTTGCCCTATAATCTGCGTTGAAGAAAGACTTATAGAATTACCTGTACAAACAACATTTTATGATATTTTAAAGCATTGAACATTAAAATAAATGTAATCTTATCTGACCATAGCGACACCAAATGAAAGGCTTTGAAACCAAATCTGCTCCAAGTTTATAATGCAGATATTTAATGCATAATAAATCCTCAACAATGGTAAATATCACTGTACTTTACTTTCCTAAGCACTGTCTTTTTGTGACAGTTTAATAAATGCAAACTATAATAAAGCTAGCTACAGTAAATGTCATTATTTTTGCTATGTACATCATGCACTAAAATTGATTAAATTTAAGCTTTAAATATTTTAATGTTTGCTGCAACAAATGTGGATCAGTTATATTACTTTCGTACAAACCTTGCAACAGGGGTATTATCTTCAAGGACCTCCGTGCTAGGATAAGAATTAAAGATTAGAGTAGCTAATTATTATGAAAAACTTTAAATTATCACTTTAAACAAGCCCAAATTAAACTTCTATTAAAACCCAAGTTGTACGTTTAGAGTTTGTGTATTCAATGGCCTAACATATAATTATTTATATTGAAAACTTGAAAAATAAGCCTTTTTTTTAGATTTTTGTGATCATTTGTGATAAAATATTTGAAACCTTTTTCAAAACCAGTTATGTACTTTCATTTCAGGTTATTAAAAGGTCATTAATATTTAAAAAATTTAAAACAAGTTCTTTATGAAAAGGTATGTTTTTACATCAAAATAATTTTCCATTCAAATTTACACTCTTTTTTAAGATAACTGCAATTTGAAGTGTAAATTGGAGTTAAGTGCCTGATAGAATATTGTAATTTAATAAAAGCTAAATGCAAATAGCATTTCTGATTGTGTCTGGTGTTAAGAATGCCTGATATGTTAAATAATTGAAATACTCTTTTCTTTTGTTTAAATTGTATTTAACCCAGAAACAATAAGTGCAAAACAATCTAAAACTACACAGTAAAATAAAATATGTGATAAATTATATAATAGTTGACCACATTTTTTTGTTACTTATCGGGCCTGAGAAAAAATTGATATTTTTTATTTTTTTAAGATAATAAATCTCCTATTTTAAAGCATTTAATCTTCAATTATTATGAAAGAAAACATGCTGTATAGAATAAACTCATACTTTAGGTTAAGGCGTTAATATACTGTTAATACACAAAAATTGTGTTGAAAATATCTTTCTTTGATGCAATTAATATTTTATGTATATTAAAAATGACAGTATAAGTATTTAGTGTCACAAAAGTAATGTGGTGTATGTATATCATGAGTAAAGAAAATCAAGATAAGCAAAGATTTAAGTTAACTTAAAAATCAAAAGAAAAGTTGTAAATTAGAATATAAACTATAGAAAATTCTTGAAAAATTGTTACATTCAAAAATAAAAAATCATTTATTGAATGTTTTTCCAAGAGAATTAAATTATTTAATTATTTTATAAATAATTTAAAGGCTGTAAACACAAATAATTATTTATCAGTTTCTTAGAATAATAAATATATTGAATTTTTCACCTATTTCCGTGTACATGACTTGCACAAAATGCAAAGCTGAAGTGAATCAATGTTGGATCGATCATGATATTTTTTTCTGCTCTGTCCAACAAATCACTGAGGTAACATAGATGACGAAAACATCCTCTAACTCCATATCTAGCACAGTACTCATCTATTACAAATGCTTGACCAGGGCTGAACCAACCCTGAAAATAAAGTATCATTTATTAATATACATAATGAATTGTATAATTGTATTTTTTTAAAGTTAATTGTAATCAAAATACCAAAGAACAATAAGGATCGTTCATTCTATAATCTAGAGCAAGGGTCTGTAACGTTTTAAATAATGATGCATGATCAAATTTACAAGGATCTGCTGAAATGAACTCTTCCATGCCGTGTTTTCTTGCTCTATCAGCATCTATAAGTAAAGAAATGATATATAGTATTTTTATCAGTTGAAAATATATATACCTATAGTACAGGTTAACATATATCATTCATATATCTATTTCACATAAAAAATTACATTAATTTATTCAGGGAGGATGAACTCTTAAACTGTCCATCAATTCTTTATTCACTAACAATTTGTAAAATTGAATTTAACTTTAAGTAAGACTAGACTACAATTTAAAGTCCTACCTCCTTGAATTTTATAAATGGTTGAATTTTTTGCAGCTGATGTTACAAGTGGCGTTGGTTTGTGAGACTGCCCTGTTGCTCTATACATTGCCATTACCCACAAATGACATTCATTTTCATCGTCACATGCTAAAATTATGTTATCTCCTTCACGAACTGCGTTAAAAAAATATCGCCCTCCTTCCAGATCTAGAATACATTTAAATGTTAGTATCTCTCTCGCTCTCTCAGCCCTCCTCTCTCAATCTCTCTCCACACATTCACTCGCTCAACTATTTTACCTACAAATAATAAATGAAAAGTAAATAGAAAAATACATACCCATACCAACCATAAGGTTAGCTATAAAAAAAGGAGACAATGTATATATATTTTAAAATGTAAAATACCAAAAATAGAATCATTTCAATAATTTTACCGCTAGCAGGCTCAATGTAGTCAACTGTATAACCATCCAATTGCATCATTTCAGATGGTTCTGATTTCTTTTCTTTGTAAGTGCACATTGCAAAAGTGTATTGAGAAACTTGAACAAGAACGAAATATCGTTTCTTCCATTTCTTCCATACAGATTTACCAATGGCATATAAATATCTAAACAAATTTATTAAAAATGATCATTAATTAAACTTTTATCTATAGTTAGTAAAAGAGTCTGCATACATCCCTAAAAGAAAAAGAAGTTATTTATTACTTATTATAAAACTAAAACTTTATATTAGTATATGTTGAACCCTGTTTTATTTTTAGAATGAAGAATTGATTTTTTTTTTCTAATTCAATGATATAAAATAGACGTTTATTTGTGCAAAATAAGTTTGAATTTGGTGTAAGTCCTTTTCACCAACAGCAAATTTTTCTTACCTCCTTTTATTTTTAAATTTTTATTTTTAAATTTAGTTAGTAATGCTTAAGAATCAATCGTGTGAGGCAATAATCTTATAAATGTTTTATTATAATGGAGGTGCCGGTTGAAATTAGGTGGTTGATAGTGCAATACCATATTCTTGGAAAACAGTTAAGTGAAATTGCAAAAATTCTTCGTTGTGTACAAACGATCATCTGGAACTACAAAAACCAATGACGCTTTGGAAAGTAAGCACTGATTGGGGTGGCCAAAAAATTAGAAAGACCTCATGGGACAATGATTCTTCAATGTGTGAACTGAGAAACTTCTACTATTGCCCTTGCATTTTTATTTTCAAAGGGATTATGGCATTCATGAAGTGTAATTTTTAGTGATGAGTCAAAATTTAATCTTATCTGTCCTGATGGGAATGTTAGATTGTGGTGGGGGAAAAAATTAAGCTATGAAATTAAAAAATTTCTGTAAGACTGAAGCATGGGGGGGTAATACGGGGTGTATGGTGTCATCATGGACTAATATGTTTATATAAACATTCTTAGAGAAAAATAGCTCAGTGCCCAGAAATTTGGACTTCTTGAGAATTTGGTTTCCAGCAAGTCTCAAAGCATTGGGCTAAGAAAACGGGGGAGTGGTTATTGTACAAGGCTCCTGGCCAACTAAAAACACCCCCATAATCACCGGATTGTTACCACATTGAACATCTCTGGGAAGAATATGAAAAGAAAGTTGAAAACTCGCAGCATAAAAAATTATTATTGACTAACTGAAGCTGTCAAAGAAGAATAGGAAAATGTCATTTCTATTGTTAATGAAACAGAACAAAAAGTTAATAACTTCAATGCAAAACTGACTTCATGAAATGCTCAAAAATAAACAAGGCCCCACTGATTATTAATTTCAGATTTTAAACAATTTTGTCACAAGTTTTGCATAGTATGCAGACTTTTTTTGTTATGTTTTCTTAATTATAACTTTCATGTTATTATTTAGGCTTTAGGAACAATAAAAAAAACGTTTTGCATGTAAATTCTATACAAATTTATTTTAATAATTTTCCCACCACTTAAATTTTACCATTTAAATTTAAATCTAAGCATGATGTACTGAACGTGTACGCAGACTTTTTTACTAACTGTATATTTTTTTGACACAAACAAATGATTAATTTATTAGAAACTGTATTAAAGTAAAGACTACCAAAATAATGAAGAAAATCAAATTACTTTTCTTCTTTTAATGAAATTATTTCATAATGGTTTCAAATATACATCTAAGCTACTTGGGGTTTAAAAAAAATTTTTTTTTTTTTTAATAATAATATTGGTAATTCAGTACACTGTTATTTTTTGATGTGGCAACATACAAATTATATTATCATTAAAGCTCTTTAAAAATGTGAGATAGTTCAACTGATAATTTTTCTTTGTGCTAACAGTCCAGAGCACAAAATTAAAATTAAATACAGTTTTCTGACCTTATTTTCGTTTAGATTAAATAAAAATCTGTTTAAAATGAGATTCATAATCTGGGTTCATTGGAATAATTATTTTACTGAAAAAACAAATGTAATTAAATTGATTAAAAACATTACAACATCCATGGAGACTGAGTGTTCAGAGTGCATTTACCATGCTAACAGTTTTGGGACTGAATCCTGGCACTGCCCACGGAATTTTAGTTGAAAATATGACAAAAAGTATTGTAAAGCCAAAATTTTCAAAAACAAACAAGTGCCTTCTTCAGTAATATTTTGAAATCATTTACAAACAAGAGTTGTTCCCAGTTTAAATGTATTTCAATAAATAAGTTAATACTGTTTTATGTTATTTTATGTGTTATGTGATTGCCGATAAGTCCAGACTAATTTTTCATGCATTTTTACAGTATCTGAGCTAATATAAAAGCAATATTAATATAATCAGTAAAACAATCTATACTAAATAATAATAATAATAATATAAAAAAAACAGTAGTATGGAAGACTGTGAAGAGATAGTTATACTAAACTGGGTTTAAATAGAAACTACCTCAATATATATTTCGATCCTCGATTGTACTATAAGAAATTTTTTTCTTCGAAGTGTGAATTCAAGTTGTAAATATTTGTTAATTCAGTAATATTATATAATTTTTTATAGGAAATTAAATCATTTTTGAGACATCTTTACATTTTTATCCTATAATTTAGGAAAACATATTTAAAACAAGTTTAACTGCTTACCCGCAATGTTTCATATTCAATGGCTTATCCATGCGACATGCAATTTTAATTCTAAGATCTTGATCAGCACAACTTTTGGGTACTATCATCTTGTGCCACTCAGGAACCTAAAAACATATTAATCACTATGAAAAAAAATATATATATATATAATTGTCAATTTACAACACTTAAGAAATACAACTTATATAAACATTTGTGTCAAATTAACTTAGTAAGTTGTGTACAAACAGAACACTTACTTTTTAACAAATCATATGACCATAATTGATACTGCCCTAAATATCTTTTTTTTTCTTCTTCTTTTCCTGTCTTTCTCACGTTTTAATCTTTCTAATGTTTTAATGTTTCTACAGCCAATTTATAATGTTATATTATACAACAGTACTGATTCTCTTTTGTTTATCCTAAGTTAACCTCTCTGTACTTCAGGGCCTCGCCAATTGTGGATAAAATAACACAAATAACAAACACAAGCACAAAACGTAATAAACAAAACATTATAGTTTGGTTAGCATTCACTCAACCACAAACTATTTGATATTCCTCAGACTCATTGGGGATAAGCTTCCACATGCTAATAAATTACATTCGCATACCAGACTTCATTCACACTACCCCAGATTACTCGATATTTCTCAGGGTATTTATAGATAAGCCCCTTCAATTAACCCAATAAATTACATCCACACGCCACAATTCATTCATACTACCCCCCAGATGACTCAATATTCCTTGGGGTATTTATGGATAAGCCCATCCATTCACACTACCCCAGAGTACCTTATATTCCTCAAGGTAATTAGGGATAAGCCTCTCCATTCATGAAAATAAATACGTTTGTTCCAATAACACATATCACATACATGAAAGTACAAAGTTATATGTACAATTAAAGATATCTATAGCCCTGAGATACTAGATCAGCGATCTGTGCCTGCTGCCATGCGCCTAGGGCACGGTTAGATCATTTGGGATATTGTCCTTTCTTTCCAAATTTAGTTATTTGCATTATGTGCTCTAATATGGTAAGTTCTCCACAACAAGCACCTACGTGGTTTCACCCTCCATTAGAAGGTGTGTGTGATATTGGTATAACCTATATGCAACATGATAAATATGACCTTTTCCCTTCTAGACAGTTTCCACAAGCCAGTGACTTATGTCTTTTTTACGATGGTATAATTTGGGTGTGTTTCTTTCTTCTCAGTGGATTCTCCATTCATTTTTTATTGCATAAGCAATCATTCTTTTTAAATCTTATCTACTTCTTCATTCCCGGTTATACCAATGTGCCCAGGAACCCATGCTAGGCAACCTTTTTCCCACAAGTGACCCTGTGCCGGTTTAACATAATAAGAAAATTATTGAGAAATGTAAATTGTGAGGTATGTGAAGTGATGAACCTGCAACTTGTTGACCATCTCTTATCAACTGGGTCTGCCAAAACCCAAATTTTGTCAAGTGGTCAAATTAAAATATGACAAAAATATTTTGCTGTTTCCCTTTCTACTTCGTGCTGTTTACCTGGTTTTGCCTTTTGTTTATTTTACAATTAAATGCAATTTTATTACTATGTAGGTTAGTGATATTAAATCAAAGAAAAAGTTTAACTTTTATGTTGGAAATTATTGAACAAACCGTTCTTAACCATATAGAAAACTAGTAAAAAAAATTTTCATCTACCTTAACATCTAAACATTTTTAGGCATTATTATTTTACCTTTGATGATAGAGGAGTTGGATGTAATATGACCTTTCCCAATTCCTTATCCTCGAGTGCTAAAATTGCTGGATTCTCTGTATACAATTTCACTTTTACTGCTGGTAAGGGATGTGTCGAAGAAAAATCTCCCTGAGTATCCCACCTGATAAATTGAACAAAATTAGATTACTAAATATTGGACTACTATAAGGTAGCATAATAATTATTATCTAAATAGTAAACTACTAATATCATACAGTTATTATTTCAGAGCAAGCTGTATTAATGCTGTGTAATTAATTAATTTTTTTGTTACTTCAATAAGGTTGCTCTCACACAGGAACCGATAACGACCGATTCCTGAACATTTATATATGCCCAACATCACATAAAGATTCCAAACCTAGGGAATGGAATTAGCCCTCTCACACTGGAACCAACTTAATTGTGCATAAGTCAGTTTTGTTTTATCTACGAATCGATACCAGCAAACTGGAATGTTTTGCATTCAACAGACATTCTAAGGCGTCAATTCTAAGAAAAATAGAATTTTACAAATTTTCACTTTTATTATCATTTGTATTATTATTTTAATTTTACTGTATATATTCATTGAATTAAAGCTTACATAATCGGTTTACAAAACTTATAGAACTCAATATAAATTATTTATATATTTATTCTTGACAAGAAGTGCCATAAAAAATGTCTGCACATTCATGTGTATTATTTTCCTGATGGTCCCATGAATATATCCTCTCATGAATGAGAATTTTTTACAGAGCATGCCCTCTATGGCAGACTAAGAGTACCTGTATGCATCAATTCACAATGAAAATCTGAACTATTTTTGATCCATTCATTTCCCGCAACTATATGCAATATTTCTGATGAACTAGAGAGGCACAATAGACGAGGGCTCTCATCAGCTTGTGTTTGGATCATCTTCATGTTTTCAAGCAAATTCACACTTTTCACAGATTTCTACTTTCAAGGATGCAAGGTCTTAGTGAATTTTTTGATTTGAAGTTGTTCAGATTTTTCATACACAGAAAAGTAAATTTTACAATTCAAGAAAATTCTAAAAAAACTAAAGAATTTGAAAAAATCATTCCAAATTCATACCAACCACAACGAAACAAACTACAGATGGACAAACAGCTTTGACAAGTGTGTTCCAATGTTAGAGCTCACATGATTAAGTTGTCCAGCGCAGACAAACATAGTTGGTTCCAGTGTGAAACCAGCCTAAAACTTATAAAGCGTTGTAATACTTGAATGTAATTTCTTATACTTTAATGGATAAGTTATTTATTATATGTTGGACAGTTGATTTGATTTGGTTTGAAGCATCATACACGTTCTGGTATGTTGGTTTGCATATAATAAAGTTTTGACTCTTTTTATTCAATAAAATTTAAAAAATGTCAAATTTAAAAGAGAAACAAAGCAACAAAGAGAAACTCAAACATAAGATAAAAATATAAATATGCACCCCTTCACACCAGCATCTTTTCAGATAATTTTATTTCCTCCTACCTGCTTATTGACCCATTTCACATTAATTAAAATTATAATGGTTGACATAACAGTATGCATGGTACAATAAAGACTTATGAAATATATACAACCATTAAAGTATTTTAACCTAGCTATAACATACATCGGTTTTGATGCCTCTGCCTGATCAGTTTGTAATTTTTCACCTCCTTCCACTTCCATTGTACAGTAAACTATTCTGTTAGGAGCTAATGATTTTAGTCCTTTCACCTCCATAACTACTACCTGAAATATTTACACACCAAGAGTAAATAGATTGACAATCCACTCAGAAATATAGAAAAACAGTTGTAAAAAGGTTAAACAATATGTTAACCTTAAAAAAGTTATAAACTGGCATACAGTTTTATATGTAAAAAATAAATAGAAAGCTGATTTACCTCCAGTTGAAAGGTGAGAACAACATCTAATTTTGTAAGTTGGGTGTCATTGTCAGCTGAATCTCCTTCTAGCTTAGCTAATGAGCCTTGAGATCTTAAAACAAACATATTGATTAATTCACCACATATTTTATTTAAGAAATTATTTTTTTACATACCTATGGTTATATCGTTTTAGTTTTTGTAGGCCGTACTTTGAGTCAATAGTTCCTTTAGATACTGGTAGTGATTCCAAATTTGCCATCAAGAGATTAATCGACGACTTCAATTCTTCTATGTACAAAGACTCCATTTCTTTCAAAACAAATTTTGGCATAAGTTTACGGTTCTAGAAAATCAGAGAACATTGAATGTTAAATTTTGTTGGGTTTTTCTTCTTTCTTCTTACTGTTTTTCTTTTTTTAGGACTCATAATTACCTTTTCCATTTCAGAAACTTTTTGCATTCTGCCATCCAATTCCCTTCGAATGGCTGCAGCTTGTTCATCAGCAGAGTCAAGCTTTAAATAGAATTTGTATAAGTATATATTTGAATTTAATTATTTATCACAATATTTTATACAATTTACCTGTAGCGCATTAAACAAAAGTTGATGCTCAAATTTTTTGATTCCTAGAATTTGTTGAAACATATCGTACAGTTGATCTTTCGACAGAATCGACTCACTATTCAGTATTTGTTGCTGCATTCGCGATGGTCTTTTTGAATCATCATCAGTTACTAAAACAATTTCAAGTAACCAATACAAACAAGTTATGTTGGTCAATACACATCAAATATTTTTGTAACACTTCTGCTGTTCATAAATCATACATTTTCCTTGTGGAATTAAGTTTGATAAGGTCCCCAGTTTGTTAAGATTTAAATTAAGTAAAGTACAAGGTAACCAGAAAAGTTTGTGTGGTTTTTCTATTTCCATAGGTGAATTAGGTGGTTACAACATGTAATACCAAGAGGATAATGCAAGTAATAATCAGTTCATAAACAAAATGTGTTTCATTTTTACTGTAAATTATAAAATATTTACTTTCTTATGACTTCAAAACAGATAGATAGTGCATGCTAATTGTATGAAATTAAGCTTGATACCAGGGCAGACAAGGCAACTCATAAAATGCGTAAAATAAGTGAATGCACACTGCTTGAAATTGATTCAAAATGAAGTTAACATTCAAATGTTATTTTCAATTTCAGTGATGCAGGCAAGATGACTGAACATTAAACTGACTCTTAAACAGTTTAAACTTTGAACAGTGACCAATAAACTTAATTGAATATAAATTAGAATGTGTAAGTAAAATCGTAAAATTTGTCTAACTATACATATTTAATTAACAATATTTATATGTTTATTTAAAACTAGTAATTGAACATATTTGTTAAAAATATTTAAAAATCTACATTTTTTTAAATATATTTTCAATGCTATTACCTTTAAATATGCAGTCAAATTTAGCCATCCATGAGGCAAGAACTGTTTCTTTGCTAATACCATCAATTTCTGGAAGAGATCTTAACACAAAAGCAAAGAATATATTTTTCAACAATTAAGACTATAAAATTCAAGTTTACAAAATTACCTGACTCTTTTTTCTATATTATTCCTAAAAACTTCACGAAAATCAAACTGAGAGCAAGCTCCTGATTGCACCATTTTTAAAACCCTCTCTGAACGTAAAAAAACATCATAATAGCTTTGTACAGCATTTTGAAAAGCTTCATCAGCCATAATTTGAGTTTCACCTTTGAGGAAACTCTAAAACATATTTATTTGTAGGAAATTTCTTGTAGGATTAAAATAAAAGCTAGAATTAAGTTTAAGTACTACCTGAAACCTTCCTTGAATTATCTCTAGCTGCTGCTTTGTTATTTTGGGCTGACGCTTTGTCATATCGTTAGGCTGTTTTGCATTGAAGGGATATGCAATGCACCTTGATACAAAAACATATAACTGCAACTTTCTTTTCCTCTCTTCTTCTTCTCTTTCTTGTTTGTCCTTTAAAAACAGTTATTTTGTATTTTTATTAATTCCAAGGATTGTACCGAGCAGAGATCTGAGTGAAAATTAAAGGGCTTTGCTACAAAACTTTTTATGGTTGACTTTCTGAAATTTTTTTAACAGTACCTGTGTTTTGTGCAACTTTCAAAATTGTTTCTAATAAAATTTTAAATTTAGATGGTTGGCTTTAAATTTAAAGATTTTTTGTACTTTTAATTAATTGCATTAAAAATGACAACTTATTTTTTTAGAAAGAAACAGAGTTGATATTAGTTTTGTGGGTAAAAACAGAACACAAATTTTTGGGAAAATCAAAAGATATTTTTTCTCAAATTTTTCTGCCTCATACATTTTTCAAAATTCACAATAATGGTGATAAGTGGTAACTTTGAAACAACTTTATTGATTTATAGTTGTTTAGAACCCTATAAACTACATATAATGGCACAAACTTGGCCTTCGTAGATAAATTAAAATAGTGACATTAAATCTAAAAGCTGTTGACTGCAAAAAGATAAATTCAGCTTTTCAACGTTTGTAATAACACGGACTTTGGATAAAATCCAAAATGTAATTTTTAAGAATACTAAGTGGAACAGTGGATATTGGAGAAAAATGGCCCTAGATTATCCAGCCCAAAAATGTCAATTTTTTATTGCTATAAAAATTCATACTTAAGAGAGTATTTTGAAGCATGCTTAAATAAAATGTTTACAAATTGTTAAACAAGTTTTTAAACTACCTAACGGCTTTAAAGGGTGTTTAAAATGGATCCAAATTGTTACACATTTTTAAATCTACTTTACTGGAAGTGTTCTTTATGTTTTTAACTTTTTATTTGACTTATTGCATTTTACTTTAAATTACTTAAAATATATTTAAGTACATTGTATTTTTCTATCATCCCATAGAGCTCATTGCCAAGAACACTAGGGCATGCATCTAGCATTTTTTTCTGTTCATAGTTCAGTAAAAATAGTTCATTAAAATCGGTGATCCCATGTCTGTAGCCCTTCCCTTGTTAGCAGGGTATTCCAGCTATGAAAATCTTCACCAATTACCCACCACTCACATCGATTTCAGTTTAAAAAAATAAATAATTAAAATTAAATTAGAAAGGCAACTCTGTATAGACAATTTTTCATGCCAAGGTAGGACAAATAGGGCAGAAACTAATATGTTTCAACCCTTGGAAAAAGCAGGTTTGTATTTTATAACAAACTTTTGTATATCTCTTACCTTATTTGATATAACAAGAAAACATTTTCAGTGCATTTTGTGAAATAAAATGTAACAAAAATAGCATAAATAACATAAAGGTATGAAGCGTTTTAATGCTGGTGCTCTGCAAAACATTCATAACTTAAATAATAAATGATGGTGAAAAAAAAGAAAATGGTGATAAAAAATAAAAATATATTATTGACAAAATAATACACTTTCTGGTAAAAATAAATAATTTACACAATTAACAAAAATATAACTAATAAAACAATTAATGACAATTACAATAAAAAAATAAAATATTGCTGTGTAAAAAACAATGCTTAAGCATTATTATATTGTGTATGCGATAGTATACAATTTAAGAAACTAATTGTGCTAGAAAATACATAAATATATGTAAAGAAACACAATAAGCAAAGCTATAGCCAAAATAAAAAAGCTAAATAGGATTGAATAATATTTTCATATTTCATTAAAAGTACTAGTAACATTATATATTCACAGCCATCTATTTTTCCAGATTATTAAATATAGAGATAATACATAAACGTGGGTATAACGCTATTTTCGGTTAAAAAAATAAATTTCATGAAATGCATAAATAAAAAAGTTAAAAAAGAAGATGGAGAAAAAATATATTCTTACACTTATTGAACTACTACATTTACTGAACTACTACACTAGTATGGAAATTTTAAACTAATCGGCACTTGTTGAGGCACCCATAGAACAACCAAGTATCGAATCTCAGATCAACAACCAAACTATTCTGACTAGATTTGTAGCATTTAATGCCAAAGGTTTTTCTTTTTTAGTGTTTTGTATTTGTTATATTTATTGTTTGCATTGTTTTGTTGTTTGTCTACGGAGTCAGTCATTGAGGTTGGCACTAATATTAAGTTTAAGTAAGTAAAACTAATTGAGGTGGGGTGAGTACATCGATTCACTTTTTTGTAAGGATCCACAGCTATCCACATTTCGAGCATCAAAAAATGCTCATTATCAGGCTGAAATGTACAAACACGTGTCATACATGATCTGGATAGCTGTTAAAACCAGTTTGTGAGTAGAACCATCCAAAAAGTAAGTGAAGTTCTTCTTGTCTTTTTTTGTATGGTAAAATTTTTGTATTTTATGTAAAAAAATGTCTTTTTGGCAGCGCATTATGATTAAAATTTCTTGGTAGTTTTTGTAATGCGTTTTGTTTTAATATTAAAGTGTGTTTAATTTGAAGTTATTGTTTGTTACATCGTATGTTAGTGTTAGTTTCTGATTTTTTGAACATACCTTTTGTTTATGTAACATTACTGATTTTCCAATTCACTAATTTCGTGGTCCACTTGACCAATTAATATCTTACAATTAATTATGGTTTTCAGTTGAGATAAAAAAGTCAATGGCATTGCGTCAATGGCAGTGCCATTGACTTTTTATCTCAACTGAAAACCTTAATTAACTGTAAGATTATTGATTTTGTTACATTGTGAGATATTGTATTGTCTCTGATCAAACTATAAATTCACCACCTTGCTTACCTCAACACGTGATCTCACAATGCCAATAAATGCTTAGTAGATTTTTATAAGAACTTTTGGTAGATAAGAAATATAAAAGGGGTCTCCTTGCATCCCAAAAAATAGAACTTAATAGGTAAATACAGTGCTTTCTGCCTAATCCAAACTTTGGTACTCCAAACATTCCAGTAATATGAACAAGAAAAAAATTCAGGAAAATTTTGAAGGAAACAAACGAAAAATTATTTGAGAGGAGGGGAGAGGGTGAGAGAGAAAGAGAGATAGATATAGAGATAGAGAGATGGAGAGAGAGAGAGAGAGAGAGAGAGAGAGAGAGAGAGAGAGAGACAGAAAGATTAGATAGATAGATAGATAGATGTAATAATTCAGGGTATGGTATACTGCGCCCTTTAAGAGCTATTGTATCCCCTGTGCTCTGCTTAAAGCACATNGTGTACATCCATAACAGGGTTTCTGGTCTACATCCCCAGTTTCTTCCTGCCATTCTTCTGCACACCATCAGAGCTCGTGTCGCCTTTGTAATGATAGAGCTGATATGTTTTTTAAACTTTAGTGTTTTTTCTAGTGTGATGCCCAGATATTTGACTTCATTTTTGATTTCTATCACAGTGTTGTTTAGTTTGATTACTTTCATGTGATCTAGCTTTCTTTTCCGTGTAAAAGTGAAGATTAGATAGATAGAGACAGAGGGGGAAAGTGAGCAGGAGAAGGAGAAGGAGAGTGAGAGAGAAAGTGTGTGAGAGAGCGTGTGTTATTGAGTGAGTGACTTAGTAAGAGAGAAAGTGAGTGAGCGAGAAGGTTTATGCAAAAGACCAAAATTACCTTAGACTATGCGAATTTTCAAGAAGTCTACAATTTTTCTAGTGTTAAGTGTAATATACGTACTGCTTAAAAATGACTGAAAAGAGGAAGAGGCAATGAGTTAAGCATGTTTGTATTTTTTATTATTATTATAACTCCCCTATCGCAGTTCATTCACATTACTATGAGAGCACTATAATCTTGAATATTCAAGCATAATAAAATCTAACCAAACAAATTATTCAATCCAGTATAAATTTGTGTTTATTTTTGGAGAAAGAAAACATATTTACCTAGTATGGCAGTGATAAAGTAGTTTAATGTGCACATTATGTCTAACTGTATTACCCATGCACAAAATGTACAGAAGGAAGTCATGCAAAAGAAAAACAAAAATCCCTAGCTAAACATTTACATCCAACTGTATGCTTGCATTGATAATAATAAATTAACGAAATTAAAAACATTTTTAAAGTGGTTCAGTCAATGTGACTAGAATTTCATAATAAAAAAGCTTATTTTTAAGAACTTGATTGAAAAATGAAAAAACCTGCAGCTCTGCTTCAGCTTTTTCACTAACAACTGAAGGACTGGGACTTGTAGGGCGAGGTAGTGAGTTAGATCTTGATGCATTAGTTGTTCCACTAAGACTAACAGTGTCTGTAGATGTACTGCCAGGTGAGAGTGACCTGAAAAAAATTGGGGTGTTAACAAACTTATAATTTGTTCAAGATTACTAGTTGTGTTGTTATTAACTAAACTTAACAAGTATGTGCAACAACAAACAAAAACTAAATATTACAATTTTTTCAATGTAAAAGTAACCAAAAATATTTATACATATTTTCAATTGAGGCAGCTAATAAATTTCAACAAATTTTCACAAATTCAAATAAAATACCAACCGTGGAAGAGGCTGATTAGCATGAGGAACATCAAGATTAGATGATTCTTGAGTGTGATGATGGTGATGTGAACCATGTGATGAATGTTGTTGACCATGATGCCTATGATCATCTTGATGGTGGTGATGGTGTTGTTCCTCCTCACTTTCCTCCTCTGATGAACTTGGATCTATCATTTTTTACTTAAAAATTGAGAGAGAAAAAAGTTCAAGGATAATTCTGATAATAGTTCTTAAAACTACACAAAAGTTTCATATGAACATTATCAATTGAATGTGGCTCAATTGCAGACTACGATATATCCTCCAAAGCATTTTAAATAATAATAACAACCAACAATAACTCCCTGTTAAAATTCCCTAAAAAGTAATAAAAATAATAACCATAATTCTCTGAGCCACGGAGGAAATGGGGAAAAATGACGATTCTTTCAGTAAACCAATGATTTTGATATCACCCATATACATATTATTGTAATTTTATCTTTTTTTCATTTTATTACACAATAATGTGGTATGGATTCATCACAACTGCAACACCATGCATCATAAATAAATTTAATGTACACTATGTTTAATACATACTAATATTTGGCAATGCTAGTAAAAATTTGTATTTAACCATTTCGATGTCAGAACAATAAATTTAAGGATCAGTTTTTGGTTTGTTTGTATGTTTGTTGTTAGCCCTTAAACATTATTTTCATTTCTATGTCCATAAGAGTACATACATGATATGTATCTGCATCCCAAGCATTTTACAGTTAACTACCTGATATAAAAATTGTTGGCTATAAGAACCAACTTCTTAAGACCCTTGGATGTTCTTACAACCAATTTCTGCTCTAAATAGGCCAGAATGTTTTCAAGAGTTAATGAGAGTGTAATTGGATTTGGGAACTGATTGCATTGGGGGCTAGCTTTGTAGCCCCTGGAGCCCAACCTCAGCGGCTGGATGAATAAGACTGAGGTTCAAAGCCATCTGATGCACGGCAGTGAGCATTACAGTGCGTTGAGAGTGAATGTGACTATTGATGTAAATGTGTAGTGTAAGAGGGTTGATAGCTTTAATTAGAAAAGACAATGAAATAACAGGAACGGTTTGAAATATTAATCCAGTCTTTTTTTTTATTCTTTAAATGGTTGTTTCATTGTATATAATACTGATAATTTTGTGTTCCCAAGTTTGTGTAGAGAGTGGATGTATTTAAAAGTGTGAATGTGTAGTGTGTGGATCCATGGCAGAATATTGAGTACCCATTGACCCTCAATTAGGTTAGTTATTATAGAATAGGTGTAAAGAGTGACAGAGGAATGTTGAGTACTCCACCACGAGTGAATGATAAAAATTAAATAATTAACATCTTTTGTTAAAGCTTGTCTTATAATGCGTTTCATGTTGTGTACAACATTGTAGGTGCCTTCCACCTACTGAAGTGTTTAAAAACGTTCTGAGAGTTTGAATAAAAACATTTGTTCGGTTAATGTATTTTAAGTCATACCTGACTTGTGGAAGAAAGGTCATAATCACCTGATTGAGAATAGGCCATGCCAGGTTGACACAAGGACTATTGGGCCAAACTCCATGCAGAGAGAGTAGATGCATTGAAGGGAGCCATTCCTTGGCTCCATAAAAGGAGCGTGTAGGAATGCCAACCGATATGAAAATTGTGCTTGAGCACAGCAGTATTTAGTACCCCTTCTTGGGGAAAAAAAACTGGTTGTTTTACTGTATATAGTACTGACAGTTCTGTGTCTCTAGCGTGTGTTGAGAGTAAATGGATTTAGTAACTGACTGTATTGGGGAATTGACCTAGATGTTTATAACCCCTGGGGGCCGAAATCTGTGACCGGTCAGATAAAACCATCACCAAGACTGCCATCACCTGTGGTAATTTTTTAAAAATTAAAAAAACCTGGGAGGTGGACTGTGAGAAGTGACAAGCTCAACTTGTATTTGTGTGTATGTACGTACATGTGCAGATTTAAACTGACATAAATCAGTAATAAGTGATCAGCTAATCGATCGTTAAAAAACTAGGGTTTCTAATTCGATAAAAATATAATAGAATTTTAATTAACTAAAGACATTGATATAGGAAATACAAATATATCGATTTTTTAACTTTGGTGTTATTTTGTTGATTTAACTGTGGACGAGTACCATAAATTTCGTACCAACAGAACTCTACGATGTATTACTGATGGCGAAATAATGGGTCCAAAGTCCTTTCCAATCTCGGGGAAACAAACACATTCTTTCAGATGGACTACTTAAAATGAAATAAGTGTAAATATCTATTATAATAAGATACTTACCAGGCTTTATAAGTCTTTTTGTTCCTTTATTATTTGTTAAACGAGTTGATTATTATTGTACTATACTTCTGTTTTTCGAACGTTTTATATCATAATTAAAGATTCGACCATATGGTTTATTAACTAGTATTACTTTTATTTGTAAAGCTATTTGTAAATATTATTCTAAATAGGCACGCATATTCACTAAACGTTTCGTAACATCGAATATAGTAATAAAATATAAGGAATTTCTACTAAAATAAAATAATAAAAGGTCGAGTAGAATAGCTATAGGAAAAAAGGTCTTCAATCTTGCAGTAACCTCCCCGCTCGTGGCATTTCCGTCTTAACATATTGTTTCAATTTTATATTTAAGCCTAACCGAGCAGGATGAAACGTGTCGGGCCACGTGGGAAATTTCACCCTCATCCGGTTAAATAGTTCAAATGTTTGAAAAATTTTGAAAATAATTGAGAAACATTACATAATGTGAAATGCAGCAAACTAATGCGGCAAAAACGAAGTACGTCACACATTTAATTTGCTACTTGAAATATTGGCACCGCCACTGTTTCTTAAGCCAAACTGGCCGCTATCACTGAGCGTACAAAAAAAAAGAGAAAGAAAATTCAAAAACTTCGTCAATTCCACTTTAAACAATACCCCATTCACGTTCGACAAGATTGCATAAAATATGGAATATATGGTGCATGTAAGGAGCATACACTACCTTGAAACATTAGTGTCAATCGTGTATGACCTGTTCTGTGTCATGTAATGAACACAAATGAAACTTAGAAATGGAGAAAGACTACTTGATCCTAGAGACTCTTTTTACGACAGTCTATAACAAAGTCTCAACAGACTATAAAGGAGAAGAATTCAGGAGAACATCAGATACAATGATATGGTATACAGATGGCTCCAATACACATGGAAGGAACCGGATTTGGCATTTGTTGTATAATCCCAAAACATGAGCAATCAAACTGTTGGAAGAAGCATAGCATGGTTGGCGACTCGACCCTAGTGAGCGGACCACCGGACTATGCTAGTGGCGTTGTGGGCTGTTAATTATGTTAACAAGCTAACCTCTTGTGTTCGTACCTTGCGAACCTTGAATAACTCCATGTTTTATATTCCCATAATTAACTTGTGATATTGTTTTATCCAAATCATGTATATAGCGATTACTATCGTAAATGTATTCTGTAATTCGAAGTACTGGATTCATAAAAACCTGTTTTTCTTTCGTACATCGAACAGGTTATAGGACCAGCGTGCTAGAACAGGCTTTGGGAACCTTCGCATTTGGCCACGTGTATAGTCCTTAAGACTCGGATTTGCGCTTTACTTTTTACGTTTTCTTAATTCTATTTTTCATTTGTGTGTCAATATGTCTTCTCCCCACTGAACCACTTCACAAGGATAACTATGATACCTGGAAAATTGAAAATGCAGGCTTTGCTCGTCAAAAGCGACTACTGGTATCATGTTATTGGCGAAATAAAGAAACAGAAAGGAATTTTTTTTAAATGTCTTTCTTACCTGCTTGATTAATAAAATCATTCACCGCTTACATTTCTGATTGTTTTATAACTGGTGAATGTCATGTTAGTTTACTAATATCCATTCTTAATCTCACATAAAATTTAATCATTGAATACCATGATGTTATATCAGAACTGACAGGATAAGCAGGCGACCATCTGGATATGTGGCAACAGCATAGCTGATTGATCAGTGAGGGTTTGTGGAGCATCAGGCACCATAGCATCCAGCGGTCAAACCAGACTCTGGGAATCCATGAAGACTGAGATTTGCAGAATTAGATTAAGAACAGCATTAAAGCTAAGAAAGAAAGTATTTTAGAAATAAGCTAGCTTCTTTCGGTTGCGAGCCAGAAAAGAACAATAGGACCAATCCCCTCCCCCCAACAATCGCCACGACTCAACTCTTACCAAACATACCACCCACCTAAAATCTGCCAGAGTAGTATTTGATCAAAGAATTTTATTAATGATATTAGCGTAACTGCGACTGATTTTAGGTGCGTCTGTCCTGTAATTGATGCTGTGTTTATCTCTGTTGATGTAAACCATTTCTAAAAAGTTACATTTATGTTTGTTTTGTTCTGTGTGTAATATTCTCTGTAATAATACTCAGCTGCAGCATCATTAATCAAATTCAATATCAGTAACGTACATATAATACAACATATAAAACAATTAAATTCACTAATTTCGTGGTCCACTTGACCAATTAATTGTAATATAAAACAGTCATTACATTCCACACATCAAACATTTCTACATAGTCTAATTCTTGAACAGTTTGTCCTACCTTTCCCTAATTATCCCCGTCTATATAATCCTGAAAGGATAATCAGGCCAAACCATTACCCATTTTTTCCCTTTGTCGGCTCCTTTCACTTCAAAGAAGCCGACTCCTCATATAAAAATGGATTGCTATCCCTACTTCCTTCCACACCCTTTCAAAATCCAACATATACATATAAACAAAAAACATCAATATCTCACTGGCACTCTCAACACGACACATCGTAATGACACATCTACCCAGAAAACAAACACTTTGAGTGAGAACAAATACTTTGATTGAGTCTAAAATTTCTATCATTGTATAAATTCATTTTTTCACATGATAGTTATATTTGTATAATTTAAATTATAGGGCCTGAAGATGATTTCAATAAAGATCGAAACGTTGGCATAATAAAAAAAAATGTTTTTCTGAACCTACGTCACACCAGACCACATCTCACGATCCCAAAATATTCAATAAAAATAATCTCAAAATACTTTTTCTGCAGCTAAGATCAGAAATATTGAAGTAAGATTTAATGGGAGCATGAGAGGATTTATCATTGTGACATTTATTTTGAAATATAATGCATGAAGTAATTTATTTTAACCAGTTTGAAGAAGTTTTGTATCAGTGTAGTAATGCGGATTCCAGATGATTGAGACATTCAAGAATAGGTTGAACAAGTGAATTATATAGATGGACATTTTGAACTGATAGGTACTTTGGATGAAGCCAAGCATTTTAAAGGAGTGATTTTTGATTTATTGTAAATGTAGCTTAAAGGTAAAATAACTATCAAAGATGACACCAAGGAGTCTAATACAAGTTACTCTGGTTAAGAAGCTGGGATTAATTGTATAAGTGAAAATAGAAGATTTTTTGTAAGAAAAAGTGATACTAAAACATTTAGAATTATTTAAGAATAGTTTGTTACTTTGACACCTGTCGGAAAGATTTTGTGTTTTGTAAATTAATGCAATCTATGCCAGAATAAATTTTTGTATATATGTTTAGGTAGTCAGCGAATAGAAGAAACTCAGTACCAGGTAAAGCAAGGTGAATATCATTAATAAAGAGGAGAAAGAGAAAAGGACCAAGATGGGAGCCTTGTGGACACCAGATAAAACAGAAAAGCGAAGAAATCTAAAAGATTCAATTTAACTATTTGGGTGTATTCAGATAAATAACTGTGCAGCCAAAGCTGTAGATTTCCAGATATTTCATTCGCTTCTAGCTTCTTAATGTTATGATGTATGTTAATGTAAGTATGTTACGATCAATTTTTTCGAAGGCCTTGGAAAAATCTACATATACAGAATCAACCTGACAATCATAGGCTATAGCATCCAAAATATTATGCTAAAAGTTCCTCATTGAGAGTGGCAAACTCACTGCTACAGTTAGAGAAAGCTACACTCAGAGGAGTGATAAGACTACTGGTCACTGGCATTTGAGAAAACATCTACATAACATGGGTATATTCAATGTTTATATTTATATTATATATATTTTAATAATTTTGACAATTTCTGATTGATTAGATTTTTTAGTTTTATGGAATAATTTACATTTATTCATTACCGTGATTAATGTACAAGTTTTATTTTTAATTTATTAATTGAAGTACACTGATTGACAATGGTCATTAAAATTGTGTTAAACGCATCAAAAGCCTTGTTTGGGTCATTAATCTAGTTACTTAAATCCAATTATTATTTTTTAACAAATCATTTATCTTACAAAAATAAATAGCCCTAAAAAATATTTTTGCTCTTATTCTAGCCTTCTAAAACATCTTTTTTTAACTAATGAAGCAGATACTGGATATTCATGAATAATTTAGATCTCAGTATCGTCTGAATGAAAAGACAAATTCAGTTGTTATATGCCTAGCTTTTGACCTATTTCAAGGTCATCATCACAGCAAAACAATCTTAAAGACATCTACAAATTGATATAATTAAGTTTTGGAAGATGGTTTCAAATTTTGAATCAAGAAAAATAGGTCAAAACATTGACAGATAACAGTTGAATTTGTTTTTCATCGAGACCATACAGAGATAAAGAATATTCATGAGTAAACATACATTTAAACAGATACTGGATAATGGCCAGAAATTTTTCCTTAAATTAAGAGTAATATTTAAACTGAGCAGTGCATTTTTAATAAAAATAAGATCGATACAAGAATATGATTCCTCCTAGTAGGATTAAAAAACTTTTAAGTAATACATTTAGATAATGATTAGTATTTTTATTTTTAGATGATAGTATATTCATGTCACCACCTAGTAAATGAAATTTTACTTTACAAAATTTATTTAGATTATCATTTAAATTATAAGTTAACAACATTTAAATTATATATACATTAACTGGAATAATTACAGTACTGTCGAGAAATTTTAATATACTATCTTTTACCACCTTGCTTAGTTGTCAAGATCCACATGAGCCCATAAAACTGCTTAGAGTGATCTAATACTATACTGAGTAATCAGTGCTCGTTGTCACTATTTCCTTATTTATTTTATTTCAAGTTTTTTTTTTTTTTTTGTTCAGTAATGTTACATCAAGGTTACATTATGTAAGGTTGTTGTGAGGTCTGCAATATGATTATTTACCCTCTTCGATCATCTCAGTCTGCTCACACTCGCCTTATTTTTTAGCTGTGGGGGTCTACATTGTAAATAGCGCCCCTATGTTGGTATAGCAGAGCAACTGTCAAAATAACACACAGACCAACTAATGAAGTTGACATGTTGCATGATACAGCCAAAACCATATAAAATCAGCCAACCAGGATGACACAATCATGCTATTTATTACAATTACCCCCTCTGAATTTCAAAGAGCATTCAAGAAACTATGAAAGGGTAAAACAACCTTTAGCTTTTATATCAGTAAGTTGAATAACAATAGTAATATATTAGTATTAGTTTAAAGCCACTGGCACAAAAATTTATTTTAAATGAACCACTTTCTTCGCAACAATTATTCGTACTATTAAATGTGACAGTAAATCTTCAATATTAACTGATAATAAGTTAAAACCATTAGAATTGTACTGCAAATAAAACATTTTTACATTTTAAAACAGCAATTTTATAACTACTAACTTGTGCAATTGTGACAACAGTTAATAATTATTTTTTTAATTTCTGTAGCACAGGAGGGCTTAAGGTCCAACTACCCATTGGATGTCAAAGACAAGGGGTCAAACCATTTTACAATTCTTTCTCCACATTATACATACTTAAAAATCCATGGCCTGAAGGGATTCGAACCCAGGACCACTAGCATGGCAATACAACTCAGATGCCCCAACCACTTCACCACTGTGGTCCCCAACATTTAATTTAATTACATAAGGTATTTTGAAATTAAATATAAACATATGTTTTACAGTTTTATTGTGTTGCAGCTCCAATTCAATGTAATGCATAAAATACTTAGATGTTAAAATTTTATGTATAACATTTACTGTTTTGTTTTCTTCTTTGATCTAATGTAAATTATTAAATTAATTTTGAATAAATTAATATTATTATTTAATACTATTCTTAATTACTTAAAAGTCAGTCATTGGAAAATTTATAAAATTCATTATACATATGTAATTTTATATATTTTTAATTATCACTCTTTAAGGCCTGTTTAATGTATATATTTTTACAAATACAATCTATAACTTTTGTAGATTTAGTCAATTCAGGGTGATTTAGTGTACTGCGCCCTTTAACCTTTTCGGGTCTGATTTTAGGACACTAAAACACTTTCCCCTGCCTAAATGCCTGTCTCGGCCACTACAATTCTCCCATCATGTAACGAAATTCAAACTTTGACAGTACATTCCTCAGATATTACAATTTTCAACAGAAGTAAGGAGTATATATAAAAAGTATATAAATAAGGATAACAAAAATATATTTAAAAAAATACTATGAATGTAAATGATGTAAAACTAAAACTGTGGGCACTTGGCAGACAGGAGGCGAAAAATCAGAAAGACAACAGCTTACATGTTAGGGAAGGGTAGAGGGTTGGAAAGGGCAGGGGCAAAGGTAGAAGAAAATAAGACATTTCCAATGGGACAAATTGAAGAAACTTTAATTCTTAGAAATGGTGAATGATGGAGTGAGTGCGGTGTTCAATCTTTTTTAAAAAAGGACTTTACTTCTTTGTTAAAGTGGTATCACAATGGAGATATTGTGGCTGAATGGTTTTCCCGAAGATTGTTCCGCAATTTCATTAAAGTTTGAGAGTGAAGCGAGATTGTTAACAGAAGGGGGAGAAAAGAGAGGTTCATTAATGATGAGGATGGGAAAAGAAGGGTGTGCATGCAAGGTGTCATCCATTTACTACCAAGGTGTCTTCTACATGCCATGAGAGTCCAGCTGGAGCACTTAAAATGGGGGAAAAAACCTAACTCATCACAAGCCCCGAAAAGGTTAAGAGCTATTGTATGTCCTCTTGCCCTGTAGCTCACTGATGAGTCCCAATTATCAAGGAATTTTATTATTAGGCCCGGTTTTAATGGCTTTTTAACTTTTATGGTTACATTGTACATCACAAACCATTTCCTCCCGAAGCTAAGTTTATTGTGTTGACTTATTAGTAGATGTGTTGGTGTCTCTGCTTCTTTGCAGAATCTGCATGTACCGTATTGGTTTATATCAATCTTCCTCAATGTCCATACGGTCCACTGTGCTCCATTACGTGTAGTTTTTCCTGCTTACTGTGATGAATTCTATTGTCCCTTCCTTTCCAAATTTCACCAGGAGGTTTTTGGATTGTCTGTGTCCAGTGAGTGAAGTTTCCTCACTTTTGCCATGTCTTCTTGCCTAAGATGCTCCTTATGCACCAAAAAGGCTCAGGACCTATCAGTGGCATACACTTTTCTAGCAAGGGAATCCACTTCCTTGTTCCCATCTACTCCTTGTGTCCTGGGATCCAGTAGAGTTCAATTTTGTTTTGCATGCCTAATCTGTTTAATATAATTTTGCAACTGAGCACCAACCTTGGGCCAATAACATTTTAGTTTAATGCTCTGATGGCTGCCTGGCTATCCGTCAAGATAGCTATGTCCTTGTTTTTGTACCCTTTATTAAAATTGAACTATGTCATAACCTTTGTGCAATAATCATGCTGTTTATGTCCCGTATGACTAAGATACAAAAGATGTTTAAAAGTTGCAAAAGTTATGGATTGCTTTTATAAAAATAATCAACACCTCCCAAAAGGCCTAGCAAATGTCAATAAAAAATGATCCATAATGGAAAATATGAAAGAAAATATTTAAAAAAAGAGAAAAGACATAATTACAAATTTTAAATATTGAAAAAATTACGTGTAATTTTCTGAAGGTCAGAAAATAAAATCCAGCTGTTTAGCAAATAATAAATATTCAAATAAATTTATACTGTACTTTTATACACAGCCAAAAAACAGTACAAATCTGATTTTTCGAGAATAAATAACGAGTCGGTTACTTAAGTTACATTTTAATTTAAAGTTCGTCACACAATAAAAATATTTTATCAAAAATATTAACAAAATATTTTGATTTTTATATGAATTTACATGACTTTGGAGTTTGCATAGAACAGAATGGCTGAAAGAATTTCACTGTCTCTCCTGTAGTGCTTCTCTATACAAGACAATGGTTTAGAATCAAGATCAGATATGCCAATATTTATTCTGTAACTTATTCCATCAAAGTCTGTAACGTAGTGAAGGTTGTTGTCAATGTTTCTAAAATAATGTTAAACAATTAGAAATTTAATGCAATGCTAATACACATTTTATTTGCATGATATATAATATATAACAACTGTTATCTTTGTTTATTACTTACTTATTTGAACACCTCTGCAAAGTAATAAAAATGGAACAATCTTTAGCCGTGGTTGCTAATAAATATCTTTGAATGGGGTCCCAGCATTTTTTTACACACAATAAATTATCGACATATGCATAATCTTCCTCAAAATCTTTCTTATCACTAAAATAATTGTACACTTAAAAACAAATATTTTGTCATTGGTTATGAAATGATTTAATTACATACCAGTATGATTTGTATATACTATTGAAACTAGTGTTTTGCAACTTTTGTATTGACAAGATCCTTTGTAAAACACAATTTTCAGGTAACGGTTCTGAATTCCAATCACATGCTGGAATCATACCTTCCAGTGGGGAAGACATCGGGATCCCAACGCTGTTGTCTTTAGTATCATTTTCTTTTCCATCTTGAACAAATGTGTATGATGGAGCGTCTGATAGTCGCTTAGTTAAAGCTTCTTGTAATAGAGCACTCCACTTTTCAATCAGCCTGTAAAACAGCAGCAGAAAATAAAATTTGAAAAACACTCAAAACATTAATATCACACCTTTCAGAATTCACTTCTTCACTGCCTGGTTCCAAGATAGCTCTTAAAATTTCAACATAGTCTCTTAGGCTGTCCTCACTATAGATCAGATTACCATTCTGTAAACAAATAAATAGTTCAAACATCTATCTTTATTATCCCACTGGGGAAAGGTGTAAACTTAAAATTAGCATTCTGTTTTGGGTCCAGTTACTTGGGGTGCCCAACCCGAAAATGGACCATTGGCTATGTACCCAAATTATCCTATGGTTCACTCATCTGGTGTGAATTCAGCAAAAACAAACATAAGGCAGCATACAAAGACTAGCAAACCTATGTATCACAGGGGCAATGAAAACAATTGAAACATTGTTATAACTACCTCCATTAGAAATATTTATACAAAGATAAGTGAGGAAAAACTCATTTAGACTCTAGAAACAATAATAACAAGGATCTTGATTGGAACTAAACACTTCAGGCACACAATAAAAATTAATAAAATCAAACACTCATTGCTGCACTTGCTAACCGCCCTCAACTGGTACACTCAATCCGAAAGAACTTTCCAACTTTCCTTGTACTCCAGACAATCAAAAGTGAACCTCTCTATGTTTAATGTCATCACATGTCACATAGTTTGCAGAAGCTCTAAGGTTTCTGTGCAATTTTGTTTCATGGTGAGATTCTTTTGGATCCGAGATATTGTTGGGGAAAAAATTCATTACCAATTCAGAAAACCATGGGTCTGGGTTGAAGAAGAGAGATTTATACTTTTCCCGCCGTCCCTCCAACCATTGTTTGTTCAAAAAAAGTTTGGCCTCAGTTTTGGTCAATTTGATCTCATGATAGTCCCTATACTTGACTGCTGTACCATTTTGGATACTGCAATGTCCTCAACAAAAAAAAAATTTTGTGCAAAGACTCACGATCATATATCACCACGACTGCTGTCACATTTTGCATTTGGGTGAAACCACTATTTGATAGCACTACTACTTGATAGAACTCATGCTGTCCGATATGATGCCAAAGCTCAAAAGTGATTGTGATGTTAAATTAGCATGTTATTTTGTGTATTGGGATTTGTGATTATATTGTGAATATTAATTTATTTCTCTTTATAATAGCGAGAAGAAACCATAGATTTTAATTGGTGTAGAAAGAGAAAAAGATAGGGAGAGGGTAAACCCAACATTTTAATAGAATTTTTCACTTCTCTCACTATTTTCTCAGTTTAAATTTTAAGAAACCACACCATATAATACATCGTGGAAATAGGAATGTTTTTTCTATAAAATAAGCCTAATTTAAAATTTGTAAACAATTACTACCAGTACTTATTTTAATCTGGAAGTTAGCAACTTTATGTTTTTTGTTCGGATTAAAATTGTGAAAGATTTTCCGTGAGGACTCTAACTTTTTTTAATATAGTATTAAACAGCTATTTAAAACCAATCGAATATTTAAAAAATTCACTAAACAATTTGCAAAGTAACGTATGTTTGAACTGGTCATGTAAAATTAAAAAGGTACTGCAAGAAATAGAAATTTTCATCTAAGATGAATAATTGATGATTCCCCAAACTGCATTTGCAACTGCATTAGCAACTATCAATAGATTTTTTGTTTGTTAGAGATGTTTTTAATGACAATCATGCTTTTGCTGAGAAAATTTTTATACTGAGTGGTGACTTTCGACAGGTTTTAACAGTCCTAAAAAAAAGGAGGCAGGAATCAAATTTATAAAGCATGCTTAAGTTTGCTATGTAACAGCTTTTAGAAATTCAAATTGTCTAAGAATATGCGTGCAGATGGAAATTCCATTGAATTATCAAATTAGTTATTAGATATCAGAAATAATATGATAAAAAAAAACTTGAAATGCCCCAGGAAATGTTATGCAATAATTTAAGAATTGAAGAGTTTTATCCATTAGCTTTATCTGAGGAAGAAATGAGTAATAGAGTTATATTAGCAGCTAGAAATGATGAAGTGAAAAAAATCAATCATCTTATTGTGAATCAACTACAAGGGGAAATTGTTAAGTGTGCTTCCATAGATCATGCTCAGTCCTAGCTGGTGACAAAGCCCACAATGAAAACATAAATTTACTGTATAACATTGAATTGATCAATGACACCTTCGGGTTTGCTCCTGCAGAACTGCACTTAAAAGCAAGATTTATAGTTATGCTATTGAGAAATTTATGCACAGGAGACGGTTTGTGTAAGGGGACCCATTTGATAATAAGAAAAATTGATAGGACGGTATTACACTATGAAATATTAACTGGGAATAAACAAGGAGATATTGTGTACATCACTCGAATATATTTAGATACATGAGGAGATACTGAAATGCTCTTTGTTTTTAAACAGTTGCAATTCCCAGTAAGTCAGAAGGACAAAGTTTTGAGAAAATAGGTTTGATTGTAAATTAAAAAAACAATATTTACACATGGACAATTATGCTGTATGATGGGCAATAAAATAGAATGCAAATTAAAACAAAAATGCATAGAAAATATTGTTTTTGACAAAGCATTGGAGTAGTGTAAAAGTTATTTTTTCTACGAGCCTGCCAAAAATTGGGAGTCATGAAATGGAAGTTTTTAAATTTATTTGTGTGGAGTTACTCTCTGACTTATTTAAAAAATATGGTTATATAAAACTAGTAGGGGCTCTGCTCGCCCACCTCCAGGTTGCCTGCCCCACAGCAGCTTTTTTGCAAAGGGATGAGAGGGAAATGACAAAAAAGTGAGTCACATAGCAAAGTTGCCTGGGGTTGGCAAGCTAAGCAGAGGCCCCCTAGTCATTGTTAAAAATTTAATTTAACTTTTAAAAATGTGTTTTGTGAATTGGGTACATTAGATTTGGTAAATAAAATATTATCTATCATAAAATAAAAAAATAAAAAATATAGTGTCACATGCTTTTGAAGAGTCTGTTTCCCTCATCTTAAGTGTTGTTTGGTTCCAGCTTCTTGAATTACCAGGCTATACAGCATCTTTGACATAAAGGTTTCCAACATTTAAAATAACTTTAACCCCTTTGAACCAATGAGTATTTGTGATAAATATATTCTACTATTCAAACTATCACAGGCAATCGGTTGAACGGACAGCCAGCATACCAACAGCCACAACCAAACAGTTTACTTTGCCCAGTGTACATGGATGCAACACAATCAAATTAATCTACTGCCCTACAGACTTTATTGACCCTAAAAACAAAAAACAAAAAAAATGAATACAAAAAAGCATCCATATTCATCTTTAGGCCCCACTTACAAGTTATAAACTTATTATAAAGTTATAAAATTATTATATCTATAAATGCAATGAATACAGTATGTAGACGTGTAGTGTATACATTTCTAAATATAATCCATGATTTGAAATTTATTTAACTTACCTCAAAAATTTTAAGATTATTTTGTGGAGTTTTTAACAAATTTTTCAGAGCTTTCTTCATTCGGCTTATGTTTCTGGAAAAATAAAATAAAATTTACTTAAACAAGGAGTATAACTTAAAAATTTGAAATTTAATTCTCTGTTTAAACTTTTAATAGACTATAATTTTTTGATATTTTTGTAAAATAGAAAAATGTTGATGAAACAATAATTAAACCATGTTGACATTATCAAATGTTAAATGGAATTAAAAGCATTTGGATGTCATATTAAGTTGGCCTTTCATTGTCGCTCCAAAAACCCACATCAAAGGCAATCCTGGAGCACCCAATTTTCAACCAGACCAAACTCCATCGCACCACTCTAAACTTCTATATTTGGCACAGCATGTTTGTAACTGGCGAAATCCACCTTTTTTGGCACAGTGTCCGTCCTTATGAGCTTTGAGCGAAATCTCCATCCACTCGTAAATATTACATTTAATTAGGTTTAAGGAATATGGATTCTTAATAAAAGACTGCCCATTTTATGTCCACAATTTCAGTATCATTGTCAAAAAATACTTGCTTTTTTATGGCTTTTCTATTTCAGTAAAGTTACAAAAGGATATAATCAAGTGTAAGAAAAATGAAAACTACTGTACTAAACCAGGGTATTCGTTAAAAAATGGATATCTTAAATCTATGAGAAGGGATTAGCAATAAACAAAACCAGGGATAATCCTGTTAGTTCTTTTATTACAAAAAAGGGTTAAAATAAACACTTGAGTCTCTCTCCAGCATTGGAAAATATCGTGCTTTCCCTAAAGAGAAGAGAGGAGAGCCAGGGAATCGGGGGAAAAAGGCAGCCAGGTCAGAACTGGAGTTAGACATATAAACGAATCAAGAACTCAACATTTTCTTTCATCTAATTCACGTGGGTGTTACGGCTTCTGTTCTAGTCACTGCTTGCATCACCCCCTTTTAGGTTTTTGTTGTTTATAAGCAAACAGCAGTGTAACAAAAGATGTCCATTAATGATAAACGAACAAATCACTGGACTGGATCAGACTGGCTTGTGGAAGGGTTATGAATGCCCCCTCAAATTTCAGGCACGTCAAATGAACCTATGTGTTTCGGTGTGGCTACCTTTGCCATGAATGGCCAGCTATAAACAAAAAATATTAAATACATATTGAAAATGTTTACCCTGAGAACAAATCCAGTGGGCAATACTGACTAATCTTCCTTACACGTTTTTTCATATACTGTAATGAAAAAAGAAAATTAAAATGAGAATCATTGCGGCTGTAATTAATGGTTACATACTTTTAAATATTGGTTACAGCAGAAAGCACATTTAGGATGATTTCTATCGCACAAAGGAATCCAACCCTGTTTTGGTTTAATTTCTATGCAATATGTAAAACACTCATTATGCCTAAACAAAAATTAGATAATTATTTATATCAAAAACTCAATATTTGATTGGCCTTGTTATTTACTTACAATGCAAGTAAATTGGAACATTGAAGGCCACTTTGGAAATATTCATACGTGAGGCTGGGTGGAAGATGCGTGTAATCAGGATGACCAGTTAAAAGGCTAAATCGAACACCTTTGTTTAATCTAAAACCTAAAAGCAATGTAGATGTAAGAACTATTATTTTAATGACCTTCAACCACTACGGGTCATTTATGCTGTGAAGTTTGTACTATAATAAACTTTTTAGTGAATACTAACTTGGACGGAAGTTGTACAATTTGGCATCCAATTCAGCAATTTCTTTATCAGATATCCTAGCTAAAAAAGGTGGCTGTACAAAGGCTTTACCAAGGAGAGGTAGCATAACAAATTTATAAAATTTTAAATCCGTAATTATTTTCAACTCCATCTGCTGAATCACTCGTTTGTTAACAATGATATCATATTCACATTTTTGCATCCGAAGGATAATTTTCTCCTAAAATGAAAAACAAATTATTACATATATAGAAATTAATTAAACTTAAATCAGTAATTGAGTACTAAAATTTAGTTTATAATAATAATACAATAAAAATAATATTGATTTCACTATATTGTAAAGAAATAGTTTTCATTTATTTATCTTTATTTGCTTGACATTATCTTAAATTTATATAAATCTGGTGATGAAACAATAAGTTAACATCTGTTCACGAGAGCAGCTTATTTCTGAGCCAGGGCAAAAGATACTCATTGTAGTTTGTTTGAGTAGATTTCTGCGGTGATAGTCTGACCACGTGGCAGGAGTTTAATAGCGCACAATGCCCATCGTCCTCCACCAAACACTTTTGTTGGTGAATACTTGGTTTTCGCGTCAATGGGACAGTCATTTGATGACAGCCAACTGGTGATTTTCTGTTATCTGTACATAAGCTAATAGTTTCATCGCTTATGTTGCACATTCTAGCAAGCTCTTGATGCTGATCGAGATAAATATAGATAGAATAAAGATATCATTTGAGTGAAACAAGTTCAACAGCTTTGTTCAATTCGTTGTCATTCAAGACCGAAGGTCTACGAGACGATGGTTCATCTAATCACCTCATTCCCAGAAGCAAACTTTTTGAACTACTTTTGAGCAGTGTGTTCATTTATTATTTAACCACCGAAAGCAGTGCAAATTTTAAGAACTGCCTCAGCTGCCTTAGTGCCAGCTAAAATTCATAAAATAAGCATACATGATTTATGGGTTTTGAAACCATGAGAAAGAAAATATTTTATAATTTTCAGTGAACTGTTCAAGACACTTTTTTCTTTATGAACTGACGCATTATCCTCTTGATGACACACAGACTTTTCTGGTTGCCTGATATATAATTTAAATTAACTTGATAACTGATATCCTGTTAATCAATAATCAACTGTTTATCCTGTTGTTACATTACAAGAACATATAAAACATAATATATTCGTAGTAATTGCAATTTTGTGTAATTATCAGATTTTACCTGGGGCAACGATATGACTAGATTAGCATTTCCTTCTCCCCGATAAATCCAATTTAAATTGTCTAATGAAAGGCACAGCGCTGGCTGAATATCTTGATTTATGTTCATCCTGATCCTGTTTCAGTTGGCTAAACAAAAACAACAAAAACATTATATCTTCTGTAGAAGTTATATTAGTTTGTAACATTTTTTAATTAAATTTTGAATATTAATTATAAAATTCTACTTTTTAAATTATGTAGGTGTAAGGATTGTTAAAATCTGTAGTTTGATCGTTTCCAATCTTTCTGATACACCATCCATGCTGTTTGGTCTGTTGTTTGACTCACTCTGCGGACCTCAATGAGAAATTTCGCAAGTTATTAAAATGCCCTCATGCCTTACTGAACTCGCCGGTATAAATCCGTTGAATAGTTGAATAAAACAACACCAATCAATAGATAAAAACATGTATTTTTGGTTGTATAATAAATAGTATTCTTTAGGCCAATATTGAAATTTCAAAGTGATTACATAAACAATAAGAAAAATTTGCAACTAATATTCGATAGCAATAATTAAATTTTTTTGACATACCAAATTTTCTATAGATAATTAAAATGAGGGGATGACCAGATTACAAAAATGTTCAGTCACAAAAAGCACACAGGTCTAGTTTTACTAGATCTTGAAAAGGCACACTATTTGGCAAAATGGAATTGTCTATAGGTTGATTGACATCAATTTTCCAGGGTATATTGTCAAAATAATTTCCTCTTATCTAAAATCCCGCTACTTTCACGTCCATTTACACAATAAAATCTCCCACCCTTTCCTTATAGCCACCGGAGTCTCCCAGGGTTCTATACCAGGGCCAACTGTTTTCCTTCTATTTATATATCACCTTCTTAAGTCAAAAAATTGCCAAATTTCACTTTATGCAGATGACATAATGTTATATAGTTTGACCTGGAGGCCTGAAGCCATTGTGAGGAAATTAACTGAGACTGCAAACAAGGTGTCCCGTTTCTTTAACCGGTGGAAGCACAAAATAAATGCTCTTAAACAGAGGCCAAATTTTTTACAAGGTATCGCCCTATCTTTAGGGACAAAGTTTCTGTAAATGGCTTACCAATTGATTGGGAGGAAATATTAAATACTTAGGCGTTATTTTCGATAGCAAGCTTAACTTCTCTAGTCACATAAATGAAATTTAAAAAAAAAGGAAAGGTGGCTAAGAGGATCCTCTTTCTGCTTTTGCCTCGCAACTCTGGGCTGAATTATAGAAATAAACTCCTCATCTACAAAGTTGAAAAGCGTGCCCTCCTGTATGCTCGCCACGTCTGGAACTACAGTCCAAATCAAATTGAAAGAAAATACAGTGCATGCAAAATAATTTATGTGGCTAGTAACCTCTTCAAACAGAGATTCGGGATATCTTAACTAAATATGGCTTGGATATTTAGATTGTTAATTGGTATTATAATGGGATATATGTTTTTAAAATTCCTGTGGTATCGCCAAATTGTCTTAACTTCTATTGTACCTGATTTAAATTATGTTCATTCCTTTTGTTGTGGTTTACGTAATGTTTCTATGAGTTTAAATTAAAAGTCAATGAAATTAAGTGTGGGTTTAAATAGAAATGGAATGTAATAGTGCCCCGCCACTTCCAGTAAATAGCAACTGTAACTATATATGCATATGTATGTAAATTGTGTTAAAAGAAAAAAAAAAGCGCGAGAGAAAGGAAAACAGAGACAGAGAAAGCAAAGCATCTATAGGTTTATAGATACATGGATACATAGATACTTAGAGAGAGAGAGAGAGAGAGAGAGAGAAAGAAAGGGGGAATGGGAGCGAAAGAAAGAAGAAAAAAGAGAGAGAGAAGAACAAAAGGAAAGAGAAGGGAAAACAGAGACAGAGAAAGCAAAACAGAGATAGATTTATAGATAGATAGATTCATAGAGATTGATTGATTTCCATTTTATTTACACATACATCACTCAAGACTTGGTCTCCAGGACCACTCTTACATCTAAAGTGATATTCAATGGTAGAATTCAATGACTACTCTATTTAATCCTAACAAAGCAATTTCTTTTTCATCATTAATAAATAAAAATCATGTATATAAGTTTAACTTGACAAAAAAAAATTTAAAAAAAAGTTAAATCTCCTTACTTAGAGAATTATTTACAAAAAAAATTTACAAGTGTAGTTGAGCAAGGCCAGATATCAAACACTTCTAACAAAAAAAAATTGCTATATGAGGTATTTTACAAGTAAACAATTATTTTGATTTACATACCAGAACAAATTTTGTAGATAATTAAAGATATTTTTAAACTTAAACTATATATGTTTACATTCATATGAAGAAACTTTTTGTATTTTAAATTTTTTATTTAGTGAATTTAATTTACACTTTTAAACTTTTTAATTTGTCGTTTTTATACTTATCTACAAAGTAGATAATTTTTTTAATTTTAAGAAAGAGAGAGAGGAGGCGAGAAGGAAGCGAGAGAGAGAGGGGATATGGGAGCGAGAAAGAAAAAGAGAGAGAGAGAGAGAGTGAGTGAGTAAAAGAGAAGGGGTGAGATGGGGGTGAGAGAGAGAGTGTGAGAGAGGGGATATGGGAGCGAGAAAGAGAGAGAGAGTGAGTAAGAGAGAAGGAGTGATATGGAGGTGAGAGAGAGAGAGAGAGAGAGAGAGAGAGAGAGAGAGAGAGAGAGAGTGAGTGAGTGAGTGAGTGAGTGAGTGAGTGAGTGAGTGAGAGAGAGAGGGGGGTATGGAATCGAGAGAGAAGGAAGCAAAACAATGTGAGAGAGAGGGGATATGGGAGCGAGAACGAGAGAGTGAGTGAAAGAGAGCAGGAGATAGGGTAGACAAGAAAGAAGTGAGTAAGAGAGAAGGGGTGAGATGGGGGTGAGAGAGAGAGAGAGAGAGAGGAGATATGGGAGCGAGAAAGACAGAGTGCATGAGAGAGAGGGGGACAGGGGAAAGAGAGAGAGGGTGACAGGGGAAAGAGAGAGGTGACAGGGGAAAGAGAGAGGGGGACAGGGGAAAGAGAGAGCGAGTGAGAGAGAAGTAGAGAGGTGGGAGCGAGAGGTAGAGATGTGGAGCGAGAGGGAGTGGAAGAGTGAGAGAGAGGGGATATGGGAGCGAGAAAGAGAGAAAGTCTGTGAGAGAGGGGGATAGGGGAGAGAGAGATAAAGAGAGAGCGAGCAAGCAAGCGAACGAGGGAGAAGGGGAGAGATGGGGCGAGAGAGCGGGAGAGGGAGGAGGAGCGAGAGAGAGAGAGAGAGAGAGAGAGAGAGAGAGAGAGAGAGAGAGTGAGTGAGAAAATGAGCGAGAGAGAAGGAAGCGAGGGAATGAGAGAGAGGGGATATGGGAGCGAGGACGACAGAGGTGAGTGAGAGAGAGAGGGGGGGATAGGGGAGAGAGAGAAAGAGAAAATGAGTGAGTGAGTGAGTGAAAGAGAAGGAGAGAGAGGTGGTATGAGAGGGAGGGAGGGAGGGAGGGAGAGGGAGGGAGTGAGGGAGAGAGAGAGAGAGAGAGAGAGAGAGAGTGAGTGAGTGAGAGAGGGGAAGAAGGAGAGAGATGGGGTGAGAGAGAGGGAGAGGGAGCGCGAGAGAAGAGAGAGAGAGGGTGAGAGGGATGGGAGTGAGAGAGAAGAGAGAGAGGGTGAGAGGGATGGGAGTGAGAGAAAAGAGAGAGAGGGTGAGAGGGATGGGGTGAGAGAGAGAGAGAGAGAGAGAGAGAGAGAGAGAGAGAGAGAGAGAGAGAGAGAGAGAGAGAGAGAGAGAAGAGAGGGGGTATGAGAGTTGATCTATGTATATTGTTAACAAACTTTCTAATATCTACACTTGCAAAATAAAACAGTACAACTTGTGCCTAAAACTAAAAAAAAAAGAAGTGACAACCTGAAATAGAAGCCGAGTTGAAAGGCACAACGACAATGAGTCAAACGGTATGCGCACCGAAGAACTATGTTAGTTCTCTTTCGGATTAAAAACAAAAGCTGTGAACTAATTAAATAAAATAAACAAATGATAGTATTGTACACGAAAAACTTCAGGAAAAATTGGCCGATATGACTAACATCAGGTTAGTTGTTTTATTTAGCACTTGTTTTAGTCAGGGCCGAATCAAGACCCGTGCCAAACAACTCAATTGGCACCTTCTTCTAATCATTCACCCGTTAGAAAAAAAAAATTAAAATATCACATTTGCTCTTGTTATTTCTAATTGAAGTATGGAAATTACCATGGCTCAAGCAGATTGGTAAAACAGCTTCATACACGGCCCTTAAAATAATGTCGTGGATGTGCAAAGCCATGTTTTACAAATTGAAACAATAGATATGGAAAACAACATTCAAGGTTTTTATTTAGCAACAAGCTTTCTACCTTTTGAACAATATAAATACTTGTAATTTATGGGTATAAATAGTATTAAAAAACAGAAATCTTTGAGGAAAGTGCATATGTATGTAAATTGTTTTTAAAAAAGAAGCGTGTGTTAAGGTTTAATTTAAGGGGATAGCATGTAATTTATAGCATGTTTGTTCAAAATTTACATATTTGAACTGAAAGTACAAATATTCTAAAACATTTTTTAATTGTTTCATTTAGGTTTAGCCGTGTGATATAAAAGCATTTATTTATAAATACATAAGCTTAGCAAATGGACAAGCATTCTACAGGCATATTTGAATTAACACGTCAATTAAGTATTCAGCAACTCTGAAAATTGGTAATTTCTCGTACACTCCGGCCCCTCAGCTAGAAGGATCCCAAAATTTTGAAATGATGGGAAATGTAAAATTCCCAAGCGGAAACATTAACCAGCGTTGATCATCATTGAATCATTAGACGAATACAATATTTCCTTTTTAATTCATGGCTGTATTTCTAAAATTTGTACCCCAAAAATTAAACTATTTCAAATTAATATAATACAAATAATTGGGGGGGGGGGTCAGTGACAATTTTTTCGTGATCAAATAAAAATTTATTTAAGTATAAAAAGTGTTTTGCAATGTGTCCAGGTTGCTGTTCTAGAGCTGAAACCTAAAGCTTACAAATTGAGCATAAAGCTTTTTCTTTCTTTCACTAATATAATATTTAATATAATATATAATATA